CGGCTTTGAAACTGAACAAGGCCCGTCTGTCTTAATATCGCAAATAGATGAACAAAAAATTGTAAGCATGTTCGGATGGCTTTGAGAACTTTATTTTCAGCTCAAAATCATGTTACTTATTTCCTATACACTCAGTAGTTTTCAGGTATGGAGAAGGACCTTTTATTCAACACGAACAAGGCCTCAAGGGACTAATTATTTATTCTTTTCCCTTTTTTTGAATGCATTTAGAAAACTTAGGTATCTCTGAAACGAAATGCTGAAGAGGAGGGTTTCAATGGGGTTAACCGTTAGCCGTGAAATGGCGCAAAAATTTAGCTGATAGATGTAAAAAAAAGTTAACCACAAAAACAATATCTCTGGTGATCATAAGGGAAAGATATTAAACGTTAGCCGTAAATTGCCCAAAATTTTACCCGTTTAGAACCTCAAAGAAATATTTTTTCATATTTCTTTAGTTTAAGGTCCCAAAAGTGAAATTGATCCAGTTTTTCGTTTCATCGATGAATCGAAAAAGCCTGAAATGAAATTTAAAACTTTCGTCGAGCAGAAGAACCTCACAACGATGGTTGTTCATATCCTCACTGACAATTAGAAAACTATTTTTGGGGAGCAATACGTGATACTCGGATGTTAAGCTCTACAATCTTTCATTTGATACATGTATGTGTAGGTTTGGGTTCCCCTCGCTCAATTCTTCCAGAAGCTCATGGCCCGAGAAAGGGTCGAAATGAAAGGATAATATTCCACCCATTTGAAATATCTAGAAAACTCTCCCTACAAGTTATTTTCTAACCATCGCCATACGTGAGTAAATTGAATTCTTTTTTGGGGGCGATACTCTTATTCCAACGTCAACGGAAAAATTAAATGATTAAGGGATCACTGTATCTTATCGGCGTCGTCTCGTCACGTCGATTGCTGTTGTTAATTGCTTGCTTGAAAGCAAAAAAAAAACAACAGCTGAAAAAATGATAGGTGACGCGGTCATCGTGATGATATGTTATATTTGACAAAAGAAAACTCGATCCCTTTGGAAGGCCAGATAAGAAAAAAAAATCATCAAAAGGGCAGCTTGAAACGACTGAACTAAAGATTTCCATACTTAGCGGCTACACAATAATTAGTTGATTCTTATCAACGAAAACCATCCTCTTAAAGATCTGACCTCTAACGACCTCATCAACGATCGACTTATTTCATCGAGAATAACTTACTCACAATGCACGCAAATTAACTGCAATTATATTCTTCAATTACCGCATGCCAAAGCGGCGTTCTTCTCTCAGTGGCTTCTGAGAGAAGCAGAACTTGACTCGGTTTTTCTAAACCGCAAAGTGGAATGTTATTCCAAGAGCTGTTCATTCGTTGACAAGATAGACACTCTAGGTTAAGTCTTTGTATTTGAGTTGGCGATTAATTTTGAAGCTGCGACCCTCCAAGGAGGGTCAGAGAAACGATCCAAAAAGTATGTTTTACATAAATGTTAGCGCATGAAAACAAACAAACATGTTCAGGCTAATTTAGCACCCATCGGCACGCGCGGGACCGGTCACTCAATTGACATTTATTTCCTTTCGGTACAAGCCCTTTCTTCTATAAATAAGCATGAGAAGGAGGTGGACTCAGTCGTTCTACTAGGCGGCAACGAAGAGCGTACCAAAAGATCCGGACATCCTAAGCCCTTAAAACTGTAAGTACCCTTTCCTTGTTTTTGCATTTAGGCGAAGTGACTTTCAAAGAACCGGCATCTTCTTTGTGAGCTTATCATAAATCTGTTTGCTTGAAACCGTTGAAAACTTAGGAAACTTGTCCAAGTTGCATTTACTTTACTTTAAGTGAAGCTCAGAGCTTCTCCATTTCTTTATTAGAATCGCAATATGGTCAAGAGTCTGGACCTGGTCAGAAAAAAATTCCCGTAAATTGAAATAATGAAAATTGCAGGAGAGTGTCATCTTTGGCCTCTAATTCTCTGGAGTCTCTTTACGTTCTATTTCCTTCAACGTCGTGAAAAACTACTTTGTTAACTTAGAAAAAGACTGAAATGTCAAGGAAAAAAAGGAGAGAGGGAATCGTTACGAATTTAAAGAGAAGAAGGGTAAGCGGCGAACCTGAGTAATTTAGACTAGGCCACGATGATGTGCCTTTTCTAAAAAAGTCGTGATAAACCTTGATAGTCTCGAGAACAAACACATCTGACCTTTAGTATAAACTATGAAGAGCTATTTTAAGAAGCAAAATAAATATTGTTTTTCACTTCCACCCAGCAATGGTGCCAAAGCAGTGTCATTTAAACGGATAAAAATGCACCAACTTATACTACTCAGTTGTTCATGCACAGTGGAACGAGACATTAAAAAAGACAATTCGAGCTTGACACTTTTCTACGATGTGATACAGTTTTTTTCCACGTTTCCCAAGGTACGTTCAAGCCAAATTTTCGTCTTCAGCATCATTCTCCCATTGATCACTTTTTCCTTTGCCTCATCTCACGCCTCTTACCTCGTTGTTGAGCGAACGTATGTTACTGAGCGCAACGGTTTATTGGCTCATGGAAGTTTAAAACGAAGGCGATATTCTCAGAAAAGGGTGAAAATTTGATTACTTTAGTGTGCGAGTAATTTCAAAAGTTTCCCTATTTAAGTTGAGTGTAAACAAGAGAAAAAATGGGATTACGAAGCACGCTTTTGAAGACGTGCTTGGGACTTCAAACGGGGTACAAAAAGGGTGCATAGGTGTTTTCAGGGGTCAATAATTTTATGATGTCTCACTCAATTCCTCCGATTTATTAATATCCAAAAACGTGAAAAATGCCTTTGCTATGCGGACTTATTTTCATAATAACTCTTAATTAAGTCGCGGATGGGTTGGTCATTAATGGTCGCATTGATCAATGTCTGTACCAGGATTTATCGAGTCATTGTTTGTGCCTACTCGTAATTTTGAAATCAGGAACCCGTACGTGTTCTGGAAAATGTTTCCTTTTGCTAAGCTGGTGCTCTCGGCTAAACATCTCTTTGGTCATTCGCATCATGGATATCAATTTTTTGTTTTCGAGTTTATTTCATTTGGAGTAGATCAGTTCTAGATATCAGAACAAAGAGATATTGTGTGCACAAAAAAAGCAGATGATGTATTTAATGCACTTTGTGCAATGGACGTGTCAGTATTATAATTGAGCTCATGGTGGGTCGTGTGAGGTCACTATGCTCGCGAGACTGTATAATCAGAATTTTTTATGGTCAAAGATCATTCATTTACTGAGAAAAAATTTCAAATTTCTGGAGGGGAGAGGACGGGGAAATGGGGTAATCACCTCCTAAAGGCATTTTTCTTTCAGATAAAAGATGATCACAGCGTGTTGTCTTATCAGAGAAATTAGCTTGTTTCTTGCTTCAGTGTGTGGAGTGCTTTTAGAGAAATTTACGAAACGATGATTTACATCATAAGAGTATTTAGAAACCTGATTTCGTAATTAATTTTTATTTTTCTATCATTGTTTGCATTCTTTAAGTTGTTATTTCAGTAATTTGGATCACCCGTTGAACGTACCTACGCTTTAGAAGCTTTGCGGCCTCTGTTGCTTTACCCTCCCTTTTACCACACAGAATTCAGCCACAGCTAAGTCGAATAAATTTGTATACAAAAAAAACTTTTCCTTCTAAGGGATCCCATCAAATACTGCAACCGTAACCCGCTTCAAATTAAGGAGGAAAAAAATGGGTGAAAATTGTTTTTAAAACGTTTGCATTCGATATCAGTGCGGTGGACATCTACTAGGTAAGGTAGATCTTTTTTCGCTGAACCGCTGAATAATTGCTTTCATAATTACTTACGGATCATGTCATATCAATCTTTTATTTGGCTAATTTTGCACTCAAGTTTTAGCTTGCTAAATTCGTCGGTTTGAGGAACTAATGCGAGGAAATGACTCAGACAATGAACAGAAAATTATTATTTTGGTCAAGAACATCTTTTGTGATGTTGATTTTAACCTGATAATAGAGATTGAATAAAGGATTTATAATTATCTTTATGTGTCGCCTTTAAAAAAAAAGCTATTAAAATAATTTGTTGTAAATATTGACCGAAGAATGAAGAGCACTACACTGGTTGACTTGCTAGTGCTCGGCTTGCTAGCGTTCTGAAGTGAGTTCCTCGGGAGAAAAAAACTGTCAACTGACAAACACAATGAGAAAAAGGTTGATGGATGGCCAGAACAAATTCTTTCCGCCTCCATAACGAAGTTTACAATTCAAAGTCCTTGAGTACAAAGTAAAGATCATAAATAAACTTATCGAGGTGAATTAGAGCAGATTAAGTCTATGAAAGGTTAATAAAGGTCCGTTAGCTCCACTCGGTATCTAACAAAAGCCGTAAATATTTGCACAAATTTTAACTAAAAATAATTCATTATCATTACCATTACAAATGGAACAGATCCCTTCAATTCGGCTTTAAGGCAAATCAGTCTGAAGCATTTATACTACATCTAAAGCATTACTGAGATACCAAATCTGTTGTTGCAAAATAATGGTTGACCTGAAAGAAATGGCGGACAGGTTATAGAAAAAATATCCTATCACAGAACTCAATAGACCCTGGCTAAGTCTTATTACATTATGGAACGCTTTGTTTATAATCTCAAGAGTCTTAAATTTCTTTTATCCTGTGAGTATAAAGATTGTCAGCAAAACAAAGACTTTTCATACGTACTAATTCTATGAAAGGTTAAGATGTCATTCATAAAACTGGTCAGGTGCAGAGGGCAAAAAAACGTCTTTGACAGCATGAAAAAACAAAAAGTACAAATGGTGTCATCCTGTGAGGGAAAGAGTCTTCGCACGAGTTCCTTGTGAGTACAACGGTGTCTTTCTGGTGATTCTTTTTAATGACGTCCTGGGTAGATTTAAGGAAATTCGTGCCATTTTATTGGCATGCCGAACGCCGTGGGAGGTCGTTTTCGGCGTAAGCAGTATTTTCCTATTTACTCCAGTGCCATACAATAACGACTTCAATAAGTCTCTTTACCCGGAGCGGTAAATCAAACAAAACTGATGTCGCTTTCTTTCAAAAGTAGCTGACATCGGTGGCGTTGCTGTTTTAAAGATCATCCGGTAAGTGAGTGTAGTGAACCGAATGGATACTTGTTTCGTAAAAACTAATTGATGTTTAGTAACAAGTGACCTCAGTAAAGCCGTAGGTTATTTTTGTGAAAAACAGGGCCCTTATATAACACTCTCATCTGCACGCTACTGCAGTGTACTTGTGATCGTTGTGATGCACGATTCCCGAGGACCTTGGACATACCTCTCCATCTTTATCACAAATGTGTTAGGAATCATTTTGTTGTGCGACTTTTCAACAGAGAATGCGCTTTTTAACTTATTCTTGCGTTAAAGACTGGCGCAGTTGTAGCTCAGTGTGATTAAAAGGCTCAAAAACAAAGCTGACTAGGAGGGGTCGTTTAAAAATTTGGTTAGTCTAAATCGAGCACAATTATTTGTTCAGAGAAAGGAGTACAGGCTGGTGACGTGACATGCACGGAAGAAAGGTTTAAAGTAGCCGTGTTCATATTTGATCAGGGCTAACGTCCAAATCATCACATGATATGGTATAAGAGAGCAAAGTGCTGCAAGAGCCTAATAAAATATCTCATTGGTGCAGTGGAAACATAGATATTTCATGATGTAACTACGATTTCCATGCTATTTCATTTCATATATATTCGGCCAGAGCTTTCCATTCTGCATGCGCTATGTTCGCGTGTTACACAGCACAAACTAATTCATCAAAAGTTATAAATTATTAAATTTGTTAACAAAAACAGGAAGAAAAACATCCAAGATTTTTTTTTTTGCCTGAAGGGATCATTATTTTGCAATGAATGTCGTTTGTGGTTTTATGTCCGCTAGACATCATTTTTCATTCGATTGTCGACAAGTTTGGACTCTAACCAGGAATTCAGCCCTAATTAATTGCATGTTTTGTGTTAAAATAGCTGTAAGCAATTGCCAAGTGTAATATCTTGTTTTCTAACGTCGATTTTAATGCGCCTTTCAAGTTGTGTCTCATATTTTCGATCTTGTTTTCTGTTATTTATTCTTAAAAAGTCATATCCATATCACTTTGTCACTGACCTGCTTTACCTGAATGGTTACTGAAATTACTTTTATGTCCAGTCAAATGTGTTCTGGCAAAGTTTGTCAAATGTGCCAACCTGATGATTTATGATTTCTGATTTCTGATATTCCCGTCTCGCAGTGGTAAACATACTGATGTTGACGACAAATAGAAGAAAAGTTAGGCTTTTACAGCTCTTTGAGAGGTGAGCACTCAACCTTGAAAGAAAATTAAAATCAAATTAGCTGATTATGCATGCACAAAACTGGATAATCACTCGTCCCTTTTTGCAGAACTACTGGTGCTAAATGTATGTGAGTTAATTTGATTTTATACATAAAAGCTACGTTTTAAATGCTTGGATATCTGATATTTCACATTGAAATGACGATATGAGCGGTGTCTGGCTAAATTCCTATATTAGACGTGACATCTTTATTATTTTATGCCCACGAGTTTCTAAAATTATTCCTTTATGGTATGATTCGGAACTACTCCAAAGTATCGAAGAAGTCTGTGTAACAATCGTAGGTATCGCATGGCAATAGCTGCGCTAAATAGATGAATTGTAAAAAGATAGTTGTAAGCTATCAGATCAAATGAAACCAAGATAGATTTAAACAGCACTTTAATCTTTGCGATGAAACAGGCCCGTAGTTTATCGCTCAAGGCATCTCACATTAATTCGTAATTACCGACATCTTAATAAACCGAGCATTTAATTTAATGAGAACAAAATGAGTTCTGCGTTACTGTAGATTCTTTGATGAAAAAATTTCTTTAAATTTTTTTTCCTCTTTTTCAGCTAAATATTTTGGATTTGTTTTATAACTTGAAGCCAACTCCCAGGTTTCTCAAAGTCAGTTTGTGTACATAAGAAAAATTTACATCCATCTCATGAAGCTTGTTTGAATTCATTGTTCATTTTTTATACAACTCTGTTATCAATAACATTCTATTTTAATACTGCCGTGGTTCCCAGCTTTGATAACCATCCAGCTGAAAATTGACCTCTCACACTCATAATTAAGCTATAGTCTTAACAGCTGAACGCTTTACTTTCAAGTTACTTTTGCACGTTAACCCGATATAAACTGTAAAACTGATAGAAATCAGTATTCCCCACTTACTTTCAGTGTACTTTGCCTAACATTCCAGCTAGGAGAGTAATTAAGACAGCGACAGAAAATTGGGTATAAGCCCTTTGCCAAAATGTACCTTTTGTAAAAGATAAATCAAAATGCCATGCCAGAAATTTAATTTTGGATCGTGAGAACCACCCTGCAAATCAAATTTTAGTTAACAGTGCCAAGGGTTACAGTTGACTGATTATGCGTTTCATTTGAGCCTTGTATTTCATCAAATAATCTTTTATAATATATTAACGAATTGTGACGTCAATAAAATTTGCCGCCTGACCTTGGTGTCCCTCTGTCGAATTGAGATCAATCAATCATTCTATTAAAAACAAGGGATAACGGTGATAAACAATATATTATGGTCGAGTCTCAAAATCTGTACTTATTCGTGTCTGTATGCACGTTGTTCATGGCAGAATATCTGAGTTCGATTTGGTGAAGACTTCGACGGCAATCAGAGGGCCACTTTTGACGACTGATCCAAATAAGTATGCTTAAACCTTGATGTTTCACTGATACCCTTTGGCTATACAAATCAATTAGCTTTCAATAGACCTCCTATGGTTCAGTAGAGATTGTGTATTACAAAAAGGGAACTAACTTACAAATGCGACTGGCCACACGGTGAGTCAAATCTTTAATAATCTCATGTCAAGCTATTATCTCTTTTTTTAAGTTATTTAGCTCTAAAATGAAGAGAAAACTTACTTTATCCGTACTCCCGCCCTGCACGTACCTGCGATGGCGCTCGTCAGTGATCGAAATAATTCAACGAATGAGTACTGGCTCTTGACGTTCACCTTGTTACTGATCACGTCGCAATTCGCCATGTAGGTTGAAATCTGTCAAAAAAAAAGCTATAAAAGGTCGGCAAAGCCTTTGGGGGTAGTTAGTTCTCTATAATATTAACACTGCGTTCGCTAGTATAAATCATGTTCTTACTAGAGAAGGCAAGACCTGCTAATCTCTGAAAAGTAATCATTAATATTACAGTAAAAATCAGGCAGTTTTATTATGATACGCGCGTTGAATCATGACAGGAACCACGTTACATAGGTCCTGGCTACATACAGTTTTGTTTGTCCTTGAGTATACCTGAATTTCTACCTAGTCAAAATTAGCTTGCCTAAAATCTAGCTTAAACTGCGTTGCAGGTCTTACGGCCTTTTAAGGCTTTAGTGAAATCGAGTCCTCAACTCCTTCCCCAAACACTGCTGAATTGCGCGCACTTTGCACAGACTTTATACCCTGGTGACATCACTGCTTTTACCAGCATTGTTAAAGGAGGGGGGCAGGCTCAGTGTATTTGCCTGAATTGGCAAAAAGTGGTCTTTTGTAGTAGGTTTGAATATAGGATATGTTTTGAATAACCTTCCCAAGGAGTTGAAACCTCCATTGTAACATATATGATTGTTTAGTTTGTTCCGTTCTCCCTGTCTAGATTTTTACCGATCATCTTCAAATGGTAATATCAAGCCTCACTAAACTCAACGGTTTCTCTTATATAGATCGTGGTGCGTTAATATCCACTCCTTACTTTCAGCTCTGCTCACAATATATTATTTCTCACTCTATCAATGACATAAATCTATCTTTCTCGGTACGTAACCTTTGGCTACGACTAAGAATTGTTCTGATGAAGATACATTGCGGCTTATCTTCCTTTTTATTATTACCCACGGATTCGCCCGAGTTTTCTTGGTGCATAGAAAAGTAACTTTTTGGCATTGTCTGGCACGTTTTATGGCATACTCACACTTTTCTTTGTTACACAGGTTGCCACTCTTACTTATTTCAAGAGACGATTTTCAAGGACTGAAAAATTTTGAAATCAACGATGAACGTTAGCCAAATAAACTCAACGCTGGAAGTCAATTCAAGTCAGAATAACATTGCTACACCTTTCTACAATTTTGTGCCTGAGCCACAGTCTTCAAGGACAATTAGGTACGTAATATACTGCATAGTTTTTATATTCGCCATTGTCGGGAACGCCACCGTCTGCATCATTCCATTCCGTCACAGACGCATGCGCACGTGTACCTATTTTTTAATCACAAACCTGGCTGTCTCTGATATTGGAACAATGCTGTGTTTACCCTACATACTTGTCATGGAGTGGCAAAAGGAGTGGAGCATGGGATCTGTTATGTGCAAGCTTGTCAACCCCAGCTTGACAATGTTCTACCTGGTCACCACCAACACTTTGGTTGCAATTGCAGTTCATCGCTTTGTGGTTGTAGTTTTTCCGTTCAAGTCTAAACCTGGAAAGAGTAGAGTAGCATTGATCATCTTGCTTATATGGCTGATAGCGTTTCTCTGCGTGTTACCTTCATTTGGTGCCAGACAACTTGTATTCAATGGAGTGAAGGACAACGGTAAAACCAGTTACACATGCGACGAAATATTCCCTGGAAAGACGAGAGAGGATCATGAGTTCTTCAGAAATATGTACACCATATTCCAATATGTCATCAACATCTTCTTGCCCATTGTTATCATAGTTATATTGTATATTGTAATTGCTTACAAACTTCGACAGATGTCATTAGCGCTTGGTTTTCGAAAGGACAGAAGAGACAGTCAAGGGTCTACATCATACCACAGTGTGGCATCCAGAAAGAAAAGCATAGACGACTTTTCTTTACGGAAAAGAAATGAGCTCGAGAGAAAGTTTTTGCGGATGCTCGCCGTTGTTGTCATAGTTTTCGTTCTTTGTTATGTGCCTTACACGACTTTCTACCTTGTTGTGTCATACTATCCGATGGCAATGACCTGGAAGTATTTAGGAATCCTCTACCACTACATATACCTGCTTATGTGGTTTCCAAATGCGTTAAATCCGATTTGCTATGGTGCTTTAGATGACCACTATGCCTCTATAGTAAGGTCTCTCTGTTGTATACGGAATAGAGCTCAACGATTTGCCAGCCGGCTTGCAAGCAATGGGGTCAACTCATCGGGAGGACGGTCCAACAGACCAGGACATTTGTTCAGCCGTTCCAACCAAACTTTGCCCCCCATAAAAGAGAAATCAAGAACACAAACCTCTAATAGAACTATCGAGGAGCATAAAAATGGAAACGGAAAAAATTGGAAAACGTGCTGCAGCTAGTGTGCATGATAAAACATGTATATCAAAAGAAGGCGGTATTCTTGCCTAGGAGAACGAATTGTTATCTAGTTAAGTGGTCACGGCATTCAAACTCTCATTCCTATCTGTAGACCTAGAAACCAGGTTGAACGTTCGTAGCTGTTATCAGTAGAGAGAACCACTTAATCCAAAATAAAAACTGTCTGGAGCGTGGGAAAATTAAACGCGAGCTTCCAAGTCGCGATTGGTTTGGTTTTGATTGGTTGAGAAAGTGGCGGGAGTTTTTTTGGACCAATCAAAACCATTGCAATAGAAGCTTACTTCCGACACTCAATCGAAATCGCTCCAATACCAGTTGGACTGGTGATTACTACCGTTAGTAGAACCATTAGAACAGTGATCAAAGAAAAAAAAAACATAAGGAATCATTACATCACAGTTCTGGGCTAGAGAGCCGTAAAACGGCCAAAACATTTAGCCGTTAGGCCTAAAAGTTGACAAAATGTAACCTTGGTCTTAAAAAAAAATGATAATAACCTAAAAAACAAAAAACAAACGAAAGAAAGATAGTAACCGTTAGCCTTGACCTAAATTTTAGCCGTTAGCCGTAAAGGCCGTCATCTCATTGAGACCCTCTTTAATCTAAGGTTCTTTGAGACAGATGGAAATAGGCTCAAGGTTAAAGATGAATTTCAATTAAGTGCAATAGGCTCAAATCTTTGGGGAAATTTTAATTAAGTTGGTGTTTAGCAAAGAGAACATCGAAGTGGCTTGGAAGGGCTCATTACATATTGAGAATTAGAATTTCACTTTACTTGCGGCTTATTGGTTAAATGATATGTGCACTGGGCCTGGACTTTTTGTGCCACATGGCACGAATTGCAGAGAGGTTCTGGAGTTCTTTGAACTTTTTAGCCGTTTCTAGAATCATCCTTGATTAATATTTAACATGTTTATGATATGTACGTCTTTATAGTTGGATGTGAAAAAAATATGTTTGTACGCGTCAAAATCGTTGATGTAACATTTTTTAATGAATTTTGCGTACATGTATACGTAGATGCAAGGAGAATATAAACCATTTTACTTCTGATAAATTATATTAAATAAACAAATTGTAAACATGCGGGTTCGTTTACTGCTGTACTGAACTGGGAGAAATGATATTTAAAGTGATTTAATTTAATAGTAAGTTTATTCCTAACCAGAAAAAATTAGTTTATTAAATAGTAAATTTCGTTCTTGTGAAAATCAAACTTTTTTTTGAAATTTCCTTCACTGACGTGCGTTTTCTACTTTACTCTTCCTGACAATACTGCTCATGAGTCAGGGTGATGTACAAAATCTAAGAATTAGTGATAGTTTGGTTCTTCGATCATTTCTACACTCGTTTTGGTGATGATACTGTACCAAGCATTTAAAGCATTGATTAATTTTGTCACGCAACGAAGGAATCTTTTATAATGGCTTCCTGTCGGATATCAATCGAGTTTCGTACCTGGACCTTCCACAGCCAAGCAGTTCTAAGTTACAATTAAACTGAGATTAATATTTGTCCCTACCGCGGCGTAATATGAACCACGGAGGTTCTCTCGAGGACAACCCCCCACCCCACTCCTATTGGAAAAAAGACATACTGTTATCATCCCTGGCTTCGTTTGATAAGTGAATTGCAAGCTAAAATCAGATAAATTTTCAGTTTAGATAAAAAACATTTTAAAATGGATTGGCTTCGACATAATGACGCGCCTAATGTCGTCAACACAAATCAGAACCCATGCAACTAGAGTGATAATTGATTGTATATGGTGCAGGAAAGCAGTTTTTTTATAAATTATTTGAGCCAGTTCCTGATAACTTTCATTGATGTTTTTCAAATCAACCACAAGTACATTTCTCCATCGAAACATCATCTCGTTTCAGTTGAAAGGAAAAATCAATTAGAATTATTCTTTTTTTAAGCGGAAACGCTTTAAAAATCCCTTAAAACTTTCAGATCTGAATACCAATTTATCCAGCAGATAAAACTCGTCACTTAGCCAAAACGCCTTCTGGGCTGCACCGTATCTATAAGATGTTCTGTAAAGACGTACATCACGACACTAATATGTGATAACGCATCATAGCCAGGATTCTTGGCTTTTAAAATCGTTTACCATTTCAGCTTCGAAAACATCATAGTAGACTTCAACAGGAGTCATACAATCCTTTCAGAAAAAATTACAGACATAAATGGTGGAACAGTCAGTTCAGTGACCGGGATTTGTTGATTAAAGCTTCACGCGGTAGTTAGAGGTAAGTCTCCCCAGACGTCCGCACTGATGTGACACGCTTTCACCCAAGAGAATCTCTTGGCTCACTATAAACAGAAGGAGGTTTTTCAATATTTTTTAAGCCTCATTTAAGCCGATTTCCAATGATTTCAAAATTTCTGAGATCTTCGACTTCTAACCTTTGTTTTTATTGTTAGAACTGCGGTAACATACGAAGACTGGACTGATTTGCAAGTTTTTTCTCGGCTTATCAGAACGAATTTTATATTTTTTTTCATGTCTGAGTGGGCTGCAAAGATTATGATTGCAATTTTATTTATAAAAAAAAACGCTTTCCATCATAAACATGACATAATATTTATTAATAATTTCCAGTCTGAATTTGGCGTTAGAATTACGAAAAAATCACTCAAAATGTAATATAGAAAAGACAGAAAACTGTGTCATGATTACCGCTTAGGCTCTCTGTGAACTCCCAAGGTTTCTAAGTGTTTGGCATATTGTAGCCGTTCAGTAAGCGAAACGGAGCGCAATAACAAGCGGGGACTGAGGTGGTAGCAAAGGGATGAAAAAACTAAGTAAGGTGCAGGTAATTTCTTTACGTGACCCGACCCGACCTAGACCTCGCTCGTTTTTCGTTCTACCGCAATATTAACTATCGCGCTGTTTGCTATTTCACACGGATTTCGCACTGTTTTACTTGTTGAACGTCTGGGACAGATTACTAAGTTGGCTGGCTCTCGATCACCCCACTGTCAAGCATGGGCAAACAAAGACTATGTCAAAGATACATGAGGTAATATTTAGACGCCACCTAACAACCCCCCCCCCACCCCCACCCAACACGGACTCGAGGTAGCTCTACCATTCTACCGAACTTTTGAGACAGACAGCTTCATGTATTACACACTCACTCCTAGACAATAGAAAAAGTGCCTCTTTTTCTACTCATTCCTAGGCGCAAATCGATAGCCTGTAAGATGAGTGAAGCATAAATATCCTAGCACCCACGAAAAGTCTGGTAACGAGGTGCACGTGCACCTCAATTCCCGGGGACCGCTGTATCCAGAAACTCTTTCGCCTTGTCCTCGTTCGCGGTTCCCTTATCTGTTTGATATTCTCCAGTAATAGGGAATATAACACTGGCTATGTGGCTCACTACTTGGGTTTTTTAGAATAACTGTTAGTAGTCATATGTAAATCCTTGAGCAGTAACTTAACGTATTCAAATAAAGAAGAAAGGATTTGCCATTCAGGTCCAGTGTTTCTTTTTTTTATCTTTTTTCCCTTTTTTTTTTCTGAAATATTTCCGTCGATGGCATTGCCTTAATTGTCTCTTCTGCACGATAATGTAAATGAAAATAAATGGTTTCTAAGCCTGGTGAAACATTCATCCATGTCTGTTTGTATGGTTTGTCATCCAACTTTGTTTCATCTGTTCATATTCTTTTCCTGTACACCTGCAGACGGAATCAGCTCACATTTGGCAGTTCTTTATCAATCTTTTGTTCTTTTTCTTTTTTCTCTTTTCTCGTTTTCTTTTCTTATCGCAAATATGTCTTACCTATGTCAAGTGCAGTTTGATGGTTTTGATAATCTTCCTAGACCATAATTTGTATCCCTGTCATTGTCTTTTGCAATTGAATTACCTTCGTGGGTGTTACTGTAATCGTTCGGGGGAGGGGTGGTTTGGGGCGTCAGAACAAAATTGCAGTTGGTGTCGGCTAAATAATTAACTTGGATTAGGAAACGCATTTAATTTTTATTCATAATTCGCTTCTTGAAGTGAGTACTTTCAACACGAGCAAGTTGTAATTAATGGCAAAATTTCAAGTAAAATAACGGCCAAACCCCTTTCGATATGTTTCATTATCAGTAAGTGCTCAAAATGCTAACTTATGTACAACCTAAGTACGGGTATTAGCGGTGCATTAGTATAAGGCAGTATAGACAGGAGGACAATGAAAATTGATAGACACAAAGGGAACTACACACGGGCGGCTGATTAGACTCGATGTATTTCGTAATATTTTAAAAGTGGAAAGTGTGGTCAACAGTGTTTTAATTCCAAGTAACCATAACAGGGTTTTCTTATTGCATTTTATTGGCTAAGGCAAAGAGGGATTTATGAAAGACAGAGACATAGAGTTGGCTAATACAATTAAATTTGAGAGTTGCTGCGATGGAGAAAGTCATCGATAAGGTAAGTTGTGTATATTTTTTTGGTAAATTCGTTCCCCAAAACGCTTTGAGCGATTAAAAAATATTACTAAAGAGAGGAAAAAAGGTTTCTTCTCAACCCGCGTCAACTTACAAGAAGGCTTTTAGCGAGCGACTTCAGTCGATCGATCTCAAAAGACTTGTGCAGTCGTGGCATGAAATGTAATGAAATAAATACTGATGAAAAATGAGTTTAAAATACTCGTTTGATTTTTCATCTGATAAGTGTTACATCCCCGAGGTGTTATCGATAATTTTTGTCTCAGCTGGGGTTTAAAAAGAGTTTATGTAAATTATCGTGAAGAAAATGGTAACAACAAAAAGTCCTTTTCGCCGTGATAATACAACTTGTTATGTATCTCCGAAATTATCATATGCCAAAAACTTTACAACAGATGCATTGTCGGGAGGAAGCAACCCTTTTCTTATTAAACTTCGATATTCTAAAGAAATAGATAAACAAAGATATTTCATTTTGGTTTTTGTAAGGACGCTTAAAGCGCGGCGACTGTTGTTTTCATTTCAGTTAGAAGCGCGTTAAAGGCCGTCATTGTGAAGGTACTTAACAACGTTCATACGGGAAAAATACGCGAGCCAGTGAACGTTATGCGATAGAAATCGTGTTTGTTGTCAAATCTTGAGCTTTGATACCACTGATCCGGCTGAACAACTTGATCAGGTGATCAAATAAACAGCATTGCCACAGGAATCAAATAAACGCGAAGTTTTGTGATAATATATGAGATTGTATTGTGAAAGATGGTCTCAGTTTTCAAAAGTGTATTCAAGGCAACGCTTGAAAGAAGTAATTCTCTATCGCCTTGACATTTTCACGGGGAAATTGGGATGTTAATGGCAGAATCAATCATTCAGCGGTAATGGCATAGCCTTATTGCATTTCTTCATTTCAATTATAACGCGGAAAATGCGTTGGCCGGCTAACCTTTTATGTATTTTTTTTTCTTTTTTTTTTCCTTGTTTTGCGTGCTTGTTTTTTGCGGGAAATTATGTCTCTCTGAGGAATTTCACAAAATGATATCGATAGAAGGGAGAAAATTAAAGCAAAATAGAGCCAAAATTCTGCCAATCACAACTGTGAACGAATTAAATTTCAATAAAGGTATATTTTTAATTTCATACTTCACACCACTTTGTGAATGTGATCTACCATCGACTGACTGTCTAATTTACTCGCCACCAAGTGGTTATTAGCCTTGGAAAGGACGCCTGTCGAGAAAATGAAGCGCAGTTTCCTAGCGGCGTCTCATGTAGGCATCAAAAGTAGAGAATTGAAAAAAACCTCATCTCTACACTAAGCCTCTTGGATCATTTGTGCAAGAGAAGAGGAAAAATTAAACCAAAACACTTCGTTCACCGGCAAGCGACAGAAAAATTTAGCGCGAATTCTTGCAACCAATCACATGCGAGCACTCGCGACCTGTTCACCATATATGGAACAGTCGGGCTGTTGTGTTTTGAGAATTTAATTTGCATAGTCATAAACTTTGATCCAGTTTGTAATGCTCAGAAACGATGAAGCATACTAAATCGGCCCGAAAATTTACCACAGGCCGAGAATGGTCCTGCTCTTCCTTCATATGCTAGTTCCAGCTGTGTTGTCGCTGGCGAACATGTTTAAGAAACTAAGGAAAGGTGACAGAAGCGAAGCGATGCGATGCAGCATGCATTTGACAGCAGCCGCTCAGGTAAAAGTGGAGCTCGTGATTAGCAAATGCAAAGTAGCTTTAGCTGGGAACCTTATTTTAACACTGTAGCTTTTAGGTTGTCATCGCATCAGTATTTTAGAGACACGGAGATTTACATACACGCAAATTGCGTTTTAAACTACGAATTTTAAAACGCATTCGGCACGAACTATCTACCGCAGTGATATCGCCAAAAAAAATAAATGTCAGTTTGCCATTTTTCTGTATGAATACCTTTCATTTCAACGCTGTTATCTCTTTCTATGTGATTTAGGAAACTATTTATTGCCAGGCGAATGATACTCTCAGTGAACCCCTTTGTTTGTCTTATCTTATTTTTAGGATGTTCTTTCTTGCCTGACTTTAGCGATCGACATGAAGTCGTTGAAAGAAAGCGCTGAAAGAGCTCTCCATCTGCTCCTACCGCGAGTGGTAAGCTTAAGTTAATAACGTGCGCTCAGCTTCCCACCCGCAATATATAGTTTGTTTACGTTTTGTGGAAACCAACTATAGTTGCGGATTCATTAATTTTTTTTCTTTATCATAATATACACATTTTTTATTCCGTTCACGTTTTGCAAAATTGTACTAAGATATTTCCTCCGATCTTCCAAATTTTTCCACTTAAATTGCGGCGGCAACTTCTATTAGTTGTCATCGCAGAAATTAATGCCTGACCTGTTGGCAAAATGCACCTCACCGATGAGAGCTTTCTTTTGTTGTAAACATCTTTCTCTCCTAGTCACTAGTCATCCGTGACCCAGCGAAATTTGAAGCAACGAAGAGACGAAATTCAGTCATACTGTGAAATTTGTAAACCGAGACACTTCGCAACAATGCAAGCCGTCAATCTTTACGTCAAACATTTATCGCACATGAACTTCTGCACGCTGAACGTGTAATTTATGTAAACTTATATTGTATCCCAGTTTACGCCCCAAGGACTGCCGCAGAATTGCATTATTTTTAACTTTGGTCAAGCTAACTAAACGGTACTACAATATTTTCTTTGTACAACGATTTCGCGTTTTGCAAATGACAACCGCACTTCTTGGGAGGTAATTTGAGATGACAGTATTTATATTCTTAAGCAAGGACGTACACGCAAAATGTTAATTTACATCTGAAGGCGACAAAACAGCTTTCACTCAAATTTTCAAGTTTTGTTAGCCGTCGTCCGGTTTTTATATTTGCATTTTTGATGGCTTTAAATCGATTAGGCGAATCACTTTTAAAAGCACTTAAAGTAAATGTTTTTGCTCTGTCGAGTACCGCCAACTTTTCTGCATTGCAGAAAGCATGCAGCTTTAAAACCTAAAAAACGAAAGAATCGATAAATCTGCACTATTTTGGCGCTAAATTTTGGTTGCATTTGTTAGGAGTTCTCAAACCTCTTAGTTTCCTTCCACAAAAGAACAGACAGTTCGCCCTGATCGGCGCCAAATATTAAGTTCTTCTCACTGTTTTGATTTTTGCAATAGCTCTGCTGAGCGAGATAAAAGGTTATTTGGCAATTTAACGAAATGACAACTAAAACTTGTCATGTTGTCTGTTAAGCTTACTGATTTTAATGTCGGCAAACTCTGTGTGTCCCTAAAAATATTTATTCGCCCACAGAAATAGTTTTCCAGTTCAGCACACGCGCCGTTCAACACAAACAGTGGTCGCGGGTCATGTTGGATTAAGCTACTTTATTTATTTTATGTGCCATAGCAATTTGGCAAATCAGGACAATTGAAAGTGCTTGTGAAAAAGGATTAAAGACTTTTAAAATCAAAAGAAGTCTTTGTCATCTTTTTTAATTGCCATTTGCAACAAATATCGCCAATATCTTTGATTTTTCGTCCACGCTTTCTTCCGTTAATTATTGATGCCAATTTAAGTGACAATACATAGTCCCAATGGTACGTTTCAAAGTTATGCAAAAATTGTACAAAAACTATTCAGCGATAGGTTTTTGTCTTGTTCTTGATTCAGATTTCATTATAAGTGACACTGAATAAACTCGATCTTCATGAAGCTTAAAATTCCCCCATCTAATTTTTTATATTGGTTTATTTAGAGAAATAAGAACTTTAATTGTTGCTTTGAAAAGGTTTTGAAAGGTTTGCATTACAGTTCAAGTTATATGCATATCTTTAACTACTTCTGAATTATTGTTGTTAAACTATATCTTTGAAAAGTTTTAATTCTTGAAGTAACAGAAAATGAAGTCGATCAGCCTTGAATTACTTTCAAGCTGCAAAATGTTAATATACAATTACAATATTTTTTATTTTGAATTATCATGAATGATGTTAATGAGGTAGTTGTCAAAGTGAAAGCAGGCTGTAAATAAACAACAGCTGCACCTCTATTGTACTAAGAATTTCATTTGGATACTTGACTTGGAAATTTGACCTTAGTCTCCTTGTGTTTGATCATTAAGGCTTAGGGTTCCTTAATCCGTTCCCAAATGAAAGTGTTAACAACGAATCAAATTTTAAGGCTCGTGTTTTGAATGACTGTCAACAAACATTGTAAGGGCACTCTATACTGAGCGTAGATGGATACATACTTGGCTAATATCAATTTTTATACTGGTTTGTGGGAGAGAGGGTGGAGGCAAAAAGGGTTTGAACTGGGAGGACCTTGACAATGGGAGAATAATAATATAACATTGCTTTAATTACCCTGAAGTTGTCTTAAAAGGTTTAAATACCACGGACATCAACTCCTCAATGAAGTAACTCCTAATTCTTTCTCTCAAAAAAGAAAAAATATTCAAACTAAAATTGTTCAGTGACATGACTTGCTGGTTCTGTTGGTAACTGTTGTTAAAGAGAAACACTAGATACTTGATTATGTTGACAGGCAGATGTGCTGGTGTTTGTCTTGAGTTCTGTCTCCAATGAACTTGAAGCTCTTGGAAGATCTGGTATCAGTGTACCTAAGATACCACAAAGTGGAGTTGCCAGGTTTGTATTCAAAATTATTTGTAAACACTCCAGCAGATTGATTAAGGAAAGAAACAATCCTGGCAAGACTGCAATTTAGCAATTCCAGAGAAGAAACCAAAAAAAATTCAGGCTTCGAAAGGATTCGAGTTCCTGCCTCCTAGATACTATTTTGGGCACTACCACTGCTGAACTTTATCAATTAGCCAAATGTTGGGAGCAAGGCAAATCTGTGAAGGTTGTCTCTTTAATTGATTTTCATCTGCAGGTCAAAATAACTTTATTCCATTACAAGTGGTTACTGGTTGTTAACACATCAAGAATATTTAGTTTCTCATACAAAAGCAAACTAGATATTTTTTCAAACTTTTGTAAAATTATGGACATGAATGGACTCAAGTAAGTATCTCTCAGAAGGCACACAGAACAATTCCTTGGTTTGAGTTGACACCTTCAAAGAGGTAGAATCCAAATTAATCAATAAAATTATTGTTCAAAGTTTACAAAATGTCATGAGGGAGGGAACAATATGAAGCTATGAAAAGAATTCTGGAAGTGAAGTTAACTGATTTCTCAGATTTTTGCAGACTAAACTGAGTAATGATTTTGACTTTTGGTGTGAAGTTCAATAAAATGTCCTAATTCAGTTATCATAATCTGATGAAAAAAAGGAATGTAAACAATCAGTTTGGTTAAACGATGTTTAGAAAAGAAAAAAATTGAACTACAGCATATAAACACATGTATTGTTCACATCAAAACATTATGGTTCTATGATTTCATCTCCAGGAAAGCCATTGATAGTAAGCAAAGAATAGTTTTATCCAGCATCGACAAAGATGATCCTTGTTTAGTATATTTACCATCAGCTGAAACACTTGGAAGTGATCAAAGAGGTTAGTAATTAAAAACCCTTTGGCATTTTTCACAGTCAAATTTGCTTTGTCCTTTTTTTTTTTCCTTTTTGGCAGATTTTGAAATTAAAGCATATTTCACATACATTTGGAATTCCCAGAGATCCAATGGCCAAAAATCACCCCTAAAGATAGGCTTCCATACAATAAACCTTTAAAGACAAGGACAATGGAAACATGATGGTTTTAATTTTTTTATATTCAGTTTAATGTCCAGAAAAAATACACCTGTGAACACCTCTGAGCCCTGTTTCACTTTCTTTTCCAGTGATTCTGTCACCACTGTACAAAGACAATACACTAGTAGCATTTTTGATGGTAAGTTTCTAGTGAGAAAAATTTTCCCACGATCAAGGTAAATTAGATAAACAACTTTATCTTTTGTACAAATAACATGTACTATTGAAGAAAATCGTTGGGCTGCTCTCACTTAAGAATAATTATTTTGAAATAAAGAGATGTGAACTGTTTTCTCTACATTTACATCTGGCAAATAAAGTTAGTGCACTCACTTTAGTAAAGTAGTATACATTTAGTTTTATAATTTTTTGAAAAGACACATGAGGACACATGTATGGTAGTATGTGCAATGTATATTCTTCTGAAAACAGTGCCACCCAGGCAGTGAACAATGATTGAGAGGAAGAGAGAACTGAAACAACAGTAATTTGCAGTGATGAATATTCTTTTGTCACTGCAGATTGTTTGTGGTGTAGGAGAGGATACTCTGTCCATACTAGATTACACAGAGCAGCAGGTTTGTTTTATTGGAGTAGCCTTGATTTTCAGCAGGTGCCTGTTGAAGGTAACTTTGAGTTAACATATTAAAAAGTTTTTGGTCAGCCCTCTGATCACCTCCTTCTGGTGTAAAATATATAAAGCTTCATTGTGATTTTAAAGTCAGTGTTTATTGCTCAACAATGCTTTTTTTGACTTTCAGATACTTCAAAGTTATCATCATATAACAGAGAGGAGTAAATATTTTCATGAATTTGAAAGGCAGAAGACATTTTTAGATTTTTTTAGTAAGTACATATCCTAGTCATTAGAAAGTGACCTACATACTTGTAAATGTATGTACTGAATTGAATTCAATGTTTATTTACAACATTAAGTTTTGGTACTTCAAAAGTTACAAGCCACTTTTTAATCATTTTTCTCAATGCTATTTGTTTCATTTTTCTCCACAATTCCCCCTCCCTTTCCTCAAAAACAATATAAACAAAGCTTTATTTACCCTAGCTTGTACAACATGAGCTGCAAGCTTGCTTGTTTCTTGTAGCTGGCAGGCTTCTTGTTGTGTTGCACTTCCAGTGAGAATCCTAACTTGCAAGTGCATTACTATTTTAGTCCAAGACAGAATATCTAAAATGACAACAGGGGATCTTAATTCCTTACACAGGGCCAAGGTAGACACTCTAGACATGTCATTTGAATAATTTTAATGCAAACATAAAAGGCATGAAAAAAATACATTAAATTTTGTATGCTGTGCAACAACAACAACAACAAAATAAAAAAACTCATTCCTATACTTAATTTCTCAGAAGCATAGCTGAAACCAGAAACATTTTCTTTACATACTTATTGCTTGATTGCCAAAGGTTTCATCATTGTAAATGTTGCTGTTAAATTTATAACATTTAGTTGATTCATAATTATTCTCTGTTAAACAGGTAGGTCTTATGAAAAAGAAGTAGGACCTTTGTCAAGAAAAATAGGGGACTTTGTAAGTGTTATCGTAACTATCTGGTGTTACGTTTAACATTAAATGTGATACTTTACTTGTACACAAAGTTGAAAGTGTGAACTATTCATATTATAATAGGTGTTAAAGGTAACATGTCGGTATATGATACCAGAAAATTATGTTAACAGATTCTCTGTGTTCTGTCATTGCCATGAGTGGACGTTTGATCATTGTATGAGTCAAAGGTTATTGAAGAAAGTAATGCAATTTTTTTATTCATAACCTTGCAGCTTCAATCACAGACTAATGCAGAGGGTAGTGCCATTCTGGTACTAGATAACACAGCTGGGGAACTTCACAACAAGGTACACTTTATAGAAATACCTGCTTATTTTAAAACTTCAATAAACAGTACCATTAATAAGATTAATTAGATTCCAAGTGGTACTTAACATGTGTACTGACTGCATAACTTGCAGTTCATGTTACAAGATGTGAATTTACCTGTGTATAGTCTATTGATACATAATCTGTGTAACCATACATTTACATATTAAATAAAGGGATTAAGAGTTTTAAAGGGCTAAGGCTTGAAATGTCAGCTTTGAAACTGACTTTACAGTTGTCAATTTACATTATGACCTCAGTCGATAAAACCAAATTATTTTGTTATGCATTCATGTACATAGGCCAAGAGACGTATAATGTATTGTATAGTGTAATTATGCTTGAAATTTGGGGTTGTGGCTTATACACAAGTTTTTGCGGCAATGAGACTAATTAGAGAGCAATGTCTCACAACGCGTTGAAAACTTAATTGCTATAACAAGGTAGGTATTTGATAGAACTACTCCTCAGTCTTTGGTTATTACATGCAAGCGTGAAGTGCATGGATAAGATTATTGTAGATGGATGAAAATTGCTCTTGATCTTGTTGGGCCTATAACCACATGTGTTTCATGTGTTTGAGCTGGGCCCCAATGAAAACCACCTTGGTGAGTTGGGTGTCCTTATAAGATATAAATATTTAAGAAGTGAATAGTTTTTCTTCAAGCAGACACTGACAGGAGGGTGTTTTATAATTGTATAATTTATGATCTACAGCAAGAATGCAGTGGATCAAATAGTGTGGACATGAAAAGAATTGAGGTAGGGATAAGTGATTTGTATGTACATGACAGAAAACATCAACTTTGGTTAGAGTTTTTTTTGTTTTTTTTGTTTTTCATTGTCCTCAAGTTACTTAACCCTTTACACCCTAACATCAGTATCCATATTCTCTCGACTGTTCGCTATACACATCCTAAGCTACTGACAAGGAGAATTTGTTTTAAAATCAAGAGTTTCTTTTTTTGGTGATCATTTTCTCTAATTCTTAATGTGTGATATTGGGGTGATATTGTACAGAGAAATAAGTTGCCAGTCACTCTCTGAAATTAAATATTTGTCACCCTGTGGGTCAAAGGTCAACCAATTGTCCAACGTCAAATCAAAGTTTCTATACAGTATGTGTTTGTGGAATTTGCAGACACAATGTAACATGTAGTCACCACCTGAATGCATTTGAAGGTCTTAGAAATTAGTTATTTTCATGCTAATTTCTCCACAAATTTGCAGGTTTCTGGAAGCATTTTTGAGGAAGTCGTTAAATCTGGCCAAAAATTGAATGTTGCGGATATAGAAAAGGTACGTTGCACAGTGGATTTGCCGTCGCATGGACAACTGCATTTAATCAAAATGATCTAGGAACTTAAATTTGTGCAGCCCCAGTGATATTGCTACAAACTGTTGATATCAAGCCAATTTGAACCCTTTTTTTGCTTAAATTATTTTCCTGAAACCTTTTTAGGACACAAAGTACAGATATGACCTGCAGAGAATAACAGGTAAGTTCTCAAAGCGTTGAACAATAGCTCAATTTTAGCTAGAAAAATTGGATCAAGTATATCTCCATGCACAGTATATCAAGTTGGTTGAAGATTTCTGTAATAAAATTTCCACTTCTTAAGTTTACCGCATGGCCTGGCGGCAACAAGGATATTATGAAGAAAGAAGCAAAACGGAAACAAGGAAAGAAGAACTGAACATAGATCGTTGACTCTGTATTCACTGTAGTGTACCGCATGTTGTTCTTGAATTCTGCATAATTCACACCATCACCTAGAATGAAGCCTGGAGAGAAATTTGTAAAACATACCCTATTATCTTCTACCTCTTTCAAGTATGAAAATGTTGTTCGCATGTTAACCTGAATTCTGCATAATTCACACCATCACCTGTAGTGAAGTCTGGATAGAAACTCCTGAAAGGATACGCTCTTATCTTATACCTCCTTCACGTATGAACAAAGTATCGTGTCTTTAGTTCAAAACTCAATGGCGAAATGCAAAATTCGTGTAAATTCGGCTGACAGGTCGCCAGGGATAATTATCATATTCACCAAATCACCTTTGATGAGTTTCTGTTTTTCTCAGATGGCTACGTTCAATCAATGTTGTGTGTCCCAATTGTCAGTATCAACTCAGGCAATGTTATAGCGGTGGCGTGTGTATTCAACAAAACTCTTCCAGAAAAAAGGTACACAATACATCGAAATGTAGACTTTTACGTAATTACAGTCTCCGTTATTGCATTTTTGTCGTTCTAGACTACGAAAAATTTTTTCCTCACTATTTTGAGAAGGTGTAAAGGGAAATTCGTTTTTAAATAGTTAGGTGACTATTCCGCTTTAAGTAAAGCGTTCACAAAACAGAATGTGTGATTGAAAATAAAGCGTAGACTTATGAATATTCCTATCTTTTTTTATACGAAGGATTTCTGTGTTATGACTATTTTCAGATTTTCCTCCTTTGATGAAGAAAATGCTCAGTTTTGTTGTGAGCATATTGCAGGTCAAGTAGAAAACACATTGGAGTGGGAGAGAGAAATGGTGATAAAAAGGCAACAAAAGGTGTGATATAGTTATAGTTCCTAAATATCTCAGCGTGCGTTTTCGCGGCCAGCATTGCGTCATGAGCTTTTCTTTGCGTGTAACAAGTTTTTGGCCGTGAGCAAAGCGAGGTGTCTAAAAGTCTGCGAGGGTTCGGGCACTAATGACCATTATTAGTGCCAGACCCCTTCTCAGACATTTCGCCAGCTCACCTCAAACTTTCTCACGGGCGTTGAAACGCTCGTGCCGCAAAAGTTTGTTTTAAAATCCCGCCGTCTCTGTACGGACATATGCATCAGTTTCCAATTGGCTGGAATTCTTACAAGCTTTGTGATTTGAAATTTACCTACGTAACAGAAAGTCCAATGCTCCGTTACGCTTTGAATAAATCTTTGCCATTGTACGATACCAATGACTGCGCAATGTAAGTCAAAGGGCTGTGTTTAATTCCTCTGTTCGTAATTTGATTGAGAGACACGTAAAACTGCTCCGCACTATGGAATGAGCATATACATTAATCTTGTTGTGGTTATTCATGCTCGTATATCTTTAAATAAACAGATATATGTTCATTACAGCTCTGAATTTTTGTAATTCTGTAACTCTACTTGAAGCGAATGAAATTTATTCTCAATTTTTGAAGTGTTTCAAAGATGCAAAACACGCGATCATCCGACTTCGCCAAGATCGACGAATGCAGCTGTGAGTTATACAGTTGACCTCAAAAACATCTTCCACTGAATTCTTTCTTTCCCTGTGTAAAAAAACTGTTCAAGACTTCCTTTCAATATTTTTTTCCCCGAGATGATTGATTTAAAGAGTGAAAACTGTAAAGAAATGACGACAGTTGTAACATTTGTTCTGCTAGAATAACTCCTTGAAAATTAATCTTATAGTCATGCAACGTATTCTCACTGAAACCAACGAGACTCGTTGCTAATAGAGAGCTTAGGCACAAACTTGTTTGAGGCTCACACGGTAGCTGGAATTTGAGAGTTCTTTTTCCTGCACCAAGAAGAAAAGAAGAAAAGCAATGAAAAGAATCAAAATTATCAATCTAGGGTACTGTTTCTCTAACACCAAATTCAAAGGTAACGTTTCTTAGACAGCGCTGAGAATTGATGTTTCGATTTTGGAAGTGAAATGGTTCATGCGCTGAAGCAATGACTCTTTAGTTGATCGGTTTGTGTGAAAGCGTCCCATAAGTAGTTCAGTTCATCTTCTTGAGCTATACTGGCGCGTCTTAAAACGTCTTCGCTATTATCCAATCAGAAATTTCTTCAACGAGAAAAGCCAGTTGAGGGAGCTGGTGAAAGGAAAATGATGGAACGCCTCTAAGAGAGCGAGTAGAGATCTTTATTTGGTACAGTGGTATTAGGGAAGACATTTGTTAACTCGTTTTTTTTTTCTTTCCGACCAGCATTTACTGAAGGTTGCAAAAAACCTGTTTACTCTCGTAGGTGAGCTCAGTTTTTAAATCGTTTGTTGTTTACATTAGTATTTATCTGCTTTGCTGAATCAGATTTGAATCTGAATTGATTTGTTGTGGACTCGTAAAAATGGTGTCGCTTTGGATACAAGAAATGATTCCATTCGTGCGCAGCGTCCCTGTGAAGTTCATAACACGACGTTCACACCTCGGGCCTTACACCTGTTACCGCTGTGTGGTTGTTAATTGTACTATCCGTAAGGTAACGCTAATGGACTGATCAGCTCTTCGTTGTATTCTTATTAAAAAGTCTATGAATTATTCTAATTTGCAGACGATGTCAGCGTTTTATTAAGTGAAATCATGACAGAGGCTCGGAATTTGACCAACGCTGAAAGGTAAAATAGATACAGGCTACTTTCTTTTGGCCCTAGTTTTCCTTGCTTTCGAAGTCAAGTGATTTGTTTTATTAACTGCTGTCAGACCGCGCATATCTCTTCACCCTGAAGCCTTTTTAGAGAAGACAACCACAGGACCTTAGAGCGCATTTCAATTTGGTGTCCTGAAACCAAAGTAATCACACCACCCAATCAGAGCAAAGCAAAATGTCACCCCGAACCAATGAGAATTCGAAGAATCGAGTGACCAGGTCGCTTTTGGTGTTAGTTTGCATTTAATTTGTTGGGAGGGTGGCGCGACTTTTCTCGACCAATCACAGCGCAGAGCAACGAGAAACCAAAGCAGCCCTGATTGAAAAGTGTTCTAATGAACGTATTAAAGGTGATCGTCAATCTACTTCTCGATTCTCGAAGGTGCTCTCTGTTTCTTTGGGACAAAGAAAGAGATGAACTTGTGGCCAAGGTTTTTGACGGAGAAATCCCCTCAGATGGTTCAGACAATGGAAAGGTTTGTCCAAGCTATTGAAAATTCAAGACCTAGCTTCGAGTTCTCGCACTATTTCTCATGAAGGAGCTTGAAGACAGCAAACATTATCCTGGCTCTCGGTCATGATTTACCGATCCGTTTGCTCCTATCATTCAACATTTAGCGTTTTGAATGGAATTATAAGAAAATAAGTGAACTATGACGGTACATGAGCTACTTGGAATTAATGAGCTTGGTCGCGCAAAGGCCAAAACCTTCATAAAAGTATGCGTTGTTGTATTTGTCTGTTAAGTCGTCGCCTAGGTTAGATTATTTTTATTGTTAGTCTACTTTATGAGTAAAGCTCCTACGAACTTCCACCTCCTTCACCTAAGTTAGGAACTATCTGAATAGTGTTTGAATTATGTAGGAACCAGAAGTGAGGATTCCAGTCACCCAGGGCATCGTGGGTCACGTTGCTACAACAGGTACTGCATGAAAACGAGTTTACTGTAACAAATTGTCTGTATGATTTATGTCTTACGGCAAAATATACGTCTTCCAGTTCCGTATCGCGGTTAGTTTACTGGTTTACAACCAAATCAGCATTGATGCAAGGCACAGAGGCAGAGTTCCTGCAGACTATTGAGCTTCTGTTATCCAAAGATAACAGAAGACACAAGTCGCAAATGGACAACAGTTTTCTCTCCGAGTCATTTTATTGAAAACAGTGTGAAAATCAACTTTAAGCAGCGGATGGTGGTAGCGTAGGTAAAGAATGGGGCAATTATATGCGTAACTTGTGTTAATAACAAAACGACTTTTGAACATGGTTCCATTTCTCAAGAGCCGACCTTCTACTTCCAAAATTTACTTACTGCTCTTTTTGTCGCGTTATCAGGGAAGATGCTGAACATAAAAGACGCGTACAGCCATCCTATGTTCTATAAGGGGCTTGATGAGAAAACAGGCTTTAGAACAAGGTAAAGGTTTGTTCTCTTCTTCGCCATAGTATCGGAATGGACTTTTCAATTCTAGTACTGTTGTGTGTACGACGGCAAGACCCACTCTATTGCAACGCATGTATGTGGCATTTCCTGTCAACAACAATTTGTTTTTATACATCTATTTTTATAGTTTATTTACAGCTCCAACTATTAATGTTTATCGCACGTCGTTCATTTGAGTGTTTGTATGTTTCTTCATGTTTAGAAATATTCTCTGCTTTCCGATTAAAGACGAAGAAGGTAAGTCACCTTTTTTTTTTCATGAGAATTGTACAATGGTCTTCTTTTTGTATTGTTAAAATATAATATCCTTTCTTGTCTCATTACAGACGTGATTGGAGTAGCACAGTTGTGCAATAAGACAAATGGTATGTTAACCAAGATTAGAATCAGTTTAAATGTTTTTTGAAGCAACATGAATTATCACTATGAGAAGATACTGGTTTGATTATAGTTGGCAGCGTGACCTTCAATTAATTTCGCATATTTATATAAATTGCAGTAATGTTTTAATGCCAAAGACAATTTTGTAAGCAAGTTTGAGACCATCGAATGATGGGACCATCTGCCGTATATCAACTCGCCTCGCGGAAATGTTTTTTCAACTTCTGAGGTAGTAATAAAGCAAGTTTCCCTTGCAATGATTTGTTTATGATTAAAAGCGCTCTTCTTAAAATCGAAACGCAAAGTTGACATATCAAGTTACCACGAGGAAATTCTTATATGACAGATGTAGATTGTGTTTTCAATGCGCGCGATACAAATTTGATGTTTTAGACCCAACAGATATTCAGCAATCTCATCGAAATGTATTTGATACAAATCGACTTTTCTTCCACATTGCAGGTTCTTGTTTTACAAAGTTTGATGAAGATCTGACCAGAGCATTTGCCATTTATTGTGGTGTGAGCATTTTCCATGTAAGTTTCCGACGCAGTGTTTTGCAGTTGTCGTGTTTGATGGTTGTTGTGTTTCCTATCGACTTCAAGCGAAAGCCTATGCAAAACAAAAACAGAGAACAGACACGTAAGCAAGCAATGAACAACAAATAAACAAACAACTAGGTCAGTGCAGTTTGCCTCTGGAAATTAAAAGGCGTGCATTCCTGCATGCGTGTGCGGACATGAAACTAACAAACAAAAAACAATAAGAAAAGTTTCGAGAAAAGTTGTCGGAAAAAAGAAAAAAAAACGCGACAATCTCAAAAGATAACCTGGGTATCCGGTAATTGATGAATTTTAATGATTAAAATGTGTAAATGAATTCATCAAACCTGCGATGCTTCGTCCTAACAGTGACGTTTTTACAGATTTTGCTGAAATCCTAAGTGCGAGGAACCGTGACCTGAAAACTATCCATAATACCTTTCGGGGTTGTCACGTGCACTTAGACGCGTTTTATTCTGACAACCTTTCTCTAAACAGCTGAATGTGATGAAGCCCACATTAGTTTCAAAAGATAGCTACTTTTTGATTTAAAGGTAGTTAATTCGGTATCAGTTATCTGCATCGTTTGTTTGTTTGTTTGTTCTTAACGTTTTACCCCATTAATAAATTATGTTCATGTAACAGTCTCCCGATCTTAACGTTGCTTTGACATCTTTTTTCAGTCTCTTTTATATAAGAAAGCAAAAGACGCTTCACACAGAAGTCGACTATCGTCTGAAATGATGATTTACCATATGAATGTAAGTTTAGTGATATGAGCAAGGTGTTGAGGTTATTTGTTTTTTGTTGAGAACAAATCATAAACGCGTCTGGTCAGATCGCTTTACTAGCATGTTTTGCTTTTATTTATTACTTGATATGAAGTGACTTATCAAGATTTAATTCTCGTGTTTTCAACCAATTTCGCTTAAGGTGTCTCAAGCCGAAGTGGATCCGCTCGTTAACAGGTCAATTTGCACCACGGATGACGTACATCCACAGTTTAGCCAGTTCCCATGTGCGCCAAGAACTATTTTCCCAGATAATATGATTCCAGTAAGTAGAGCTTGCACTTACCAAACTCATCCTTGGTCATCAACGCTTACAAGGCAAATCTGATGTTTTCTGTCCTGCTCTGTAGGCCTGTCTTTGTATGTTTGAAGATCTTGGAATGATCGAGAGATGGAAAATTCCAAAGGAGGTGCTAGTAAGGTCTGTGTTATAAAGAATTTATTATTTGTGTGTCCTATATAAGGAAGTGGTGTCCCGCATATGACAGTAGGAGACCAAACGTTACATGCTCATAGAGTTTAAGGTTTGCGGGGTAAACTCAAGGATATGTATTTGAAATTAGAATTTCAATATTTAGTGTAAAAGTGACATCAAATCCAACAAAAATAACAAAGAAATGATAGAGACAAGAATTTTGCCCTTTGGAATTGATGTTGGACATATGACGTGTTATGATTACAGGTTTTTGCTTATGGTGAGGAAAGGTTATAGAAACCCTCCATATCACAACTGGATTCACGCTTTCACCGTGGCTCACTTCTGTTATCTTCTTTACAAGAACGCAAAGATTAGCAATCGCTTAAGGTTAGTCAGTTTCACGTACACTTTGGTGTCTGATGTGCTTGTTCTAATTGGTTAGTTATTCTCACTTCAGGAATGCATTTAATCTGAACCCCACTTTCTGTGGAACAGATAATATCAGTGACTAATTCTCGTGTAGAAGGTGTTGTAAACTCTCAATAACTCTTCACAAGGGGCTCAACTTTTGTGTAAACAAAGATGTACTTGAGTGATATGCTTACTTGAAAAAAATGGGATTAGTTGTTAGAGGGAGCTGAAGTTTAATCGCAAGCTTGCCATACATATGTAAACATCTCCATTCTATTTTTTTTTTTTTAATTGTTCGAAATAAATCCAAGACCTCCTCAAGCGAGCAGTGCGTTAACAAAGTGATCTGGCTTGTGTCGCTATAGTCAAATTTCTAAAAGAAATCTGAACATCACAATATTTCGAACACGAGCGTTTTGCGCCTGTCGAGTTTCGCCTTTTGAGTTCATTTTTAATGAGAACATGTCAGACTATTTTTTTCTTTTTTTCTTTTTTGTTTTTCCTTATATATGGTAATTTGCTTTCCTTGCATTACAGAGACGTTGAAATGTTGGCATTGTTCGTAGCTTGTCTGTGCCATGATATCGACCACAGGGGGACCACAAATTCCTTCCAGGTTTCTTCAGTAGGTAGACAGTTTTGGTTGTGACAATTCCTGGTCAATGTCTTGGCTTACGATGTTTTCCTTTACTCATACTCAATGGTTATTTTATTTGACAGGGCTCCACGCTCGCAGCCCTGTATAGTTCAAAGGGATCTGTGTTGGAGGTAAGGAACTTCAGTTTAGCCAGTTGAAAAAATTGTCTTCACGCCAGGTTTCCATCTAGTTCAGTGTGCGATAATCACAGCTGTTCACTGTGTTGGATTTATTAATGTTTAAAACAATTCCGTTTGGTTCCCTCACATTTCTGCAAAAAGGTTACGAAAAACAAACATGTTGTAGCGAGCGTGGAAAGTACAGGTTGAAACCAAACAATTTTGTTCCGGTTTGCGATAGTTAGGCAGATGTTTTGCGCCACAATCCAAACATCGAGTTACTTAGGTCCGCCATTCCTTCACTAAAACATGAGGCAATTGGTCCGTTTCAAGTACTTGTCAATCAGTTGTGCCTGCACTTGATTACCAGTTTACTGTAGTGAATCTGACTCTATATTATTAAAATAGAATTGGTTTCATAAAATCTCTGTTTCCCTTTCACAGAGACATCATTTTGCGCAGACTATGTGTGTGCTCAACTCTGAAGGATGTAATATATTCAAGAATTTAACTGGAAAAGTATGATGCTCAGCAGTAACTTAAAGTTAAGCCCCTTTTGTTGGAAAAAAGTATTTCGCCAAAACTTTTATTTCAGTGAATATTGATTTTCGTGAGCTTTTGTTAAGAGGGCTTAAAGGCAACAGTTGGAAAAACATGCATCAACTTTTGGGCAGTTCGTTTTAAAAAAGAAAATTATTTTCCGTTAGTTTTTCAGAGTTTATAGAGGATATCGTTCCCCTCAACGATTTAACCCAGGAATCAGTGTTAGCCCTTTTAATACACCCTAAGATCAGTATGCATATTCTCCATACTGTTCTCTGTACATTTCCTAAGTTGCTGACAAGGAGAATTTAATTGGTGACCATTTCATTTATTCTCGTGACCTTAATGTTGGATTCACGGGTGATTTGTAGGGAGACATTGGATGCTAGTCACTCCAGGGTCAAAGAGTTGACCAACAGAAGCTTCATTCTCTTGAAGTGCTCATTTGCCCAGTTGTAGCATTTTGCATGTATGGGTAGTTTTTAAATGCTTTAATAATTAATTGTAAATCATTTCTATTTAGGACTTCGAAGAAGTTTTTAGTCTTATTCGGGATATTATTCTAGCAACGGACCTTGCCCATCACTTGAAAATCCTTCAAGACATCAAGAACATGGCTAAAGGTAACAACGTAAATTGGCCACCGTAAAGAGTTTCAATTGAAGCTGACGTTTCGAGCGTTAGCCCTTCGTCAGAGGGCGAATGACGAAGAGCTGACGCTCGAAACGTAAGCTTTGCAACTCTTTACGGTGGCCAATTTACGGTATCAACTCAGTCGATGACACTAAATTACCCACCGACACAGCACCACAGTTTCTTTAGCAACTTACCCCCTTTATTCAAAGGTAACACTGTTTATTTCGTGGGTTTTAAGAAATCCCTTACGTCTCCTTGGAGCGGTATTGCCCTTTCAAAATTGTGACTGGTTTTTGGTATGAAAAAACTGCAAACTGTTGCGATTCACCGAATATGTAGAGTGGATCACCATTCACCGTGAGAGGTTCCATATACACTCCAAAGTATTAATCGGAAGGTCGTAGGAACAACTCCTTTTTGGAGCATTTGGAGTTTTCTTTCTTTGAGTATGCTTGTGTTATTCGCTGAAAAACATTATCTTTCACTTTATTACCATCTTCAATAACATCATCAATTAATACTGTTATATCGTTTACCTTGACTAACTTTTATTAATATATTTTTCAGATGGTTTCAAAAAGGATTCAAAAGATCACCACACTCTTCTTCTTTATCTTATGATGACAGCCAGCGATTTGTCTGATCAAACTAAGAACTGGGAAGGAACGAGAAGAACGGCGGTAAGCGAACTGGTCAAATGGAAAATTGACAGTTACAATATTGGCCACTTCACTTTACCTCGTTTTGTGTAGTGGTTATTGCGCTGGTTTCCGGACCTCTCGGTCCGATCACGAACCTTCTTGAGTCATTGGGGTGTGTTTTTGGGAAAGAGTTCAACTGCTTCTCCTGTAGGATTGTTAATAGCCTCCAAGCCAACTGTCGGTGGAAATTTTACACAGCTCCTTCACGTGAGGTTTAAAATGCTTTCCGTAAGATCTATCATAAATTTCTATGGTTATGTTTGAGTGAAATCCTATCTATCTGGCCAGCTTTATTCATTTACCTCGGCATTGACATTTAATGGAAAAGCGGTGTACTCACCTCTTTAAACGATTTTAATGGTAGTTGACGCTAAGAAGGACGTCCTTGCTGTCTTGTCTATGGCAGCGCTTTCCAGTGCTATGGTCATGCGGCAAATGTAACACAGAGACGATCTTTCAAATTTTATTGTGACATCTATTAAATGTTACTTGTTGGCCTCCATTACAGGATCTGATATACACCGAGTTCTTTTCACAAGGTGACAAGGTAAGGAATGAATGATAAAAGTTCAATCAACAAAGTGAATTTTAAACGGAGTCACATAGTGGGCCCTTTTTTTTTCACCTCAACCCTTTAACCCTCAGAAGTAATTAGTATATAAGTTCTCCGTACCATATCCACACACTATTCTGCAAACAGGTAATGAGAATACTCGACCTCATCAGGTAGAAGTTGTTATCTTGATCTAACACCAAATTCTTGTACTTAATTTACAAGGAAATGTGTAGCAGCTAGAGGGGCGAATTGACAATCGGGTCTTGGGAGTTACAGGGTTAAAGGCTTCTTTTACTGTTAAGGCTTGTACTGCTACACGTACTAAAGTTTTAAAAGAAACCGTGACCACAGAGCTAAGTTTTCTTGTATTCATATTTCTTTTTTTCTGGTTTTGCTTCCTCTGCCAGAATTCATTAAAAATATATCACATATTTTTTGTTGTGTTTGGTGATTGCGTTTTTTTGTTTGCTTTTGTTTTTGTGTCATTTTAGGAAAAGCACATGGGAATTACTCCAAGCGAAATGATGGACAGAGATAGAGCGTGTATTCCAAAATTGCAAATCGATTTCCTGGATGCAATTGCACTTCCGGTATACAGGTAGTTACATTTCAATGTAGTTATGCAGCTGTGTGAATGGAATCGGCCGTAGGACGTGAGTTTTACTTACCGAACTGCTGTCATGTTTGGCGGATGAGTTCGAATCTGGTAAATAAGCCTATCAGAAAAAACAAAGAAACAAACAGATACCACTACATTGCTCAACGGGTAGCTTGTGATTGGATGAATGAGTTTATTGCCTTCTAAATAATTTATGTTCTCCGCCTGTCTTCTGCTCAGACGTGCTATCTGCTCGTTATACAACAACTTGTTAACACATATATTGAATCTATTATCATTGGTGACACCGTCATTAAACCTTTAGAAAGCGTCCGGAATCTTGGGTCCTAGTTCAATGCGAATGACTGTTCATATAGGCAAGATTTGTGGCACGGCTTTTCGCGGACTATACAACAAAAGACACATCAGAAAATTCCTTACCGTGCAATCGACAAAGACACCGATCCATGCCTTTGTATCTTCGCACCCTGATAAATGTAACGCACTTCTTTTTGGTCTTCCTAAATATCAATTTGATCGTTTACAGAAAGTTCATAATGCTGCAGATAGAGTGATTTTTCAGATTGCTAAATTTGATCATATCACACCCGCACTTATCGGCCTACATCGGCTCCCAGTAACATTCAGCGTTCAGTTCAGATTGCTTCTTTTTGTTTATAAGTCGCTGCACAACCAAATTCCACTCTACATTAAAGATCTTTTGTCCCTGAAACCTGCCGCTAATTATGCTCTTCGCTCGTCTGTACAATCTCTCCTGTTCGTTCCTAAAATCAAATGCTTTACACGTGGGGACTAGGCCATTGCTCATGTTGCACCTGTTTTATGGAACTCGCTGCCATTAACTATAAGAACAAGTGGTAGCCTCACAATTTTTAAAAAGCATCTTAAAACATTTCTCTTTAGGGAAAGCTTATAGTTTATTAGAATAGCTCTGAATGTTTAGTGCTTTGAAAATTTTGATTTTAATTTTGTATTGAATTTTAGACTTTCATGTCTTTTTTTTTTTTTAGATTTTAGCTTTACTATAATTACTGTTATTACTAGCTTCTTAGGAATTTTAATCTAACTTGAAGTAAAGCGCTTTTGAGTATTTTAGTGTTAGCGCTATACAAATTCTTTAATAATAATAAAGTTATGTCTCCAAGTTGCAATTGCCGTTATTTTTTAACCTGATTTTAAGCCAACTGCGATTTTGAGACGCCAGTATTGCATGATTACGGGGGCTCGTTGGGAGAAAATATTTTCTGGTGTAAGGTGGAGTCGCGAGACGTAATACGAAAATAAATTTTCGTCCCTTCCCCTGACTTGCTTTTGTTCTTCCTATTTTGTTTATTTATCTATTTTTTCTAATCATTTCTTTTCTTTTTTTTTGTCCATATCCAGGCTGTTGTCCTCTCTACTACCGGAGACTGAAGTAGTTTTAGACACAGTTTTGACTAACAGAGAGAAATGGCAAAAGGCTCAAGAAGATGGCGACTACGTGTACAGACCAGTGGCTACTACTGACAAAGAAATCAATGGGAATGTGCCTCTATCACCATCATAACGGTGCCATAACTCGCTCTTCCGATTGAACAATTCATGGAACAAATTATAGTAGGAAACCGCTCTACGACAAACCTTTGGGACGTCTTTGTTGGCACTTAAACTCGATAACATACATATTTTTGTATGAAGAGCGGGTTGAAACTTTGCCTAAAAGAGTTGGCCATTGCGGTATCGGATGCATCATTGTCCTTGAGTAATTACGGCACCGGTGTATTGCCTTCATTGAGAAATGTTTTCTAATATTGAATTTCTCCTAGAAGCAAGAGAAATAACGGGTTCAAATGCCTAGGTTGGCTGTCAGTGATAACTCAGAGCTGCGCTCTGTGTATTGGAAGGCTATGCTATCAGATACCTGAGATGCCCAAGTAAGGCAATAGATACGAAAAGTAATGGCCTCTGGTACCCGAACAACTGAAACTCAACTGTATTTATCATTTAATATCCAGAGGTCATTTCTTTTAAAGGCATTTAGGCATAAATTCTATTTATTATGTGGCTAAAATTACTACAAACCACATTTTTTTCCACAGAGTGCTCTTAATAGTGACCAGTGTCGCACGTGGGTCACAGTTTCTTTCACGGCCGCTTTATTTTCATCAGACGTTTTTATAATTCAGGGATCCATCTATGAATAACTGACATGAACGTAAAAACAGAATAAAATTAGGACAAATCCTAAGAGCGAATCACAGTAAACTCAAGTTCACAGTGTAAGACCCAATTTTTGCCATTTACAATTTGGCAAACTGCTAAGTAGGTTCCTGTGGGTTGTTGTTTGATTTCGATGCCAAATCCGCAGATCCTTAAACATATTTTCCTTCCTGTTGGAGTGATTTCCATACGAAAGCGATGAAAAACGATGGGAAAAAAACATGTAGGCCAGCCGTCTATTTTCGGCGATGTTTATTTACCCGTTTATTTTGCTTTATTTAGCTTTATTTGGTTGGATTTAATAACTGTTAGATGCATTTTTTGATAAAATTATTTATGTTAGAGCAAGCCTTAACAGATGCAGTCACGAGTCACGTTTTATTTTCATACTGTAGAGCAGCTACTCCAAATACTGAGAAATTTTCTCCTAGTTGGCGAGCTGAAACATTTCTTTCACAACATTCATCAGTCGTTTAGTAGGTTATCTCTTTGACGAATTACTTTAAAACTTTAATACGATGGAAAAGATTTCCTTCTAAGCCGAGATTTTAAGCACATAAAATTTCACAACGATTTAGAAATATAATATATTAGAGTTTCAATCAACAACTTTATGATCTCGTTTTTGAGGGACTGTTGATCAGATTGATTCACAAAGTTTAGCAATCGTTGCTTTTGAGAGGCGAAATATTTCAAGGGTAGTTCATCTGAAAGGTAGCGTTCAAAATAATTTGCAATTTTTTTTTAGGTGAGGAATTAACGCTTACGTTGTACAATGGGTATTTTTCTTGTTACGTGCTCTTTTAAACACTTAATGAGCATCCTTTGATTGCAATGTTAAAAATAGCATTCTTTGAATGTTAATTCAGTTCCGACTTTAAGTTAAAGATTACACAAAACGTAAGATAGGTATTTATTTAAAGGAAAGGCGCAAATTGCCAGATATGTAAATTTGTTATGAATACACAATATTATGGTTAGTATAAGTTTACAAAGCTGGACAAACAGTATTATAACATAGCTAGTAAATTTGTCCAATCAAATTCAATTGCGCGAGCGTGCTTCATATTCCTATTGTGCACGCTTATGACGTAAGCAAACAAATCCCTCAAGAAAAAAATTTTCCATCGGGTTAAAAATGTTATAAAACAATTGGTTCATGCGTCAGCTGTGCGTTCGTCGAGATATGAAGCACTTAGGAAGTTTGGAGAGCACTCAAGAAGCCAGAGTTGCTCTCGCTACGCCTCGAGCAACTCTTACGCATCTTTCGTGCTCTCCAAACTTCCCGAGTGCTTCATATCTCGATGAGCGCACGCTGACGTATGAACCAATTGTTAAATGATATCTGGGCGCGCAGGCCAGCTATGCAGGCGTCTCATGCGTGCAGCATGTGGAAAAACCAGCTGTGTAAAAGGAAGCTTCAACTATTGTTGTACGAATTCAGACAAACTTATTTAGTGTGAATGGGAGGCAATTATCCTAAGAATCTCAAAATGTAATGTAGCGAACATCTCTGAATTCGCGCCATTTCTGCCTGGCTGCGGCGCTCTCATACCGCAGGTAATGATCGAGGGCACGCAGCAGTTGCTCGCTCAATTACCAACCGCTGTTCGGGGATTGAGCTTGCACTTATCCCTCTAAGTCAAGACCGTTTCGTCTAGAAAGGATCGATTATGAATATAAGTCACCTTGTACATAACCTAACAGTGGTGTAGATTTAACGTCCACATATTGATGTAAAACAGAGACTAAACGCAAGCCAAAGTTAACGAAGAAACGTCTCCTCCTATCAGCTATTACAAACTCTAATCTCATTAATCTCTGAGCATAGCTATCTTCTCTGAAAATTGATATGTACCTGCCAGACAGTAACCTGTGCCTAAGTAGGATAACAAGTTGCACTTCTTTAGGTTATGCGTTGGTAGTCTCGGTGCCATTTGGCGAGTCACATAGCGTGACATAGCGTGACATTGCGTGACAATCGATTTGCCGAGAACTCAATTCTCTTTCACTCTTTCACACCGTTAGGCTTCGTCACTTCAATTTGTCTAAATTATGTTCTTTTCAGAATTCAAGTGAAACAACTGACGAGGTCCACTAAAGATGTTATCAAGAGATTTCATGCATTTTTTTTCCTCTTAGCACTGATCACACCCAAAACAATCGAAAGTATTAGTACATCTTCAATTTCACGCTGAGTAGTTAGGGCCTAACCTATGTAGGGTCCATCTCGATCCATTTTGTTCCCCGTTATATCTCATGCCTTCCAACAGTGACATCGTCCCTGCTGGCAAGTTGTCAGTGTCGGCACTTAACCACGGGTTTTCTTTCATTCTTTCTGTCTAATTTGTTTCACGACTACGCACTTGGGTGCACGTGTTTTTGTTTTCTCTCCAATTTTTTTTTTTTTTTAATTTAACTCCTCATTTTCACTTTCTCCTGTTCCTCTTGTCACTTCAAACTGGAAAACAAGCAAACCCACGCAATTCATTTTATTGCTAAACATCATTTACATCGTAATACTTTTGACCTGTGACCGTGAAAATGAGGATTTTTGCATTTAAATGTGAATTGATTTTTTTGTATTATTCGCAGCTCGTGAAAAGGCAATATTTACACTCGGTTTTTTTACTTTATACGCAAAAGTTAATTTTTCAGAGGAAAGGTAGATCCTCAAAGAATCTAAGTGGGAGATAGTTTAGTAAGAAATGCGTGGTTTCTGGTGGCGTCGAGATCTTATATTTCCGCTTACATCTATTGTTACGTAAAAATAGTTAGTGAATCCACGCAGACAGGATGTACACGTTTCATTAATAGTTCTCTTTAAACAGTTTCACGACGTTTTCCGAAGCAATTTGACAAATCGTTTGACAAGATGCAGGTAGAACTGAAGATTTATATGTTTCTTCCATTGAATGGCGGAAAAAAGGAAAGTGGCAGGATTTTCTGAAGTACCCTCCGCACTGATTCACGTATCACTGACTCAGGAGGTTGTGATGCCTATGAAATGTCTTCGAAATGAAGATTTTGTTGAGTCTAACTTTGGAGGGTTTTTACTGCAAGTGTTTGAGTTACCCGAACTTCTCATAATACCCGAAAGAATACTTGAATTCCGCTTTCACAACCTTTGTGTAATTACTATTTATTCCATTATTCTCTTACGTAAGTGATAATACTTCGTGGCCCTTCCGTTCGTTGAATGATGCAGTTCGGCTAAACACCTTTACGTTCAACGTGAAATGTTTAAAGAAACACATTTGATCGGTTATGCAAACCAAGTTTAGCTGAAAAACTGCGGTCAAAATTATCGCATATTTAGCGATAATGAACGTTGGCCTTAGTAAGCAGTGTTAAGATGTCTTATTGCAAAAACTGGAAGGAAATTTATTTATTGCAAACAGCTCTTTACAGAGAACTCTGGAGGTCAATTCGATAATGGAGGTCGATTCTGGAGGTCGATTCGATAATGGAGGTCGATTCAGGAAGACATTTTTTTTTACTTGTCGCATGGTGTTTAAGACCCTATTCTCCATTTTCTTTGTTTCTTATTTCTTTCTAATTAAGATCTACATTCTAATTCTCCCCATTGTGTGCTTTTAATATTTCTAATGCTTGTTCAGGAGTTTGGTGTTTAATCATATGATATCCCCAGTTAAAATTTCCCCACTCATGACTTCTCTGCATGACATTGTTCTACTCTGGAGCGAAAGTACAACATCTTTCTGAGTTTCAGCTACAATTACAGTTTGAGCTTCATAAATGAATAAACTTATATTATTATTATTATTATTATTTTTGCAAATATACTACTGTCATTGTGCAAGAAAATATTGGTCCAATGGAAAATCCGAGTAAGAGAAAAGATGTCACGTACTCGCACTAGATGATTGACTCAGGGACTCGTACAATGGAAGACTACTACGTGACTAACATGTATATTAACGTTAAAGCCACAAACATAAGACAGCAGTGTCGTTCACATTATCGCGGAATTCTTTTTACAACCCTAAAAAAAACCTTAAACATTTGCTATTTTGCCACTTGGCAGAGAGACACACTGTCCGAATCTTACCTTCTTTGCTTCTCATTATGATCTGGCAATTTAAAAGCCGATTTATTACAAGAGAACGAACACACAACTACCACGCAGTTTCGTTCATATTTCGATTTCATTTATTTATCAACGTGTTTAAATCTTTGGAAAAAAAGAGGTGTTTTAAAGATTCTTAAAAAGAGCTATTCTAGAGTAAGTTAATATTATGCTAGAAGCTAAGAAGTGCTCGTATCTAATTCTTGATTTCTAAAATCGCAAAACCCAAGTTTGCTATTAGCGTAAATGTAAGGAACTTGCCCAGTTTTTTTTCCTTTTTTTAATTTTTTTTTTTTTGCTTTCTTTTTAAAAGCTTTTTTACGTGTCTTTTGTTTTAAATTCAAAGAGAGATTTATGTCGACTCCTCAATTATCCCACTCTTTCTTCATTTTCCCAGTCGTGAGAAAAGACCAAAATGAAAAATGGTTAAAATGACGGTATACGGCTCATTTTGGTTTTTGGAGACCACCTCGGGAACATTAGCCTTTAATTACGTCAACTTTGAAATTTTGGTTGTGCTAACGTTTAGCAATGTATCTTTTACCTTGTACGAAATGTCTGAATGCTACTTTTTTCACAGATCAATAAGCAAACAGACCTACTCAAAGACCCAAAAGTATTTTAGTTGAAGACGCAGGGCAGTGTTTAGGAGCAGCAAGCAGAAAACAGCAACTGTCATCTATTTCACCACGCATTGCGCCGGATAATTAGCCAATAACTCATGATTTTCGATTCAGTCCGGTCTGTGTGGTATTATTGCCGTATGAATTGTCATGAAAAATCAAAATTTCAGCAATTGGAGAAACTAGTTAACGGTGAAGATGTTGTTTGGGGTGTTGAAGTGTCTTTTTTTTGGTTGTTAGGCTGCGAAGAAGGTGCTTCCTTATTTTTCAAATGATAACGGCCCTTAGGGATGTGAACACCCATGACGTGAGGTCTTGAACATTCTATAAAAGTCTTTCGCTTGAGAAGATTTCCCCAAATGTGATGTTGATATTGTAAAAATTTCAAAAACCCTTTCTAATGGAAAGGTTTATTTATTTCCGCCGGGCACTGATACGATGAGGGGGTTTGGAGCTCACGAAATCATTTTAAAAGAATTAGATTCTTGTTGTGATGGACGGAAACGAAGGGTGAGAGGCAAAGAGTAACTTGAAATAAATTTTTTTAGTATTGTTTTTATTTCACGAAAGAATATATTAGTAAACTGATCACTTAGGAGAAAATGGCACACCCGCATTCATGCTGTATTTTTTCGACTAGAAATGGTTCATTTCCAAAATAAAAATTAGATTTTTGTTCAGTCCGTGGAGTGATACATAGACTGTGATGAGGAAGCACTCAGCTGATAAACAAAAATGGATGTATACGATTTCATTGACACCTGTGATCTTCTTCAGAAAGACTAACGCCATGTTTTTGCCTACTCTACATTTCAATACCATGGCGGACTAAGCTGTTGCCGAAATGCGAGCCTTGCGAGCAGATTCGTTCTTGCTAGACCAGCGAGCTCGACCAAGTCACGACTGTTATCAATGATTGCCGAAGAAGAAGATCTTTGTACAGTATCGATGTTCTGTTTTTGTCTGCAGTTAGCATTCACGTGTATATACTGCTTGAATTATTGCAAGGCACGTGTCAAGCCTTTGCCGATAATACTTCCGCTTCATGGTGAAAAGCAATTACTTGACAATAAAAATGCGAATTTCTTTCCTTTTAATAAAAGCGATCTTCTCAAAAGTTTTAATCCGCCTCTAAGAACTAACTTAGGTCACTTAGGCAGACGGTATTAAGCAGTGGTAATACTAGATAAAATAACTGAATTGTCTTTGTGTTTTTTTTCCACAATTATCTTACAGTTACGTAATGATATGTGTTAGTGATAGAAAGGAATATATCAAACGAAATTTAACAGTAATCACGTGTAAACAGTAGCTTAACCGTTCAGGAACCCGTGTTCTCGGAAGTTGCGTGGGTATAGTGGTGGGCTTTGTTGTGCAACCTTACATCAAATAAAGTCAATGGTCTAATTTCGATATATTGAAATTTCCAGAGTGCAGTGGGTGATGAAAAGAAAATGATATGGTTGATATCGCACGTACAAGCAAGTTTCCTGCTGATGTTTAAAAAGGATCTTAGAAAGCGAATTAACCCCAGCAAATCAGAATTCGTAGAAAGCAAGTGATCAAAGGCACTGGGGTAAAGTAACCTTGCTCATTTCTCATCGTTCCTTGACTCGTCTATTATAAGAGACTTTGCTGCCTCGATCTTGGATTTCAAATTAATTGACTTATCTCAGATTTTCCAAAACCAAGGAGTGGGTTGAATCGCAAGCTTCTTCCCTAACTGAAAATGTATGCGATAAACACTTGGGATACCATTTTCTTGGTCATCGAGTTTGTGGTGTGCCTTTTAGGAATCGTCTTCAATGGTTTGGTAATTCTTACAATTTGTAGGAGCATCCATCATCTTTCCTCACCGAGCTATCTCATTCTAAGCATCGCAATCAGTGATTTTATTTCCTGTTCAGTGGCTGTTCCATTTTCGATCGCAAGACACTTTAGAGAGGGATGGCCATTTGGCATGGCTGGATGCAAAGCTCATGCTTTTATGATCTTCCTTTTCGCTCTCGTCTCTATTACTCACTTGGCTAATATTTCTGCCGGAAAGTATTTGAACATTACACGGTCTCTTTACAAGAACTCGTACTTTAGCAAGAGACAAATTCTACTGGTAATCTTGGCCTCTTGGATTTTCTCGCTTGGTTTTAGCATTGCGCCTCTGTTGGGATGGTCGCGATATGGCTTAGAGGGAACTAATGCTACCTGCTCTATAAAGTGGGAATCTACTCGAGGAGGAGATAAGGCATATTTTGGAATTGTTTTTATAGCATGCTACGTATTTCCAATCGCAGTGATCACATTTTCTTATTACAAGATCCACAAGGTTTCCAGAGGGATCGTTCGCACTTCATCCCAGATTGGTTGCATTGGATTGACGATGACACAAGCTTTGCTGAGGAAACACCGCAAATCAGCCATGTACTATTTGGCTATCATAATTGCTTTCATGGTTTCATGGTCCCCCTACGCTGTTGTGTCTTTCCTCGCAGTGATAGGGAGAAAAGTGCACCCAATTGCAGCCAGCACATGTAGTGTGTTTGCAAAGATCTCATTTATCCTGAATCCAATTCTGTATGCTATTTTTTCCCGCAAGTTTCGACGACGGATGGTTCGCGTTGTTCCCATGACCAGGCCAAATCGAGAGGTGAGACCAACTACTTGTGTTCAAAACTCAGCAACATTGGCTTTGTGAAAACTATCCATTTGACAGAGAGAAAGTTAATATTGCCTTTCTGAACTCTCCCACTGAAATAATTATTTTCATTGACTCAACTCTGATTTAATTCAATAGCCTTTCGTGTCATTAAAACGTCAAAGATATTTTGATTCACTTGTGATTGACTTCAGTTGTAACTTTCTCTCAACGATAGCACATGAGTTCTTGAAAGCTAATGCTAAGATAATGAGAAACGTCTATATAAATTATATTTCTTTTTGCCCGTAAATTTAATTCATCATATTGTTACGACGTGATGTTCTTAACTCAATAATTACGTCAGTAGCAAGTCCTTCACCGAGTATGTTGGGCCGCAATGTCGGGGAAAACTAGCTGCAGACCCCACAACACGCCATTACCACGGGTATCAAGGACTTTTGACCTGTCTTATAAAGTTTCCACTCTACTTGTCGTTGATTATTGCTGATGACTACTGTCACCAAGTAAACGCTTTGAAGTACATGCTTATACATTCGCTATAGGAAGGTATGAGTGGGCATGCCGGCCAACCGACTACGCAAGATTTAATTTTTGTTGTTAGAACGCTGTATTAACCCAACACTTTTAGAGAATCTCACCAGTGCACCACAAAACACTTAATGCTTTCCATCAACCGAATCTATCATAAAGGCTCACGGTCGGGTAAGGGTGCTTACGATTTTCCAAGACTTTCTATAACTCTGAACTCAACTCGAAATAGTCTTTAAATAAATTGCCATTTTGTTTCACGCCCGTCAAACTTTTCCTTTGTTTCTTTAACTCGTTACAAAACCACAACGAGCACCTCATTAAACGTAGGTATCAAACTTTAGGAGTAACATTGAATGAATCGGTTGCCTAAGCACTAAGAGAGTTGTTAGACTCTCTCCTTCTTCGAGAAAAAAAGTCACCTCAATTTCAGACCCTTTGTTATTGGCAAATTTACGGCAACTTCTCATTCAGGTATCTACTCTTCTTTGATATCAGGATCTTCTTTTACAGTGGTTCATACCAGCAGTTAGTGCGATCACATGTATCAACGGTCAATCAAAAGAACGAAGAGCGCTGTTGATTATGTAACGAGACCATCTAGTGCTCTCCGCCAAGAAAGGGCCGGGTCACACTTGAGTGAATTAAATGGAGAATAAAACATGGGCGAGTGTTTAACTCGAGATGTCGAGTTGATCACGAGAAGAGAAATTTCATATCTACAAGCAACCGTGTATTATTTTGTTTATCATATAAACACAAGAGCCCTTTACTGTCAAGAAAAGTCGACTCTATTAAAGAATGAAAATAAAAGGATCGGCAATCTCCGAAAAAAAATCGTAGAGTGCGTTGGCGCACTTAAGATGAAAACATGCGTTGAATCACGACAAAAACAAACAATGGGCCTAATTTCAATATACAAAATTCTCAAGTATTGAAATGGTCCTTGCCGACAGAAGAAATCCTTCAGGTAAACAGCCATAATCGGCCTCTAGCAAATCTTCCAGTTGTCGATTTTTGTTCTCAGCCGCGAGAAATGCCATTACCAAAGTCACTAAATACGTAACTTTCGGTTTTTCATTTCGTATTTTGGTTATCTTCCTTTCTAGGAAAGTTTGAACGTCACTGTCTGAAAGCGTCGATATGGATATTTCAGTTTTTTAGCAGCCATAATCCGAAAATATTCCTACAAACGACCATGGACAGAGAATGGTGAAGGCTTTGCCGTTCATTCATCAACCTGACCGAGTGGCGCGAAAGGCGTGTGTCAGTAACAGATTGGCAATATCAAACACACGTGAAAAAATATCGTGTCTTTTTTTTCACGTGTGTTGTTACGGCTTTTGTCAGGGCTGGAAATCCTGGTATAACACCGTAGTTTGTATGATAAAATATTACCCAATTTTCGCGAGTCCAAAATTGGCAAAAATTTCCCGTTTTCCAAATTTGGGCGACGGTCGCATCAAACTAGTGTTCTTTGACCAAAACTTCACTGACTGCTTCATACGTCAATCACAAACCCATCTTGCTCTGAAAAGTCGTGGTAAAATAACCAAAGATCTCGCAAGAATCAGTACTACGCAGGAACGGAATTTTTTTTTCGTGCTGATCTCAGTGCGTTTTGGTCGACGCTTGCGCTACTTGTGCTGGCTTTAATACTTGTGATGGAAGGAGAATTTCACGTTGAAGCTATCTGTTTTTTCCAAATTGTTACGGTGCTCACATGCCTCGTTTCCCGCGAAAGAAAAAGGGTTAGATGGACGAGGAAAATTCTGTCATCGCGCCCCAAACTAGGGAAGCGAACTCAAGGATTTTTTCACACTGAAATTATAAACCATCGTGTCTTGAACAACATGACAGCTAAATGGTTAAAAAAAAACATGATTGTTTGTTTTGCCAAAATTTGGAGGCCTCCGAGGACATCGCGTCGATTGAAGACCGCAAAAATTTGGCAAGTTTTTCAAATCGGAGGTACCCTACTTGTTGACAGATTTTTCACGAAACAAACAATAAAAAGCTCTAGTGCAACCCGGGCAAAAGCTTTTTCCGATGCCTCCGTTGTTTGTTACAGTATTAAATCTTATATGTACAATCAAAACTTTTGAAAAATTGCTTAACATTGTATTTAGCGAAGTATACAGTTAACATTTCAGCGTTACAACACGATTGTTTCCTACAACTACAAATGATCTGTCTGTTATGAATTATTAAAGTTGTTTCACCGCTGACCACTCGTATTTCGCTCTTTTTTTTCTTAACCCCGCTCGTCACCTGTACCGAAGTAACTCCCGAATAAAGGATGGCTTGCACAGGTGTAGTGTTATCTAGAACATTTATCATTGAAGACTAAGCGTCTACTAAAGGAAATGCAACAAGGGGAAGGAGAAGAGCAGAATTTTGACCTGTTAACTGGTTTGTATCTATTTACTATAATCGAGTGAATGCACCGAGTAGGTGACTTCAAATTTGCTGTTTGGTCGGTCTGCAAATTTAATAGTTCCTTTATTTAACCATTCGACTAGCATCTAATTTCTCCTTACAATATCACCACTGCATCGAACATTGAGGTCACGAGAATACAGTATATGATCCCCTACTGAAATTTCCTAAGGTGCTGATAAGGAGAATTTGTCTAACAATCAAGAGCTTCTCTAGATGGAGATCATTTCCTCAATTCTCGTGACTTAAATGTGTGATTTAGGGGTGATATTGGAAGGACAAACTAAATGCTCAACACTCTAAGGGGTCAAATAATTCATTTATGTTCCTTGACAAAATCTGTTGAAGCTCAGCGTATGAAAGAGTTTGTTAAAATAGTTTCAGGTGGTGTTTTGTGTGAGTTCTTAGAAGTAGCATTTCACCTCATCTTATATGTGAGGGAAGTCTATCCTGCTGTGGTATTTGAGAGAAGAAAAAAGTATAATGTTCCTGTACAGGTATGGTGTCAAATTTTTGTCAATTGTTAAGGTTAAGAAAAATACCTCTTATTGCAACTTATCATGGAAAGCTGTTTTTTTATCTGTAAATCAGTTATGAAGGGTTTACAATTACATGTATTGTTGAAATCTGTAGCAAATATCATGGCTCTTCTCTACTCATGAGTTTGGGTAGGAGACCCACTTGGAGCTGGTGATTACTGATAAAAATTTGATTTTGGGGGATCAGAGAGGGCTACACATCAGATGGTTTCTGGATGATGTTTTTTGACCTTAGAATTGGCAGTTTTATCCTTAACTTCCCATGCATTATTTAGGTGTAAATTCACAGAGAAAATATATGTGGTCCCAATAAAATTTATGAAAATAACTTAAATACCAGCAGTGATAAATGCAAGGTCTCTATGTTTTCCAGTAACCCTGGATTCTATTTTTTTTCCTTTGGCATCTTCTTGAATTTGAGTGTTCTTTCCGCAGATGTGTTGTCACCCAGATTTGAACCAGTATATCTTAGACGTGCTTCACACCATGAAGCCCTTATTGGAGGAGGTGTGTATTTAAATCATAGCTGCTTGATGATTATAATTTTGTTCTCCAGTTTAATAACTCTTTTGTTTTTCTTGAACTCTTTTGAATCTTGGATCACTAATACTTAAAATGGTAAATAAAGTTGTAGGCATTTTAAAACTTTTTTGCATTACAAGCAAATATTTTAAAAAGCTTCTACCAATTCTTTTGTTGTTGTTTTATTGTGCCAGGTTTCTTTAACCCCTAACCCATAAGAGTCACTAACTTCTCCTGACAATATCTCCTCTGAATCACACATAACGATTACAAGAATGATAAGAAACAAGAATAAACGTTAAAATTCAACTTAAGATAGTTTCCATGTATTGTATTCAGCCCAACTCTCTAAAAAATTTTACGAAACAAATAGTTTCTGCATTGCAGAGTACCTCTAGTGATAGAACACAGATGATGTAAAGATATAGAAAGGACTAAAAAGAGGCACTGGATGTGCAACCAAGTGTGTTACTGACTATTTGTTTTATATCTAATAATAAAAAAAAACAAAGTGTTTTCAATGGTGATGCCATCTTGTAATGTGTCTGTCCTCTAATAGATCATAAGTTAGAACCGGTCAAAAATTCAATAAAATCCAACTTATGATAATGCCTGTTAGAGTTAATCACAATCATAGTTTATTACAAACTATGGCCTGTTTACATGGAGGTGAGGGACCCTGGGCAGGTGAGGTATCCTACCCAGGTTGGTTAAAACCACCTGTCCATCAATCTCTTATCTTGATCATGTTTACATGGTAGGTGGGGTAACCTGCCTAGGTGGGTAGCCTGGTCTGGCAGGTAGGGTAACCCTGTCAGCTGGGGTCATTATTTGCTAGGTAATTGTTATATCCGGGTATCCACGCATATTGCAGGCTTGGCTGCTAAGCCTAAGGACGTTTTGGATACGTTGGATCTGACTAATTTCGGGGTAAAAACTCTTCTTGTATATTGGAGTCTGTTCCGTTACAATTAAAGACTTTGCGACACTACAAATTGGCGACGAGGATAAAAGACAATCGGATAACAGGCCAAGATGAGTTTTGAAAGGTTTTCGTTGTCACCAGTTAATTTAGAGGCGACAAACTTGGCGGATGAGTGGAAGTTTTGGCTCGATGCTTTCGACAACTACCGAATTGCTACGAAATTAGATAAGGAAAGCGACGACGTTCAAAAAGCTACTCTTCTACATCTTGCGGGGACGGGAGTCCAGCGTTTGCTCTCAGGTTTGCCGGGAGAGAACAAGAAATTTGAGGAAGTTAAACAAGCGTTGAGTGCACATTTTCAGCCGAAGAGAAACAAGTGGGCAGAGAGGCACAAGTTTCGAAAACGTGCTCAACTTCAACATGAATCACTTGATACCTTCATTGCAGAGTTACGTATGCTGAGTCTAACATGCGACTTCGGGGAAGCAAATGATGATAATATTCTTGGTCAAGTTATAGAGAAGTGTTCTGACGGATATCTACGAGAAAAGCTACTACAACAAGGAGAGACTCTTACACTGGAAAAAGCCCAGACGCTCGGGAGAGCAATTGAATCTGCAAAGAAGGATACACAGCTACTTGGGGGTCACGGGGCCCAAAACGTTCCTGGAAAATCTGATGTTAATGCGGTAAGATTTTCAGTAAATAAAGCGAAAGAAAAAGCCTGCTTTCGCTGTGGAAAAACGGATCATCTTGCTAATAACGAAAGGTGCAAAGCTAGGAATGCACAGTGCATAAAATGTAAGAAGACTGGTCACTTTTGGAAATATTGCAGATCAAGAGAATCAGAGAATAAAGAAGATGTAAAGTTTGTCCAGCCAGTCCAGCATCAGTCAGATAAGTCTAACCCTGAATATGTTTTGTATACTACTAATAATGAGGGGCTGGGTGTTGAAACTGATGTTGAAATCAATGGTAAACTTGTTCAAATGATGATTGACACTGGCTGTGCTAAAACCTTGATCCCGAAACAGTGGTTTAGAAACAACCTGAACATTCCTCTTAACCCAACCAATGTCAAGTTCTCAGCTTTTGGTGGAGGAGACCTCAAGTGTTTAGGAGTATTTGATGCTAAACTGAGATGCAATAAGATGGAAGTAATGGAGCCAGTGTATGTGATCGATGTGGAAGGTCCCCCCTGTTGGGAAGAAGCGCCCTGTCCACCCTCAACCTTGTAAAAATCCATGCAGTAGGGGAGAGCCCAACCAAGGCGAGGGAGAAGATCTATCAGGAGTATGAAAATCTCTTCAAGGAAGAGCTCGGAGACTTTAAGAATTATGAGTACAAAATTAAAATCAATTCAGATGTCCCTCCCAAGGTACAAAAACAAAGGCCAGTCCCTGCACCCTTAGAGGATAGATTGAAACAAGAAATAGAGCGAATGATCCAAGAAGATGTGATTGAAGAAGCGACAGGAGCATCGTGGATATCACCTGTGCAGATTGTCTACAAGGGGAATGGAGAATTGAGAGTGTGCGTTGATCTCAGGGAAGCTAATAAAGCAGTGGTAAGAGAGCGGTTTCCAATTCCTAGAATCCAAGACCTGTTACGGCAACTGAGTGGGGCTCGGATGTTTTCGACTCTGGATCTAAGGAAAGCATATTGGCAGGTTCGCCTAGCGGAAGAATCTAGAGAAATTACATCGTTCATAGCCGCAGGCAAAGTGTATCAGTTCAAAAGGCTGCCCTTCGGACTTGCGTCAGCACCAGAGGTGTACCAAAGGGTCATGAGCATAGTGTGTGAAGGCTTATCAGGTGTGCTTAGCTACTTTGATGATGTTGTGGTGTACGGGTCAACACCAGAAGAACACTGGAAGAATCTTCGTGCAGTGATGGCTAAACTTCAAGACTGTGGCCTTCGTCTCAATGCAGACAAGTGTGCCTTGGGCATGTGTGAGCTGAAATTTCTAGGACACGTCATCTCTGCTGAGGGCATTAAGCCTGACCCTGACAAGGTAAAAGCCATTGCAGATGCACCAGTACCTCAAAACCAAGCTGAGCTGAGATCATTTCTGGGAAGCATTACATACCTTACACAGTTTGTTTCCAACCTTGCAACAGTGATCACCCCCTTACGATATCTTACGCAGAAGGGTGTGGTGTGGAAATGGAGTACAACAGAATCCAATGCCTTTGAGGAAGTTAAAGAGCTTCTGATTAAAGCACCATGCCTTGCACACTACTCATTGGAAGCCGAGACCAAACTTGTAGTAGATGCCAGCCCAGTCGGTCTTGGGTGTGTCTTGCTGCAAAATGTTGACAGCCGTTGGCAGCCCATATCTTATGCGTCCAGAAGTCTAACTGCTGCAGAGAAGAGATATTCGCAGATCGAACGAGAGGCAATGGCTGTGCTGTTCGGATTGCAGAAGATGCATTCTTACATTTATGGTCGCCACGTTGTCGTCTCGACTGATCATAAACCACTACTTGGCGTATTCAATAAAAACACTCAATCAATTCGCCTGGAACGGATTGCTTTGAGATGTCAGGACTATGACTTCACACTCACTTATGAACCTGGATCTGAGAACATTGCAGATGGACTGTCAAGATTACCTTTGAACGCTACTGTTACAGAAACAAGTTTTGTTGAGGAGCATGTACACTTTGTCAAAAGTGCTGATGCTTTGCTCTCAATTGATGAAATAAAAGAGGCTGGAGAGTCTGACCCTGAATTACTAGAGGTGGTGAAGGTACTTGATGGAACCCAGAACCTGGTAAATAATAAATGGAAACATTTTAAAGATGAACTGAGCTTTGCACAGGGCCTACTGTGGCGAGGTCGACGAATTTATGTTCCTGAGAAGTTGAGAAAAAAGGCATTGACCTTGGCACATGAGGCTCATCAAGGTATTGTGCGTTGCAAGCAACGCCTTCGTAGAATTCTGTTCTGGCCGGGGATGGACTCTGATGTTGAAGACTACTGCCGAAATTGCGAGACTTGTGTGCGCCTTCAGCCACTACGACGAGACACACCTAATACAGCAACTCCTCTTCCCGATTACTGCTGGGAGAAGTGTGCCCTTGACCTGGTGGGTCCATTTCCTGGAGAGATCTACATCATGACTGTTGTTGATTACAGAAGCAAGTGGCCCGAGGCTATTGTTCTTAAGCGTATTACAAGTGAGAGTATAGTCACTGCACTTGCAGATATATTTGCACGATTTGGAAATCCAAAAGTTCTGATCACGGACAATGGACGTCAGTTCGTAGCTGAGGAATTCCAAGACTTCATGAAGGCAAATGGAATACAGCACAGAAGAGTATCACCCTATTTTCCACAAGCAAATGGGCAGGTCGAAAGATTTCATAGGTACCTAAAGCACAGTATCAGAGCAGCAGAGTTAGATGGTCTATCCTGGACAGAGGTTCTGCCCACAATCCTGCAAGTTTACAGATCCACTCCACATGCCGGGACTAACATGACCCCGGCTAAACTGTTTCTCAACAGAGAGATAACAACAAAGTTGCCAACAGTACCAGAAATGGATCAGAACAACCCTGAAGAGAGGTACAAGGAATACCAGAGGAAGTTATGTGAGTATACTGATGCCAAGCGACATGCACAACAACATAACCTAGTACCTGGGGATATTGTATTTGTAGCAAATACAAAATCTGGAAAATTGATTCCCACGTTTGGTCATCAGAAGTATGTCATTGTTCGTAGCAAAGGACCAGATACTTTTGAACTTGTCAATGCTGAGACTGGACAACATCTCACTCGTAATGTGAAGTTTCTTAGTAGAGTTCCACGCATGGAGCTACCAGTTAATGATGACAATGACAACGGCTGCTTGGAGTCGGAAGAGTTCGCTGGGGCAGCGATGCCTCCTTTGGATCAACTCGGATCTACAGTCTCGGATGATAGGAATCCCGCAGATAGTGGTCCTCCCTACTCAGCAATGGAATTGAGACGTTCAACTCGAACACCAAAGCCAAAGAGAGATCCGGACTTTGTTTATGACTAGAACATTGTTTTAGTTCTTCTATGTTAAGTTGCGTTGTTAGAATGGACTTTGAACTTTAAATAGGTTAGGATGGGATGTTATATCCGGGTATCCACGCATATTGCAGGCTTGGCTGCTAAGCCTAAGGACGTTTTGGATACGTTGGATCTGACTAATTTCGGGGTAAAAACTCTTCTTGTATATTGGAGTCTGTTCCGTTACAATTAAAGACTTTGCGACACTACAGTAATTGTCTCAAGGTGGGGTATCGTGCCTACCTGCATTCGCATTCATGTTGCATTTACCATGGCTAAGCAGATAACCTCACCAACCTGGGGTCCCCCACCTTCATGTAATCAGGGCTTTAGGTGGGTTACTTTTTAGCTCCTTTACTCCTGTAGATTTTTTAGTGTTCTTCATAGTTATGCCTGTGGCATTATATCTTTACTAGGGCAAAGTTCAGAGGGTTGCCTTGGTTATTTCAGACAAAGTAAGTTACTTTTGCTTGTAAAAACACCAGTATATAGTGCCTAACTTATGACGTACATGCTGAAGGTGTTAAGTGAGGAAACAACACCTCATATGGATGTTTGGTCTTTTTGAATGTGCTAAGATCATTTTTATGTTAAGTACACATAAAGAACATGTAGTGGGTCTCTTTTATGAGCATTTACCTTTAAGGCAAGAATTTTCCAAAGATCAATTTATATCAAATTGTTAGGAAAATGATAAAGACATTGGAAACAAAATGATGACAAGTAGTAACCTAAATACCCACTGTTTTTTAAGGATACACGCTGTTTCCTGTTTCCTGTTTCGCGTTGTTTGGTTTTAACCTTATAATGTTATACATGGGATGCCGGGTCACTAAGTGCCTCTCAGGGTGAGAGCCATTGGGGTTGATTTTCTTCATAACAATTGAAAACAAGCTTTGAAAAAAACTCTTAAGAGTCTTTAAATAACAGAAGTTAATGTCTATGCAGACTTAAACTGGAAGAGGTAAAATTAAAACATGTACTGTATTTTCAACTGAAGGTATATCATTCTCTCTTTCTTAGAAGTTCATTCCTGTTGAACGATTTGTTTTTGAGGTTGGTAATCCAGAAGGAGTCGGCACAACAGAAAGGTCAGTGTTGCCTTGGTCAATGTAACTGACCAACTACATTATGTACACTTATTCTTGGTACATTATATTCTAATTAAAAATAATTTTTGGAAGGCAAATGTAAGTGTGGCAGTTATTTTGCACAATAATTATTTTTGTAAAAAAGTTATAAATTTGTGGTTCATTTCCTTTTCAGCCCGGACAATTTCTTACACTCCACGGAGAGAGCTCTCAGAGGTTTTCTCCTCAAGATCAATTCATGTGATGCACTGTTAGAGCCAATCCCGAAAGGTACATACAAGTGAGGTAGTTAATTTTTGTGATGTTCTTTTAAGGTAAGGAGTTAATTGTTGGTTTTGAGTTTAGTATCCTAACTGCAACACATTAAGGCTTAAGATAACTTAAACTCTCCTTTAACTCCGTTGAGTGACCAAGACAGAATTTCACTTTGCAACATCAATACAAAATCAAGCAGACAACTGATGAGAATTTTAAAAAAATCATAATTAAGGGATTGTTAATTGATGCAATAGCAAATTCTCCAAGCTGAAATCACAAGGATCGTATGGTAGACAGTAAGGAGAATTACTTATGAAATCTTGGGAGTTAAACAGTTAAGGTTCGTAAGTTAAGTTTAAGAATTGTCTTTTGCAGGATGTACATTTTCCATTCTTGTATATACCAAAGAATCGTCTTTCTTAAAACTGCAAGAGGGTTCCAATCTTCAGGTTTGTCAGGACCAGAGAAAAGTGTTCAAAAGGAAAAGTACATTTAATAAATAGATTGCATGTTGCTGTGAGTCAGTTCAGTAATAGATCACAGATATCGTCAAAGTTTTGGTAAGAACGAAGAAGTGACGCACGTGCGTGCCACTTTATGCGTGCGTAATGCAGCTTATTATATAATGTATTGCCTTCCGTTGACCCAGGGGGTGTCACTTATTTTTTTCCATAAACACACATGATTGGTATTAGAAGATGCATCCTTCCTTTAACCATTTAGAGTGTAATTATCTAAAAACTATCGGCATTTGGGGATACTGACCGTGATTGGTTCGAGGCCTTCCGTCTGATTTCCTTCTTCCGTCGAGCCCAAACCATTTCGTACTTGTATTAAAGAAATAAAAGGAAATAACACTCATACGATATTTGTCAGAGTTCAAAGCAGAGACTGTAACTGTTAAATTTACTTTGTTATGGATGTAGGAGTTTCCTTGGGTTGAGGCAGATGAACGAACGAAAATGAAGGAATCTGTCATTATACCTCTTAAATCAACTTCCACTGGAATCCTAAAGGTAAGCGATGTTTTACAGAATAGCGGAATATTAGGGTGCCAAAATGCGTACATATTTTTTAAATTTGTGGTCTTAATTACACAAATTTTCCAAGGGAAATGATTGTTGTATCATGGTATATTACTGAGTGCTCGTTTTTGTAGCCGTTTCAAGTTAGTGATCACTCAAAGGGTCCCCATGTTTGATGCTAAAGGATACTCCTCTCCATGCCATTTCCCTGCCTTAACAACACACAATGGCGCTGAAAGAATTTGTGGCAAAAAAAAATAGTGATAACGAGGGCACCAAAAGTACACGTGCACCACCAGTTATGTATGGCATCGTTTTGGAGACAATCATCTTACAACCAGGAGGTGAACAGTGTTTACAATTAGATCAAGTATGTTAATACAGAGGCACATATTTACAGAGACAGGAATAAAAATTGTTGGTTAGTTATTTGGCTCCTTATAGGCTTTCTAATGGAAAAAGGCCTCGGGAAGTCTTGATGTGCGTTTATAGATGGGCATCGTTTTGAAAACATGTTTCTATTTCGAAAGATGCAGCTTTTTGTCGAGGAATGTGCTGAGAGGACCAGGAATGGTAAAGACAAGGTTGAAGACGTTTGATATGATTGCATTCTTACCGTCAAAGAGATCACGCCTTCCACAGACTTAAAAAAGAAAAAAAATAGCAATCTTATCGTTTGCATGCCACGCCTTGAATACACTCTAAATGACTAAAAATAAATGGAAAAGTAGTAGATGGTAACTTCTCTGCTGGTATCATCCATCCGACGATGAAGGAATATATTTTTGAAGAAACTAAGTGTTTACCACATGGCAGGTGGAAAATCAGTCGAGATCAATTTATGGCGCATCTACACATTCCATTTTCCCGCCCTCTGATAGGCTAAAAATACAAAATTGACAGCGTGCTTAGTAGGCTTACCAATTTAGCAGTGCTACTACAAATTCACTAACCTAATGCGGAACAGCGAAACAACAGGCACAGCGTCGTGCTTTTTACAGTAGTTATTTTTTTTTTTTCGATAGAATAAAAGTATAGACAATGGAAAACTGTGTCAATCGTTTTCACTGCAATAAAAGATCTCTAACAAGTGTCTTATCTTACCGAAATAACGACCGGTCAACGGACAATGTCCGGACTGATTGGGGATTTGACCGATCAAACTTTTGTCTTGCTGATAATGTTGACCGGTCACGCTTGATCGTAATGAAAATGACTGAAAAAAATTAAAGTTTCCATGCTGTTCAGTTGTTTCAGTAGTTATCAGTATGTAGCAAGTCGCTGTGTATTGCGCAACTTTGGTCTGAAATCCTGGGTGAAATGCAACTAGAATCGTTAACAATTCGCGCATTGAAACAGACGTGGGTTCGGGCACTTCCGGTCACAGTATTAAAAATAAGTTCACTTTTATTAGTTAATTTTAAAGTTTTACATTTCTCCTTGCATATACAGTAACTACTCAGCCCAGAATAAATATAATCAATGCTAAGGAACTATACTTTATAAAACCAATAATTGTTCATCTCTTCGCAAGGTTATCTACGTGTTTATCTGTCGCGTGCGTAATATAAACATTCAAGGTGGATGTGTACGATAATGATATTTATCAATAAAGGGAAAAATTACTGAGCGATGATTGGTTGAGAGAGAGGGCATTTTTTTCTTAATCGAGGGCATTTTTAGTAATCAAGAGAGGGCATGATTACCTGTTAATGATTGGCTAATCCGTTGCATAGCAACCGTTCGTTATCTTGAAATTTGTTAAAAATAGACTGCGCGCGTGATTTTCCTTCATATAAATTTTGCCCTTTATTGATAAACAAGTAATCCCATGAGACCTCGTACTATTAAGGATTAATTGCACTTGAGTTTTCAAAATTTCGCGACTCGGGCAATTTTGGAAAATTTTGAAAACTCTCGTGCAATTAATCCTTAATAGTACTTGGCCTCATGTGATTACCTATACTAAACGTGTTACGGTTTGAATTACAAACAATGGACCTATTAATACACAAAAGCTGAATTTCATTTCGCCGCAGTAATTAATTTTTATTGTTGATAGTGAGTGCTCTAAAAAGCTCTAAGCCCCAAGCAACGACCTTTTTTTGGAATTATTTAACGTCAGTTTTGGTTTATCGGTTCCTTTTTTTAAGAGTTAGTTATCTCATAAGTTTGACCAGAAACGATACACGACTGAGCTATAATATATTCGGCCGGTCACATCTCCGGAAACTATTTCGAGCCTTGCTACACAGTGAGACCGTAGAGACGTTTTTGCAAAATTGCTATTAAACAGATTATCTTAACAAAAGAACTAGCCAGATTCTGAGGTAAAGCGCGAAAGAATAAAAGTGAAAATTTTTTTCCATTCATTAAACGACCAAATTTGTGCATCATCTACTTCAAAATTCATAAATAATCCTTTCAACAATGTAAATGTACAAATAGTAGCATGTCTAATGACTGAGAACAAGTTAATTTATGTCAGACAGTGCAAAGCTGTGGCAGAACAGTGAATTTAATTGATTGACGGGAGAGTGGCGAAAAAGTAACAAAAATTGAAATGGTGGACAGGTAGGGAAAGAGTGAAGTTGGATTCAGAGTGCGAGGGAGAATGCTACGAGAAAAAAGATTCCTACAAAGCACAAATAAATCGAAGAATAAAGGTCTTGGGCAATGACAAAAGAGCAAAAATGGAGGAACTTGAGGCCCGATAAGAAAAATAAAATTCTTAAGAAGTGTTGCCGACCAGTTCGCAAGATTAGGAGCCTGGTGCGTGGCCTCTATGCTGTGGTTACTGCAGTTGACCAAAGAGAAAAAGCGCAAATACTTGATTATTCGCCGCATAGTTTAAAGCACAAAGTAAGTTTTTGAGGGAAAAACCCGACTACTGCGGCTATAGGCGAACGCGAACGGCAGAGCGAGGCAATAAGTCTGACAACAACTGCAGAAACTGATTTTGCGGTGGGGAGAAGAAGCCGGAGAAGGAAATTCAGTGAGTCCTTGTGCAAACAGTTTGGTCCTCGAAGAGGGCAGGAACAGCAGACCCTGAAAGCAGTCGAACAAGCCATTCCACATAACTAGAAACGAACCAAGCCCTGTAGTCAACCATTAGAGGCTAACTCTGCTGACCTCCGTTGAAGTCATTACACAAATCCAGTGTAAACGACTCAATTTGACAGATGGCGCAACCCTGGAGAGTCCAGTTTCCATCGTGATTGCCAAACAGTTGGCTTTTGATAATCTATCAAAAAACCTTTCTTGAGATATTTTTGCCATGGATACGTTTTACAGGCACAAACTGACTTTTTTACATTTATATTTACCTTCGTAATAGGTGAATCGCGATACAAAACTAATTGCGATTCTTAGACGATAATACCGCCTAATATTATCGATGTTGAGAGAAAATAGAAGGTCGTTGCATGTTTTGTATATCGTTACTCCTTCCGAAATGAGCAATGAATATTTTTTTCACAACTAAGCGCCAATAATGCAGTATTGACGTCTCAAAATGCCGTTGGTGCATGGTGCTTTCTGTTCCCAAGAAAGGGATAATTGAAAGAAAACACAGTCCGTAACAGAAGAAAATTAGCCCACTTGGACTACTTTAGACACACGTTTGTCGAGATTGCCCGCTTTGGTCCCGTGCAAAAAAGAAAATTGCTTGCAGCGAACTTACAAAAAGGTTCGTAATTTTTGGACATTGTCAGCTATGGAATCGCTAAAAGAGGTGGAGGAAAATCGAAATAAAGGAGACATAAACGACTCTGGTGGGTTTACTGTGCTACAAAACAGTTTGATTTCCATCCCGTCTCTCGAAATGTAAGAGCAATTCTTGATTCTTAATAAGGCGAAATCTTTACGCTATAAAAGAAATCCTTCATTGATCAAGTTTGTTCGGTCAAGTTGGTCAACAACGCAAACATATCGGTATTTTATTGTATGTTTAGATATGACATAATATAAGGTGACCATCGAGTAACCGTCGAACATTAAATAACTACACATGTTCGATAGCTCTGGTATTAAAGTTTATGTTGACATTGGAGAAGATCCTGCCACATGACTCGTACAGGGGATCGTAGAAGCAAATAACAATAAATTTCCAGATTTTACCCCACAGCCCCAATGGGATCAAAAACAAGCGGGCAGATGGAGAGGCCACCCAAATCATTAAAAAGCTCAGGGAACCAGAAATCAAGCCATAGATAAAGGACAGAAGACCGCCGAACACAATGGTAAGTACCGAGTATGTGCCAAGGATGGTGCCTTCATAAATTGTTTTGGTAAACTGGTGAACGCACTGCGGGCTACGAACTGCTGTTGGCTCGCAGACCACATCTGAATAAGCCACCTATAAAAAGGAAAAACTTGGTCAGTGTTCTAACCTCTATTTTCGTACCGCGACTCTCCAGTTCATCAATTTTAAACGAATTTTAAACCACAATTTAGGTGATTACCATTTGCAGGAGCGCCTTTCACAAAGACAATCGACTAGATTTTTCACGATATATTTGTGTGGCGCCTAACAGAGAAAATCGTGGCGATGGGTGTAAAGGATGATGAGATGAACAAAGAACAAACATCGGTAGCAAGAGAAATTAATCCCATTATTGATTGGTAAGCTATTCAACGAAGTCTTCCTATTACGCCAAATCATAACTTTTATGCTTAGTCATTAATCATTGAGTAATCACTCATTTTTATTAATCATATTTCAAGTCTGGGGTCGCGATATCGCACTGGTAACGAATAACGACTTCAAGATGTCCTAATTGGTAAATGTTACGTTTGCTCACACTTTAAGGACGAAATTACTCATATTTGTGGGGAAACCCACGGAAGTTCAGGAGTTTAATGCATCGCCCGCTTTTAAAGTCATAATCAGCTTGGCGCCTCTGTAGTTGTATAATTTTACATTTCTTCTATTGGTTGATGGTAAAATATCTGAAGTCTGACCCAATAACTGAGAAATACATTGTTTCAAAAATACCACACAGACAGTATTGTAAACTTCGAGACGTAATTTCTTGATTCCTTTTATTGATTCGAACTTACTACAACATCTAATTCGTATCGTAAAACCTAAACTTCGTAACTTCGCATAACCACTCGTCTTCGCTTCGAAAAGGTACTCATCAAAGTCTATTATGTACATGTGATTATATTACTTGGCTCACGTGTCCGTCAATCAACAAAATCACTTCTGCACTGTACAAACAAAACAATATATCTCGTTACGTTGATTGTTCTCGCGTGGGACGTCTCGCGTGGGACGTCTCGCGTGGGACGTCTCAATGTTTCTTACAGACAGCTCATTTCAAATTTGAGCAAGCATGCTGTTGTTCCAGGAAACTTTTCACAAAAGGATAACGGGATGTGGAGTCCTGATCACTATCCGTGTTTAGCACCAGGGTTATTGTTTTAAAAACATTTTTGGGGACTAGTCTTTCCGAGCTGCAGGAGCTCGATAAACTTTGCTAACATTCCATGGTCAAAAAGCGTGACTTAATTTATGCATATTTGTGGTTACTTCCTTTCTCGTTCAAAATCAATGCGAAGAAGTGACTCTTTTGAAAACTAGCTCAGCCTTTTTGTTGAGGCGAGGAACTCCCATAAATTCATCAAACCGTGCCTCAAAATTACAAATTACGAAGATATAATGGGACGTCTTCTGCATAACATTATGCTAAACTGTCCCAGGCGGACTGTTAAAAACATGATGACAAACTTCCATCCAGTTAGTCTTGACCAGTCTTATGCTGTAAAAAAAAATTAAAATGCTTTGGTTTACGGATTAACCCTAGAAGTGCTTATTTATAAGATGTCATGACGAAGACAACTTCGTGTTTACCTGAGCTTGAAGTTATTGATTTCAGTTCAGGCGATACTTTTGACATTTAGAATGTCACGGAACCATTTTCAATAACATCGAACACTGAGTCACTACAGTTATCGAAAGAAATGGTTGACGTGAAAAGTGATACTATTCCATCTTTGTGGTAATTTATACTAAAATTTACCACATTATGTATTGAAAAATGTAACTTTGTTAAAGACATAGTTACCAAAGATGTCGATTACCGGCAAGCACCTTGTAATGCTATTCAGTGGTACAAAAAAGTAGTAAATAAAAAATGGTATACATGAACAATACAAATTAAAGTAAGATTTTCCTTTTCGTTTTGACTATCACCTTCAGGCGGTTAAATCTTTGGATGTGACCATTTGTATTTTTAAATTTTAAGGGGCCCTTTTGACGTGATCATATTCGAGTAAACAATTCGGAAAGATTCATTTACATCGCGTGATTTTCAATAGGACTTTAAAATACAGTCATTTGAGTCGGCAGAAGAAGTTGTTATTACACTTATGCGTGTGTGTGTATTTTTCTTTTTTTAGCCACTAACCACTCTTAGTTTTACATTTTTCTTTGTAACATCAACTAGTCTCTCATCAAACAAAAAAGTTTACAGCGCTATCCTATCGGTGACAGTCACATCCCTCTAGGAATGTCGAAAGCTTAGTTACCAGAGTTATTTTCTATCTCGTAAACTGTAAGGAATAACGAAGTATTTAAGCATTTTTTTCACCATGAAAGTTTCAAGTTTTTTATCATGCGAGATGTCACACAAAACAGTAAGAGTCATAATAAATGGGGTGTTGAAGACCAAGCTGGCCGGTCACGTTTTCCAATACCTCACGTCTATGTTGCTCCTCCTCGTCTGCGTAAATGTCCTCCGTCTCAACTTCTCGGCTTCCCTGTCTCCTTCTTGCAGCCGCCAATCTCGAAAAAAATCGAAGGGGCCATGCGGTTTATGGTTTCGATACCAGCCTCTTTAGCAGGTCCGTAAAAAAAACAACAAAACAACAAAAAAAAAGCTGAAAATGGGCATCTATCTGGTTGCCTTATGTTTTGATCCACAGAGAAGGAAATTAAAAACAAACAAACGAACAAAAAAACACACCGTTTCTAAAACACACCTTTGAGGAAGTACATGTTGTCCAGGTTCCTCAGGGTACAGCCAATCCTTTTTTCGAGAAATGTCTTTGCTGTGTATATTTCTGCAGTCTGTGCTCATTGCTAGTAATTCACACATAGACGATTTCTGTCAAATCGACACTGGATTTTTAATTTCTCGACAGGAAAAATTGACACCAGGAATGTTAAAATTGGGATGGGGCACTGGGATCGAAACAAAATCAAGACAGGGAGAGTAAGATCCATACCCAGCCATATCCGTCTGCTTTTCCCCCCTACCCTTTCCTACCCCCACCACACCCTCCTTTCGGGGGACCTCTAAATAACAACCCAGTTTCCCCACTTGAAAGACTTCAGCAACAATAGAATCTCTGTTTCTTTTCTAGCTTTATACTTAACTCTCAATATAAGCCAAATTAATATGTGTTCTGGACCCACTCGCTCGTAACACGTCACGACGAACACAAAGTGATGAGATCGACAACAGTACGTAATAAAGTGAAACCCAGTGGAATCTACGCTTTGTCCGTAACGGCGAAAACCAAGCCTTACAAGGAGCGTTTCTCTCCTCGGATCTCCAGCTTAGTAAAAACGGCTTGTAATATTTTTTTTATTTCACTAGCTGTCTTGAAATTAATAACATGTGTTCCAAAAATTTCCGATTTTTTTCCTTCGCGTCTTGGATATTGGCAAGTTTTCGGTGCCTGCCAGTACTTTCCCAGCCCATGACGATGAGCTGGACAAACCGTCATCTTTTGCATCTGTTCCTCAGTGATCTCCAACAAACCAGCCCTTGCAAATATTGGGTCCTTTTCAGACACACTTTCCCTTAAAAGGTGGTGTTTAATTAGATGCGTACTGATATTAGCATTACATCCATTCAAATGTACTGATTCTTTACATCCTCGACTACTTTCACATTTGCTTCTCGTAATGCTCGAAAACGAACATAAAGCGCCGGGCCATTCTTCAATGCAAATAATGCGAATCTTCTCCATAAGAATTTTCAATTATCCCCGTCGCAATGTAAATATTTCCGACGTATTGAGTATAAAATTTGCATATAGCAGTATTTGAAATTAGCTCAGTTAAAAGAAACGCTGTGGCTTTATGGCCAGTAACCGGTCAAGGTGTTGAAAACACTAAATGGCCGGCAGTCCTATATTCTTAGTAAATTTCACAAAATCGAAATATTCCAGCTTATCCAAACTATCATATGTCGATTTAGTGATAGTTTAGATTAGCTGGAATTTTTCGATTTTGTGAAATTTACTAAGAATATAGGACTGCCGGCCATTTACTGTTTTGAAAACCTTGACCGGCAGTCGAGCTGAAAAAAGTTTTAAGTGTCACAAAACATGGTTTCGTCTTCTGACCCAGAGCAAACCAAACACTAAACTTGAGATCTGTAAAGCATTTCAAGATCGCTTGAAAAAAAAACAGATATGTTTTCAATAAAGTTACACTTTCGGTGCATAGTAAGGTAATTTTAGAAGATTAATTACGCTAAAAAAAGGCAATTTATCACTCTTGTCGTTAAACATTTATTTCGACTACTTATAAGTGTGTGCGATGCAGGAATCCGTGACATTCCCGCGTGACACAGGACTGAAATCGGCGTTCGCGTAGCTCAGGTAGAAAGGAAGTAACCACAAATATGCATAAATTAAATCATGCGCACTCTGACCATGGAATGTTAGCAAAGTTTATCGAGCTCCTGCGACTCGAAAGGACCAGTCCCCATAAATGTTTTTTTTTCTTTTGAAACACTAGCCCTATTACTAAACATGGATAATGATCAGGACTCCAGATCCCGTCATACTTTTGACAAAAGCTTCTTGGAACAACAGCACGCTAGCTCAAATTTGAAATGAGCTGTCTGTGTGGTATTTTTGAAACAACGTATTTCTCAGTTATTGGGTCAGACTTTAGATATTTTACCATCAATCAATAGAAGAAATGTAAAATTATACAATATTTCCGTTTTGTGTCATTTGATCCAATGGGTCAAGTTTTAGAGCCCTCAGCGAAAAGTTTAAAATTGACTCTGAAATAAACAATTTTCTTTGTCCTAGACCGTCCTTGCATATCGTCGCTAAATTTTGGCGAAATAGCACTACGAGCCAAATAAATGCGATTTTTGCCATTAAATAGACTAATCATATCACAGTAAAAATTTCAAGGAATTCTGTGATCCGAAATTCGAGTGGTCGGTTCATACGCGGACAGCCTCGCTTATCGTAATATAATTATAATGCATAATAACATTCTCCTTCGACTCCATGATGAAACAGGACGAAATAATCAACTATCAAGCCTGATGTGAGCAGTTCATTTGAATTTGAGTTCATTACATACAAAATCTTATTCGTGCCACGCTCAATTCTAAACTGACTCACAGAATTGACGAAGGTTCCTGAAACGACTCATCTTCGAGAAATGTGTCGCCAAATACATTTACGTGACCAGAAAGCACTGAAAAGAAGTTCAGTGACTGAACCTCTGCCAAATACCGATACAACACTGCCTACATGGTGCTATAGAAATCACCGATTCGAAAACGCAACGTTCATGCTGGCGCTCACGGGCTGCCTTAAATGACAGCCTAATATCGAGTAAATTGCAACCATCTTGCAGTGATAATAATGACTCTAGACTAGACCTGTTTCATATCATTAATATTTTCCTTTTACCCTTCGTATACCTTCCCACATTAGTTGCCACTTTTACTGTCACTGAAAATTTTGAAACCACCATAACAAATTAGTCTTCACCTTCAAGAAAAGTCGGCTTGATTTAAAACAGAGCTGTGACTGTAAAGAAACACGACTATTCAAAACCGGATGTGGATGCATCGTATACTTCACAATATGGCTGACTTTAGTCACCTATAGATGAAAGCATCATAGACCAGCTACTTCATTTAAACGTCTTACCTTCAAATAAGCGTTATTATTCTGTGGATCCCTGTCTTCATCAGTGACGATAAGCAAAGTTGCAGCATCCATTCTGTGTGTCTTTGATGTACGGTAAGGTGTAGCGCAAAGCTGTCAGGTGACAGGTACGATGTTACACAAATGTGGAATCAGGGATCAAACGCCTAAATAGTGTGTGATTGACACTTCCCAATATGGTCATTCTATGTGCTTCAATGATCGCTTCTTGAATGTGAGCTCGAGTGAGTCAGTAGAAAGGAAGTCCGAAAATAAACCTTTACAAAACCTTACAAATAGGGGTGGGATCAGGGATCACAGTTCCGGGACCAGGGGATCATGATCAGCAGTGTTTTTCATGGAATCAGAGATCAAGCTGTCCTGAATACGAATAAAAACCAGAAACGGGCTTTCAGGCTTTCTTTCAGGTTTTTTTTTAAGGATTTATCGTTATTTAATTTGAGATTGCTTTTTTCCTCATGGTTTTTGGAGTCATAACCGTACAGTACTACTAGTCACGCAATTCTTTCCGCTGTGTGACGCTTAATCAAAATTAAGTCCTATTACATGCCATTTGATCAACTTCGCCCCACCCGGGTTGTGCTTAAATCTTACCGGCTAGAGGTACGCCCGAGGAGCACTAGTGACGAGTTGATTATCAGAATTGTCGGCTATTCTATTACAGCGGACTATTCCAGTTTTACCAACAGTCAAACGACGTGATTGAACCAGACATGAACATCATAACATGTTTAACATGTGAAAAATACATTATTGAATTTAAATCAAGGAAATTTCGCAAAATTTTGTATGGCTGTTTCCTTCACCCTCGTCACCCTTAAGTTTCTTGTTCAGCAAAGTGTTAATTGAACACTGTAGCCTCTAAGACCTACGCTTGCGAAGGTGAACAAAACTTATGAATAGTATCACCACTACAATGCCCTTGTCATACTGGTTAGAAAGATCCCAAAGATTAAATTTCTATTGTCTTGTACCTCTAGCCGGTAGGATCTCAGGACGCTTTGAAAATACCACCGGCTAGAGGTACAGCTTGCATATTTATTCAGTCTTAACCTCTAGCTGGTAGGATATAAGGAGGCTTTACTAATGTTTAAATGAATTTTTATGACCGCCGCAGGGGTGAAAATTGTCCATTTCGCAAAATAGTAACTCTCCTAAAATTACTTTTTGCGAAATCAGGTAAAGCTCACATATTTAATCGACTTTGTCTAATTTTTATTACAGTCTGCTTTGCATTTTACTTTTTAGTCTTCATTACTACATTGGAATAATTTTTTCAAGAATATCTTCTTGTTCGTTGGTCGTGTACCTATCACTGCTTGAAAAATACATTATTGAATTTAAATCAAGGAAATTTCGCAAAATTTTGTATGGCTGTTTCCTTCACCCTCGTCACCCTTAAGTTTCTTGTTCAGCAAAGTGTTAATTGAACACTGTAGCCGCTAAGACCTACGCTTGCGAAGGTGAACAAAACTTATGAATAGTATCACTACTGATGGCACAGCACACAAACTATGAGCATCAAATGACTCTTTAAGGGGAATCAGCTGAAACTAAAGCAGGCATTATTAGGCAATAAGCAAAGGGTTTCTTGTTGGTGTCCAAATAAGAAAGGTTTTATTTCTTTTAATAATAGCAATTTTTATTAAAAAATACAATAATCAACACAAGCACAAGTTAATCTCAAATATTTAATTGTATAAATTCTATATATATAGTAGATGACCATTTTATATTTTCAAGAATAACTTGCCTTAAGGTTTTCATACTCTCATACATGCTGTTAAATATCATTGAAAATAAAATTGGAAAATGTCAATTTGGTGAATTAAAATCATGTCATCCTATGACTACCTAAAGATGACTTGATTTTAGTATTTCAGACAATGGTTAGCCTTGTCTACAATACTTCTACTCAAACAAAAATATCATGAAAATTGAAACTGTTCTGTCCTAAGAAATTCCACTCATACTTATGCAGAGTGTTACATAACAAACTTCAGTAAATCTGGTTGACATGTTCGAGTCTAAAATGAATTTCAAGTCAAATTAATCTAAAACTGGTTATATTTGTAATGAAATGAATCCACAACCAAAGAAAATACAAATCTGATTAGTTTAAAATTTATTTACTTGAAATTCATTTAAAACATAACAATGTTTATGATTTCAAGCTTACTTCACACACATAAGCTGCCCCTCTGGCTGGTAGTGTTTCCAAGTCTGAGACTACGCTGCGACTGCACTGAAGGCGGTCGGAATATGCTGTTGATTTGGCTTAAAAAATTTAACGGCTAGTTTTACGAGATCCCCTGTGATTGCGGTAAAGATTAAATCAGCGAGTTCGGCAGAACTATGTTGGAGATCAGACCACCGAGGAGTATGACGGAGGCATCTGTTTCGATTAGACACAGACCTCCGCCGTTTCAAAACACGCTTAAGGGGCATAATTTAGTTCGTACTCGGATCTAAAACTCCTCATGGAGAGATCTAGGGTGAGCTTTTGCTGATCTGTCAACAAACCTTCCTTGAGATAATTTTTCCATGGATGCGTTTCACAGACACAAACTGATATTTTTACATTTATATTTACCTTCATAATGGGTGGCTCGCGATATAAAACTAATTGCGATTTTTAGACGGTAATACCGCATGATATTAGCGACGTTGAGAGAAAATGAGGGGTCGTAGCACGTTTTGCACTTCGTTACTCCTTCCGATATGAGCACTGAATATTTTTGTCACAACTAAGCGCCGATAATACCGTATTGGAGTCTCAAAATGCCAATTGTTTAACCCATTAGTGCAAGGTGCTTTCTGTTCCCAGGAAAGGGACAGTTAAAGGTAAACATAATCCGTTACAGAAAAAAATCAAGTGGCTCTTGGAGCCAGCTCATTTATGTTATGGCTTAAGTTTGTATTGATATCTTGGACTTGTTGAATATAAGTACAGTCGAACTCGGTTTTTTGTGAAATTTCAAGACTTTTGGAATAAATTTTCTTTTCTTTTTGGGCAGTTGTGGGAATTGGAAATAAGGTTGTGTGGGCTGGAGGTGGGATGGGCAGAGGTCATCAGACAGACAGCGCCCTTTTTGTTGGTTTGTGTGCCGAATTTGTGGGGCGGAGGATGGGCTGGGTGGGCATGATCGGGCATCAAATGTTGCGCTAGCAGCAAAATATATGTAACCCTCATCTTTCACGATCATTCACACTATTCTGAAATATTCCTTGCCCGTTTCTGGATATCTTTTGTATTTAACAAAGCGGCCGTTGCATTTGGTTTTTAACAAAGCGGCCACAATCGTTCCTAATAGAATTTCAAGCCTTCATATTGTCTGATTTTCACATATTAATATTTGCGTAGTCACCAACCAGATGAGAGATAAAACCACCTGAGAAGTAAACAAATGGCTAGTCACAAAAGCAACGCTTCGCTTTTCCCTATAAAAATTCGCCGGTTCCTCATGTAAGCCAATAACAATATAAGGCACATATGTGAAAATCAGTTTGTGAATACCCCTGAACGTTGAAAATATATCAAGTCGAGGGAACAGTTTTGGTCCCGGTCCGCATTTTTGGCAACAAAGTGAAAACATATCGGTTAAAAAGATGAAACTTACGGACCACATGCAAAGCTGTCAATTGTTTCTCGTGTTAAATATTCGATAGTGACACCTCATTTACATCTACATCCTCTTTTATCAAGTTGGTGAATTCTGTACAGACATCAGGCTTGAAATAAGAACGTCTGTGATCAAGAAACGGGCTGGGAATATTCCACATAGTGCAAATAATCGTAAAAGATGGTCGCGGAAAAGCGATTGCGTGACACTCGGTAAGTTGTAAGATGACATATGATCACGTATCAGACGAAAAGACAGTATAAATTCTCAGTCTGCATTTTGTACCTAGTCTGCATTTTGTACCTAGTCTGCATTTTGTACCCAGTCTGCAGTCTGCATTTTGTACTGACCGGATTGGTATTGCTGTTTTTGTTTGAGCGAGCCTCGAGTCCGGACCGAAATAATGGAGCTCGAAAGGAAATTTTACACTAACTTGGCCGCTATAATTGATGTGTTGACTGTATGTTGAAGAGTTCCCGAGGACAAGCACAATGATACAGCAATGATTATTTTAAACCAACTGAAGACGAACGCAAATGTGCGGCTTGCCAATATGGCTGCCTCTGATGCTGATGCTCTTCTGCGTGGTCACCGCGTGTTTTGAAATGGACCCGCTACGGGTCCCTTACTGTAGGTGCGAACATTTCGCCTTTTCGATTCAAGTTGCATTTTTAGAAGTTCGGAAATGTGATTTGAGGTTGTTATTTTTTTAAACCATAAAGACATATTATTTCTTTCCACGCGAGTTTCTGAGCTTCATCGAAATTAATTTTGACTTTCACTAAGCGGGGAGGGATAGCATGCGAGACTACTTCCGTTTACGGTCCACAATGCAACTTCCGTCCACGGAATACAACTTCCGTCCACGGTCGACAACTTCCGTCTACATCTGCTCCACCACGATCCCTCATTCATTGCTTTCAGCATGAATGAGCTAATGAGCCCACTTGGACTACTTCAGACACACGTTTCTTGACACATTCCTCTTCTACTCTCTTAAAGTTTTATCATCATTTCTTGGTAGTTCACCCTTTGTCCCAAAGAGGATGGTAGAAATTGCTCAAAGGTACAAACTGACCGGGCTACACGCCGCGTGGAACTATGAACCGCTATTGACGAGATAGCATTTGAATGGTAGACTTAGTGATCAAATCAGCATTCCAAATTTACTTCATCGCAGTTTGGCTCAAGGCTCTGTACTGCTCAATTGTTATATCGCTGGCAGTGCCCACGGGTGGTATCAAGCGAATCCTGTGTTCTGATTGGCTACCCGAGCGGGCAAGAGATTGTCCGCTTTGGTTCCGTGCAAAAAAAGAGAATTGCTTGCAGCGAACTTTCAAAAAAGTTCGTAATTTTTGGACATGGTCGGAGATGGAGTCGCTAAAAGCGGTGGAAGACAATCAAAATAAAGGAGAATTAAACGACTCTCGTGGGTTTATTGTGCTACAAAACAGTTGGCTTTCTTTCCCGTTTCTCGAAATAAACAAGTAGTTCTTGATTCTTAATAAGGGGAAATCTTAATGCTACATAATAAATCTTTCATTGACCAAGCTTGTTTGGTCAAATTGGTCATTACAGCAAACATATTGGTATTTTATTTTATGTCTAGATATGACATAATACAAGGTGACCATCGAGTGACCGTCGAGCATTAAATAACTACACATGTTCGATAGCTCTGGTATTAAAGTTTATGTTGACATTGGAGAAGATCCTACCACATGACTCGTACAGGGGATCGTAGAAGCATTCAACAAAAAACTTCCAGATTTTACCATACAGCCCCAGTGGGATCAAAAACAAGCGGACAAATGGAGAGGCCACCCAAATCATAAAAAAGCTCAGGAAACCACAAACCAAGCCATAGCTAAAGGACAGAAGACCGCCGAACACAATGGTCAGTACCCAGTATGTGCCGAGGATAGTGCCTTCATAAATTGTTTTGGTAAACTGGTGAAGGCACCGAGGGCTACCAACTGCTGTTGGCTCGCAGATCACATCTGAATAAGCCACCTATAAAAACGAAAAAACTTAGTCAGTGTTCTAACGGAAATTTTCTTAACCGAGACTCTCGTGTTCATCAATTTCAAACGAAAACCACATATTAGGTGATTACCATTTGCAGGAGTCAATTGACAAGATTGTTCATGATATATTTGTGTGGCGCTACCTAACAGAGAGAAATCGTTGCGATAGGTGTAAAAGACGCCGCTTAACAGAGAGAAATCGTTGCGATAGGTGTAAGAGACGCTGAGATGTACAAAGAACAAACATTGGTAGCAAAATAATACCAATCAATAATCCTATTATTGACTGGTACGCTATACAACGAGAGTTTTGTAAATATTTAAAAGCAAAAGGAGAACATATCTTCCTACTACGCCAGATTATAACTTTTTTGCTTAATCACTAATCATTGATTAATTTTTTTTTGGATTAATCATATTTCGTGTCTGGGGTCACGATATCGCACTGATAACGAATAACAACTTGAAGATGTCACGATTGGTAAAGTTGATGGCGAACAACCGGATGTTAAGAAAAGCGAGAAAGAGGAATTGGAAATGAAGAATGGGGAGTGAGGAATGGGGAATGAGGAATGAGAAATGAGAAATGAAGAATAAGGAATGAGGAATGAGTAATGAGGAATGAGGAATGAGGAATGGGGTATGAGGAATGAGAAATGGATAATGAGGAATGGGGAACGAGGAATGGAGAATGAGGAATGAGGAATAGGAAATGAAGAATGAGGAATAGGAAATGAAGAATGAGGAATAGGAAATGAAGAATGAGGAATGAGGAATAGGAAATGAGGAATAGGAAATGAGGAATAGGAAATGAGGAATAGGAAATGAGGAATAGGAAATGAGGAATAGGAAATGAGGAATGGAGAATGAGGAATGAGGAATAGGAAATGAAGAATGAGGAATAAGAAATGAAGAACGAGGAATGAGGAATAGGAAATGAGGAATGGAGAATGAGGAATAAGGAATGAGGAATGAGGAATGAGGAATGGGGTATGAGGAATGGGGAATGAGGAATGAGGAATGAGGAATGGGGTATGAGGAATGGGGTATGAGGAATGGGGTATGAGGAATGGGGTATGAGGAATGGGGTACGGGGAGTGGGGAATGAGGAGTGGGTAATGTGGAATGGAGAATGCAGAATGAGGAATGAGGAATGGAGAATGAGGAATGAGGAATGAGGAATGGGGAGTGAGGAATGGGAAAATGAGATGGGAATACAAATAGGAAATGATAAATGGGAATTTTTTTAGATTTATTGTCTATAATGCGGAATAAATATTTTTCAGCAAAATTTTAGGAACGGAATGAATTGATGATAGCGAAAGAATTTACCCTGACTTGTTTCGTTATGTCACTATCAGAAGCTAAGCGAGTTACGAAAAAGGGAATAATTTTGATAAACATCAAAACTCGAGGCTCCAGTCAAGTGTTTGTTCACACTTGATGAAGGACGAGATTATTCATATTTGTGGGAAACCCAAGGAAGTTCAGGAGTCTGATACATCACCCGCTATTAATATCCTTTTAAATTTATTATCAGCTTGGCGCGTCTTATGGTCGTGACATTATTCTTTGATATAACTTTTCAGTTTCGCTTGCAGCCGCAAGCTTGAAAAGTGAGGCACGTGCTTTTTGTCTGATCAAGAATAATTACTTTCGGAGAATGAAATGAAAACTGTTTTGAATTAAGTTTTCAATTGTGAGTTCGTTTGTCTTTCGGAGATGAGTAGCAACTGAGCTGGACTCTGGAAAAAATTTAGGTACGTGAGGGCGAACTTATTTGAAACTACAATTTATTTAATTTTGATAACCAAACCTACTACCTCCTCTGGAAACTTGTGAAAATATCAAAGAAATTAGTTTTGTTACTCGCGTAGCTCCAGAGAGTGACATAACCGTGAAACAAGTCGCGGTAACTTCTTCCGATATCATTAATTTATTCCGTTCCTTCAATTTTGCCTCAGTCTTAACGTTTTGAAAAAAAATCGTGAATATCGATAATCACCGCCGAAAAATATCAAATACCGCATAAAAAAACCAATAAATCTAAACATTTTCGTTGATCTCAAACAGAATTTCCTATCGTTGACTTTGCTGCGTTCAAATCGTCCATGAAAACTGATGATGGTTAGATAAAATCGTGCGAATGTACATACGTAAACCTCTTACCTTCAAAAAAGCGTTATTATTCTGTGGATCCCTGTCTTCATGAAATAATGTTGTAGTATCCATTCTGTGTGTTTCGGTATGACCTATCCCTTCATCAAATCTTCGATAAACAGTTAGGTGTAGTGTACAACTGTGACAGGTACGATGTGGAAACCCAAATGTCGCTATGGGGGGGGGGGAGCTGTTTTAGACATTCGAATTTTATGTACTCTGCAGAGTTTCGAAACTACTTCGAAAGTATAAAGGGGGTAAGTTTCTAAACTTAAACTGTGGTGCTGCGTCGGTGGGAGAGTGTGAAAGGGTAATTTAGAATTATCAACTAAGTTGATAACGTAAATTGGCCACTGTAAAGAGTTCAAAAGCTGACGTTTCGAGCGTTATTAGACTTCATTAGAGCGACTGGAGGAATTTTGGGTTCCTGTGGGATTATTTGCAGAAAATGGAGCTACGCTATTGGTGGGAATATAGTGACGAGAACACAAGAATGAATTAGTTCAATGAAAAGCGTTCTTTGATACCGCGAGGACTAATATAAGAGTGCCGATTTGAAAGACAAATTTTTGTTCTCGAGTTTTGCAGCTTTCCGAGCTGCTTAGATTTGGAGAAGGCCGCAAACTGCCATATGTTGCTTAGAACGGTTGGGGAGATTAAAGTGTCGGTTAAATTTCCGCAGAGCTCCATACTATTGTAAAACAAATCTGTTTTCCCAGTGGAAATGTATTGTCTTTGTCATTGTTTTCTCTATCCAAGAACTGAATACATAATGTAGTATGGGGCTGTTCGGAAATGAAGTGTCTAGCGACTGGTTAGGGTGCGTCCTTATCATTTCTTTCCATATCGCGAAGGTGTTCTCGGCATCGGTCATCTAGTCGTCTTCCCGTTTCACCGATGTATAACTTTTTGCAATAAGTGCAAGTTAATTACGCAGTAGATGACATTGGCAGAGGTACACGTGAGGTGATCAGTGATCGTAATGGATCTCTTGGGTCCCGACATTTTCTCTGCGCTATGAATGAAAGGACAAGTTTTGCATCGTGAGCGAGCGCATTGGAAAGTTCCAGGTTGGTCATTGCTTTGAAATTAACTTCTGACCAAAAAGTTGCATATGTTTATGTCACGTTTGAATGAAATTATTGGAGGCTGCGAATTACTATGTTGTAAGGTCTTAGCGAGCGGAATCAGTGTTGTCAATTGTTAATTAGGGGTGTCTCTAGAGTGTTGTTGCTGTTTCGCGTCGTCTCAATAAATGTTTTGTTACACCGGTTAGTAAGCTTCTTTTGTTTTCCATATCGCATACTTTCGTTCATTATTGTTTCATTTATAATTATTGGCGTCAGTTACACTTCCAGTTTCGCATGCATTAATTTTCAGTTTTTCCTGCGTGTATAAACTTAGTTTTCTTTATTCAGGGGGCCTTTCCCTTTTTTTCTGTTGTCACGCTAGTCACAGTTCGCTTTCGAGCAGTATTTACGTTATTCATTTCGTCTTTGGACAATGTTTTCTCGTCGAGTGCTAGTGCAGTTTTTCAGTAATCGTAACAATGTAAGTATCGTCATTTCAAGTTGGTTGAATTTCTTTCCTATCACCTTTACTTAATTAATTGTCGAAATTTTAAATCACTTTGTATTAGTTAATCGTGGTGTTGGAAAGTTACAGTTACCGCAGTCACATATTTTACCCTGTTCTACGTCGAATGTAAATTCTCTTTCTTTGCCGATTTTAATGCCCTTGCTTTTCCCTGAATTAAATTATTTCCAAAAAAAAAATTTTTCATTTTATCAAAAAGATACGGTACCATGAGAGAATAGAACCTCTCTAGTCGCCAACTGCGCTTCCGAATTTCTCAGAAAGTGTAAACATTTTACCTCCGCTGACCAAAAAGTTCGAAGAATGTTGAACCACGAAACGGCATTCAGGAATGACGAAATCATAAGTTAATAGACCTGAGGTTTGTAATAAGCATTTATTTCGCAGTTCTTCTATTTGTTACATTGGCATTTCCTGAGATTCAAATGATGAGCGACGACTTGTGAAAGATAAACTCCTAAAACTTTGCTAATATCGCTTGTGAAGTTCTTCGAATCGATCATGGGTGCTGAGGAAAGTAGACGTGTGCCTCGAAATAACAACTCACTGCCTGACATCATCTCCGCTTTCTATGAGCAAGCTAATAATATCAGTCAAAGCTCACGTCGTCCATCGGTGACCGAGTTCTCCCAAAACCCTGAACGGTATTCTGGGTTCATCTTAGTCGTAGTCCTTTCCACAGGAAAGATGGCAGTTATGACAAGACAGGAAGCGCGCGCCAAAGCAGCACAGATTAAAATCATTTCTGATAACAGCGACTCATTGAACACAGACTTCTTTCAGTCTTCTTCCAATAGCGACAACGTTTTGGTATTTGACCCTGCAACAGGAAAAATTCAAGCCCGCGATAGGGTGGTACGAAATCCCTATCAAAGGAGTGAAAACTTTTGGGAAAACTTGCAAAGAAGCTCCACAGAAGAAGTGTTGATGTTCGACCCTACGACAGGGAAACTTGTAGTCCGTGCGAGGGAGAAATAACATCGCTATTAAAGGAGTAGACTTTGTCTTTAAAGTTTCACTAGATATTACACTGGGCCGGACGGCTCTTTGTATCTTTTACTTGTTGCTTCTTAGCGACCTTTTATCGTTTAAATGGGAGATTCTCCAAATAACTAGAAAATGGAGCGACTAGGCACTAGTTCGTTTTTTAATTCATGTATTCCATAAATCATGCTATTGTCAGTCAGTATCAGCTTTCAAGGAAAACAATGTTGGTGTTACTGCAGTGGAAACAAATCCTTCGTACATAGGGTTTTCCAAGGAGTTAGTTCGCACGAGTGACACTGCTTTTATATAGAGCATGGGTTATCACGTCTACTTTATCTAATGCGTCAATAAAATTTTATTGGTCGAGGGAATGTCCACCTCGCCGGATTTCAATGCGATGAATCATCTTTTTTCCCAGAAAAATGAAAGTAAACAAGATTCTCTTTTGTTGAGGTATTAAATCGAAAACCTTTCTAATTTACTGCACACATGGACCACTAAGTCCAAATATATCAGTACATCAACTCTGAAGGAAACATTTGATGACAGTCTCTTAAGTTCTTCAGCATTAGATGCCCCAAATAGATCTGTCAGACTTAGTATCTTGTTAAGAAATATCAAGCTTCCTTGCACACAAACACCGAAGTATCCTACACACAGACAATTTAATGAAATCCTTTTAATACATTACCCTTGAATTAGACATTTTCTTGACATAAAAATCGAGTAACAGTCTCTCAACTCATTACTTTTACGCTTCTCTATGCTGATAAGTTCGGTAAGAGTTAATGAGAATCAATATTTCAGGCTACAAATATCGTAATAGTTTGTTCATCTCTAAGCTAATTTAACAGCATTTTTTCTTCCGTGCTGTTTATGTTGCAACGCAGTTAAAATTTTTGAATAGGGTTTTACCTTTGAATCAGTTCATGTGTGCTAGATATTTCTCAAGATATTCACCAGTTTGCCGATGGATCTCGTACGCTTCCAGCCAGATGCGACCTTTCATCAACACTTGGTAAATGGTGTTTTCACTCGACCAAGAGTCCTTACGGAAATGGCAAATTTCCGTCAGACCATCGTGCATACCGTAAACGTGATCTTTGCCGCTGGAATACTGGAGAAGAGATCCGTCCTTCTTCTTTAAAACAGAGGAAGGAGAACTTACGACTAGTACGGGGCACTCGTTTGGAAACTTTGCCGGGACGTAAACACGAAGCGTGTAGTTGTTCCCGTTGTTTGTGTTCACTCGCCACTCGACTCTGGTATTTCCAGCTGACGTGGGGTTGATCCAAGTCACGTTGGTTAGCTTGCCATCTATGATATCTTTTTCAAATCCCAGGCGTGTTCGTTGCTCTGTGCTCCAACTCATCTTAAAGAGGTTGAATTTCCTCGATGCTTTCACTTTGAGAATGGCTTGATGAGTGTTACAGAAGTCCTGCTTGGTTGTTTCAGACAATCAAAATAATTCCACGACGTACGGATTTCCCAGAAACGAACTGTCAATTTTCATGTGTCACGAAATGAGAATTGAATTACAATCTCAACCATTAAGTTAATGATACGAATAACCAAACTGGTTTCTTAGAAATCATAGTCATTTCATTCAGTGACACTCAGAATATGGTTAGCAAGGGGATAGTTGCCTTTTTTTTTGTTCTGTCCAAGATTTGAAGGTATTTAGAATAAAATGGAAAGTACCGCACAAATGTATCCACTTATTCAGATATTCAGAGAGTAGAATCTGAGTGAGTGACGTATGCCGACACGTATTATTTAAATCTTATCATTTCAACAACTTCCTGTACGCTGGAGGTCATAGTTCTGCTCGACATAACGGCTAGAGTTTAATGGTTTTCTGAGAAATCATTAACAAACAAATATTGCCTTTCATTGTTTTGAATTATTAAAACTATTTGCTGTGAAGCATCGTAGTTTTTAAAAGTTTTCAGACACATCACAGCCACAGAAGATTTAGTCAGAGCTCGCCGAATAAATTCAGTGAAAAAGATAAAGCTGCTTTAAAAAGCAGAGTTGAATTTGTCTCTATGTAAAAAGACAAAAATAGTTCTCGATACGCTCTAGATCTATGACTGAATAAATTAAGCAATTCCGGGAAATCATAATTATTCACGTTAGAAAAACAACCATTATGTTGACTCATGAACACATTGCTTCATTTTCGCTGTTTTCGAAAACAGGGTGTTCTTTCTTCCTTTGAAGAAAACCAAATCAGTTTCAGCTTATCCGGAAGCACCATTTTAGCCACTTTCATATATCATTTGTGGTTTCTAATTCTGCCGCTTGATGTCCAGTCAAGGAGAATTCCGTGTGGCTATTTATGCCAGTGAATACAAGCAAATTTGCGCTTGGGTCTTAAAAGAGCGAAGTTTAGAAACCGGCGGAGATCTGTTCGGGCTTTGGAACAATGATCACACTGCAGTGATCCAGCTCGTTTTGGGGCCTGGCAAAGATTGTCAAAGGACTTCGGGTTCGTTTTACCAAGATGTGAATTACTTGGAGAAGGTTGGCTCCCATTTGACTAGCAAGGAAGGGCTCTGTCACATTGGTGAGTGGCATTCTCATCACACAATTGGTCTTAAACGACCAAGTGGCGGAGATGAACGAACGGTTTGGACAAACATGCCTAAATATGGGCTGAGTCGCTTTCTACTGTTCATTGCAAACATTGAAAACCGAGATTTATCCGCCAGCGCAGGATGCTTCCTGTTCGAATTCGAGAAGAATACCAATAAGAGGAAGCCGGTTCGGCAGGGAAAATTCGTTTTATTGCAAAATGAAAGCCCCTTCCGTTCAAGGTGTCATGATGTTTTAGCGGAAGATGCAGAGTGTCTGAACCAGGAGGAAAAAGTGGGTTTACTAGAATTGTCCAAGAAGGCTATCTCCGTGCCCAAAGAGCGGCCTGTAGTTACACAAAGGCAGCCATTTGATGAAGAACGGGGCGGTGGCAATGAAGATGGTAGGCTGTCAATTCCTTGTGAAATAAGAAGGCGCTTTTCTTTTCAATTCCGCTGTGTATTGCTGTAAAACAAAGCACAGATTGCTTTTCATAATGGTGATAAAAATTGAACACCTGTCCTGTTTTTTTCTTATTTATTGAGAAAGTAGGTTTTTGGATGAGTTAAATTACTTTGATTCAACAAAACTAAAATCCAACATAGACATGTAACAACATTGTAGGGGGACTTACAAATGGAAGACGTTTAGCATAATTCTTAACTCACTGGTTAAGCGAATGAACAGGAACTGAAGAAAGAGAAGAGCTGTTAATGTGACATTATGGATATAATTGCAGATGTGTTATTCAAAACCAATTATAATCATAGATCATACAAGTCGCAGCTAGTTCAGTTCAGTGTCAATTGTTAGTTGAAGAAACATTGAATTTAGCGAATTAACATTTAATATACTTGATATTCTGAATATCAAGTTTAGAATGCCTTTATAGCTCACAAGATTTGCCCCTAAGGTGGTGAAGCAAAAGATTCTCGATACCATTAATCAACTTTGCTTAAATAGAAAGTAGCATTTTGCGAGTCAATATTGTTGCAAATGATAAGTTTATTTTTAACTAATGAAATAAATTTCGTGAAGATGAGGAAGGTTAATTTACAGAACATTTTCCATTCAATTCTGAGCAAAGCACATTTATCATGTCTAGTGCAAATTGTACAGTCGCAGAGCAAAGACTGCCATGATGATAAAACTTATTAAAATTTGCTTGAACAAGTTGATTGTTGATTGTTAGGGTGTGCGTGACGCAACTACAGAGTAACGCAATGAAGACTCAGGGCTTCCTGTGTTTCCCGGAAAACGATCTATCATATCTAAATTTAGTAACATCAAAACATATGAAAATGAACTTTCTTCTACACAGTTGCAGTGACGAAGAATATTTTTTTTAACTAAGTTAGCGTGGTTAAGCAAATAATGTAGTCATATCATATCCTCACAAGCACTCCAAGAAAGCTAGCCACATTTTTCTAGGAGACCACAGAGGTTATTCGCCCCTATTCGCGGGACACGCTAGATTAACGCTGAGAGAAATACTAATATCTCAACGAATTCTTGTTGCCTTGTTTCGCTTCTAGGAAATGTTTTGTAGATCAGACACAATTTTACCCGAGACAGGTCTTTTTTTCTATTTCACAAGGATCGAGTTGACCCGTTTATATCCTTATGTCCACAGATAAAGAATTCACGGTGGCCATTTATGTCAGCGAGTACAAGCAAATTTGTGCTTGGGTTTTCAAAAATCAAGATCTTGAGACGGGTGGAGATTTGTTCGGTCTGTGGTACGATGATTACACGGCAGTGGTCCAGTTCGTGTTGGGTCCCGGTACAAATTGTCAGAGAACTACCACCTCATTCTTCCAAGACGTGGAGTACTTAGAGAAGGTTGGCTCTCATTTGACTGGTAAGGAAGGACTTTGCCATATTGGCGAATGGCATTCCCATCATAAAATCGGCCTCAAGCAACCGAGTAACGGAGATAAACGAACAGTGTGGACAAACATGCCTAAATATGGGTTGAGTCGCTTTTTGTTGTTCATTGCCAATTTTGAAACACACGAGAGTACATATGACTCGGTGAGTGTCGGCTGTTTTTTATTCAAAGAGAGCAAAACCAGTCATCGAAAGTTGTTTTCAGGAAGATTTAAGCTCTTGCCAACAGAGAGCCCTTTCCGCTCTAAATGTGTACGCAACCCAAGCTTAATAGAAGGGGCAGAGGGTCTCAATGAAAATAAAGAAATAAATTCTCTGGACGAAGTTGTCACAGGTTCAAGTGAGATGAAAGAAGATGGCGAGCGACCCTTAATGGTTCGTGACGAGTCAAAAAACCTGACTGCCAAGCAGTATCCAGCAGAAAGTCTTAATGAAAGTAACGAAATAAATTCTCTGAACAAAGTTATCACTGCCTCAAGTGAGATGCAAGAAGATGTCAAGCGACCCTTGATGGTTCGTGAAGAGTCAAAAAACCCGGCCGCCAAGCACTGCACAGCAGAGGGTCTTAATGAAAGTAACGAAATAAATTCTTCGGAAGAAGTTGTTAGTGGCTCCAGTGAGGAGCAAGAAGATGTCATGCAACCCTTGATGGTTCGTGACGAGTCAAAAAACCCGGCGGCCGAGCAGTATCCAGCAGAAAGTCTTAATGAAAGTAACGAAATAAATTCTCTGAACAAAGTTATCACTGCCTCAAGTGAGATGCAAGAAGATGTCAAGCGACCCTTGATGGTTCGTGAAGAGTCAAAAAACCCGGCCGCCAAGCACTGCACAGCAGAGGGTCTTAATGAAAGTAACGAAATAAATTCTTCGGAAGAAGTTGTTAGTGGCTCCAGTGAGGAGCAAGAAGATGTCATGCAACCCTTGATGGTTCGTGAAGAGTCAAAAAACCCGGCCGCCGAGCACTGTACAGCAGGAGGTCTCAATGAAAGTAGCGAAATAAATTCTCCGGAAGAAGTTGTTAGCGGCTACAGGGAGGAGCGAGATGTCAAGCAACCCTTGATGGTTCGTGACGAGTCAAAAACCCCGGCCACCAAGTGCTGCAAATGCTGCTCAGTAATGTAGATCATAGGAAAGAAGTTGATACGATGTACTGATACAGATCAAGCTGAATTTTTTCTTCAGTACAGATAGAAATTTTTAGTCAGTTTATAATAACCTGCTTAATCGTAACTCCAAGGGAAATTTAGTTAGTATGAATGGAAGCAAACAGCATGTAGCTACGTTTTGGTTTGCTCTGTTCATTGTGATACTTAGTGCTTTTCTTAATGTTCCAAAAGTTGATTTGGCCATTCACGCTTCCGGATAAAAAGTTCCTGTTTGAATATTCAAACAGATGAAATCTGTGATGACCTGGCCCAGACTTCGGCCGGGAATGTATATCGTCTATTGTGGCCTGTTTCAAGTTTTCAATCTCCCAAATAAAATTCAGTCGGTTCCATGATACTTAAAATAACGTGTCTCATTTACCTCATTTACTGATTTATTCAACTACTAAATCCTGTGTGGTTTTTTTTTATTTTGTTACGCTGTTTGTTTCTCTAGAACAAATACAGTTATAGACTTATTCACCTGAATCCAACAATATTCGAAAACACGTTGTCATACAGCCTAAGTACTACCATGCGAGATCAGCTGTGGTGCTCAGTGTTTTGAAGGGAATGATCGATGTATCATCATTGAGCTGAATAATGATGCTTCAGATCCTAATTTTGTGGTCGTTTATGCCTGCGTCGTGAGAATGATAGGGAACAATGACTCTCTTTTGGATAGAGAGATCTTCACTTTAAGTTTCGTCTTACCTAACCTGCTCCTCCTTCCCTACTCTTTTTACCGAATGGGGTTTTTGAGTGATCGAAGATGATAGATATCATAAGTTCCTCTGCGGTTAAACAAAACCCTTTCCCTCGCAAACTTTCGTGCGAGCTTAAAGCTCGCAGGTCTAATCAGAGGCGAGATTGGAGACCCGCAAAAGTATTCCTCAACGCTGCCCAAGAGAGCGAGCCAAGTATACTCCCAATGAAAAAGGGGGAAAGAAGCGAGGAGATGGAATACTTGCCTCCGACCGTTGTGGTTCGGGTCAGATTCCTTGCTCTCTTAAATTCTTACTTAAATTCCATCGGGCACTCCTGTCATCCGTAAAAACCTTGAGGAAATACTTCTTTTGCTAAGTTTCCACCTTTTGGAACCTAAGCTTTAAAACGAGTTTTGTGCAACCTAAAGTTCTGAGTTAAAAGGATGGTTAAGCAAATTAATCAATTTCTATTTTTGTCATATGAGCCTGTAACGCTCCTGAATTACCGATATCTCGCGTTAATAAAATTGAAAATTTTTATCTTGTTGCTCTTAATATTACATCAATGAAACAGATTTTTCCTTTTTGTGTTTTTGTGTTTTTTTTTTTTAATAGATGCTTTCAATTTTTAATGATTCTCATTACTACATGCGTCCTCTCGTACTTTCTGCGTGACAAACACCTCAACTTGACATGCTTGGTTCGTGTAGAGAGGATTCCCGGAAATTAAGGAAGATGTTTCATAACTCGAAACTTCTGTAGCATGACACAGTACAATTTCCTATAATTATGCCGAATATTTGTCGCTAAAATAAACTACAGTATATGTTTTTCAAGACTAACGCAAAATAATCTTGCAGTTTTGCGTTAAGCACTTCAGGCTGAATAAGATAACGAGTGGCATGACGAAAAAAGTTGACTGCAATCGTATAAGCTTTTTTTCACAACGTAATGTTGCGAGGCTGTTTCCAAGAAGACTTGTGCGGGAAACAAAAGCGAGGCCAGATAAAAAGAGTTTTGAAACTTGATTTGTTCTGTTGTTTCTTGAATTCCGAGAAAAAGCAAGCTTCACACGAAATTGATCAACCAATCAAAGCATAGTTGAATTTCCCAGAAATGATAAATATCAACTTATACATTTCAATTTCAGTAAACTGTTGTAGTTTTGGTTTTGTCAGGAGGAAAAAGACTTACATACGATGAGCGACAAAGACGATCAGCGCAAAGTAGTCTGCTTTTTGCAGCCTAATTTTACCGATCTTCTTAGAGATAAAGAAGCTGTTAAAAAGCGGTTTTCCGTGACAGTATTTGACGATTGTGACACAATCCATGTCCGCGTGGAAAGTAACAATAAAGATGAACCAGAAAAGCGAGTCGCCTTCAAGATCTTTCGAGAATTACCTTCGTGTGAAGAGGTTCAGAAAATTGCTTCTGATCTAGTTTCCACTCTTCCTGCGCTCGAAGAACCACAGATTGCAATCCTGGTATCTGAAGATGACCATGTCAGAGCTTGTGTGAGACCAAAGTCAACTGATCCTTTGGAGCAGGCGGCTGTTTTGCGGCAACCGCGGAAATCGCAACTCTATTCACGAAGCCGTGGCATATTAGAGTCGAAATTATTGGAGGAACGAAAAGTTGCAGTGGTTGGTCTTGGAAGTGGTGGCTCCCACGTGGCAATAGAACTTGCTAAAGCTGGAGTTGGAAAGTTTGTCCTCGTCGATTATGATCGAATTGAGCTGCATAACATCATTCGCCATGTTTGCGGCTTGAGCGATCTTGGACGTCTGAAGACCAATGTCATGCGAGACCATATCTTGGACAAGAATCCATTTGCAGAGGTAGAAATACACAACACCAACATCAACAGCCTAGAAGAAGCCAGAGAAATTCTGAAAGGATGCGATGTTATTATCGCCGCGACTGACAACATAAGAAGCAGGCTCAACATCAATACGCTATCAATTGAGCTTGGTATCACGACTCTCTACGGAAAATGTGCTGTCAGAGCTGCTGGAGGAGAAGTGTTGAGAGTGAGACCAAAGGCTGGCCCGTGCTTCTCGTGCATCTATGCTGATGCCGCGATGGAAGCCTCCGCAGAGGAGATGTCCTCATTCCGTCAAGCCCGCGAAGCCAATCCTCCTTACATTGGAGACGACGAAGTGAAAGCCACGATTCAAGTTGGGCTGTCTTCTGACATCATTCCAGTCGCTAACATGCTGGTGAAGCTGGCCTTAGTGGAACTGTGCCGGGGTAAGGATAGTGCACTGGCCACACTGGAGAAGGATCTAGAGGCTCCCTATTACATGTGGGCAAACCGCAGAGAGCAGCAGTACGCTGGATACCCACCCGAAGGCTTTCACCGGTTTGATCAGCCTGGAATTCTGAGATGGTATCCCATGACGAGCGAGAGAAAACCCGATTGCAAGACATGCCAAGATATGGGAGCTAGTGCAGAAAATGTCGACTTTTTCTCGTCTTCAGACAGATAAATGACTTATATATTAGATCTATAAGAACAATTTGTTGCAATGAAAGACTATGTTCACTGTTTGCCATAGGTTTGGTTTTTTAGTTAATTTACCTTCTTCAAAATTGCCATCAAGCCTAAATAACCTGTTATAATTCGTCCGCCAAAACGGAATATATCACTGGTTAGTCTTAGAGCTATTGATGGTCTCTGCACAATAGGGAAACTTTTACTTTAGGATAGAAACTAGATTGCTTCTAAATCATTGTTCGCTAAAAGTTATATTCAATAAAATATCTATGTTGTATCTAGAAGGTGCTCGTGATTGCTTCAATTTCTGCATTGTCGCTATATTTATCCAACTTTCGCGTGATTTTTTTAAACAAGTAGATATACCTTGTCACACAGTTTCTGAGAAAAGGCTAAAAGTCCCTCACTAACCGTATGAAGCTTTTTCTGAGAAATAGGGATTAAAGTGGTTGAATGATGTAAGCACTAAGTACACTGCAGCCGATGAATACATCCGATATTATGCTTCGGTTTCTTTGATTCGAGCGGAAGCATATTTCTAGCACACATATTTCATTCCTACCGAAGAAAGTTCCAGTTCAACTTACTCTATACACAACAACACTGTTTTGAAATGTGAAACTTTCCTTAAAATGAAGTTTACCTTCTGGAATATTTGATTCAGGCAAAGGAAGTAGAACGTGTATAGCAGGTTTAAACATTTATTGATATAATATATCTCCACAACGTTACTAAACAACCACTGACATCAAATACTCGAACGAACTCGTTTGATACAGTTCAATCAGTCTATACAGCTTTGTATGAAGCAAGAATTACGTGAAAGAAATCTGTCCTTTAGAATGAAGTACCGTTACAATGAAACCAAAATTCGAAGCAATATGTCGCGTCAATCATTATTGACCGGACCAGAAATTGTTCCAAAGATTCTCTTTCCTTCTTCGTTGCCATAGTTCAAGAACACAAAACATAGTCTTTGATGATTCTTTGTCGCAAGTGGAAGGCGTATACAGTGTAGTTAAAGAAGCCTCCAGATCCACTCTTGTTCATGTCCAGCATAACCGTGCGATCGGAGTTTTGGGCTTCTTGTTGCGACTTTACCATCAATTTTCCGGTAGCAGGGTCGAAAACTAGCGCCTCAGAGCCGCTTCCTCTACTCTCAAGGTGCTGCTGAATGCGTTGAGGATTTGACGACATATTCTAGATCAGCTTTCGGTAAGTTTTTCGGTTCTCCGCGTAGACGATAATGGTTGCTGTCGCTTTGCGATGTTACAGCGTCGCTCACTTTCGGTTTCAGGCTGTTTCCTCATTTAACTCGTTGTCAAAATGACGTCATGTCTGTATTTTTCTTAGAAAGGACTTTGAGCGTGTTGTGTGACTGAAGTTTTCCAAAAAGTTGTCAATGAAAAATAATATTTTGTATAGCAAAGCGGAAGTCAATTGTTCCGCAAGGGCTTTACCCCTTTGGCAATTACATATCTATTAAATGTTATATAATATATTTCCTTGATAAAAATTTCCTTAGTAGCTGTAAGCTGTCAGAATCGTAACGCAATGGACCAAACAGAGAAAAAGAACGAACAGGATGCAAGAGAATTCGACTTTAGGTTTGTAATCAAGAAAGACGAAGAAGTGAAAGGGGAGGATGGCGTGACAAATGTAGTGAAATCAGAAGTTGTGGCTAGCCGTCTTAAAGTTATCGCTAAAGGAGGAGATGTTGGAAAGAAAGAAAAGCTGGTGTTTGATCTGCAGACTGGAACACTGACCGTGGAAAGTGAGCCAGACTCATCAGGGGACAGACAGGTCATAGAAGGCATGGCTTCCAGTGGATGGTTTGCTTGGGAGAGTCGTTCTTTTTAAATAATTTGATCACATAAAAACTTTTATAGGCAAAGAATTGCATGATTCATTACAAGAGACACATAAAGGACCCCACGTAGATGGAAATGTATGCCATGTGAAGGCTATAATACATATGCAATTTTGAATTTTTGTTATTTGCATATCAGGCGATGACTGACATTATATTTTCTGTCAGTGAAAGATTCTCCGAATGTTTGGCAGCTGTCGCACAAAACAGAGACATCACTGTTGTAAACTTCAAAAACAATTCCCAGAAAACGTGATAAATAAAATTATATTCCTTGCAGTGAAATTTTTTTTCCGAGAAACTCATTGTTAGCTGTCACGCAAAAGGAAGATATCATTGTTGTAAACGTAAAAAACATTTCCCGGAAAACGCGGAACACTTAAGAATAACAATGATGGTGTTATAAGCATCGTTGGTCGAAACTGAGGTAACAATCGAAAATGAAATTTTTGTTTTATTGTTAACATGCCCGAGATCGAAAGTAACGTCTCTAGGTCGCCATTGCTTTTAAACTTCTTTACAGATTCTCGATTGAACATAAATGACCTTGAACGACATTGAAACCAAAATATACCCTTTTCTCGGAAGAGCTTAAGTCATTTGATAAATGCGCGTATATCATTTGTTAACAAAAGTCAGAAAAGCGTTGCTTGAAAGTGATTTGAGCGCAGTAATAGTCTGTGGATTCACGCTCGAAGTAAGCAGCAATGGCAGCTGGTGATAAAACAAACCCAAGAGTTTACCTCTTTAAAGACGATTATGATATGATTCAAGAGCTTGTTCGCTGTCGCCCGACAAGAAACACAGGCGGAGATCTGTTTGGTCTGTGGACAAACGACGGTGAACCTGTTCTTCACATAGTTACTGGCCAGGGAATAGAAACTGTCAGTTCTTTGTTCTCATCAAATAACGCTTCCAACGACTCGAGAATTAAGGATCTTGGCGCCAGACTGAGAGATAAGTTCCGCTTGAGTTATTTAGGAAAATGGCAGTATATGCCTCGTTCAGAGCCAACTGAAGCGGAAATAATAGCGAAGGTTGACCAAAACACGCTCTTTAAAGGGACTGGAATGAAGTATTTTCTACTCATACTGGCAAGTTATGATGGTCAGTCATCAAAAGTGGAACTAAATCCGTATTTTCTATCGCAATTTTCAACAACAAAGAGAGGAGAAATGGCAGATGCACTTCCTAGACGTAGTATATTCAGAGAAGATGACGACATAGCAAATATTGTTGACTCCCTCATCGATCGAAAAGGAGCCATGAAAGGAGAGAAACTTACTGACAAGGACGACCGATGTGAAGACACCGATCACGGTGAAAGACAATCATGTTCTGACTTGGCAATCCCTGACTTTTACAGATTCGAGACGGGCTTTGCATGCAACCCGCGTGAATTAAAGGTATACCTTTTCGAAGAAGACTACGAGATGATGAAAGACCTTGTTCTCCGTTACCCTAACGTTGAGACCGGCGGAGATCTTTTTGGTCTGTGGACATCTGATGGCGATGCAGTGCTTCATATGGTACTAGGCCCTGGTGAGAACTGCAAGAGGACAGCAACTTCATTCTATCAAGATATTCCTTACCTCCAGGAAAAAGGCGAGTTGCTAACTACAAAGTACATGCTGTGTCACATTGGGGAATGGCACTCACATCACCAACTGCACCTTTACGAGCCAAGTCATGGCGACTCGTCCACTGTCATCAGACATTATCCCCACGGGACATGTGGCTTTCTTTTGATCATTGCCAACATTTTGTCACCAGACACTGTGCATCTGTCGCCTTACCTTTACACGGCAAGATCACAATATGATTTTTATCAAAAAGGACAACTAGTTCTCTTATCTTCACGGAATGCCTTCAAAAAAGCTACAGAAATTGCTCGAACAATAAGCGAAGGACAAGAAACATGGTCAAATTTCCAAAGTGGTATGAATCAGTATTCCCCTTACAATCGCTTACCTCAAATGCCAAGGACTTCCGATCAGTTCAACGCTCGAGGAATAAGCGAAGGAAGAGGACAAGGCTCAAATTTCCAAAGTGGTATGGCCCAGTACTCCCAACATCCTTGCATACCTCAAATAGCAGAGGCTTCCTCTCAGTCCACTGAATCACGCATGGAATCAAGCAATGACAATAACGATGAACTGATGGAACTAGATTAAACTTAAATTTCCTCATCGAATGAACGTAGCCTCGGTGAAACTAACAAAAATTGAATTCACCTGCAACTCTTAGGGTAGCTAAGAACGATTTCCAAGGACTGCGCTGAGTTGCCCACAAAATTTTAGTTCAGCGTTGTGTTTTCTTGCAACAAAGCAAATCAGAGATTTTGTTTTTGTACAGAATTTTTGCTTTGTACATAAATAGCCGTCTGTATGTCATGTATGCCGAACTCCGTTTTAGAAACTAGTCCTTCGACTTCATATAGTATTTCAGAATGATGATATTTCAAAAGTTCTTTGCAAAGGTGTGACAAAAGGGTCATTATTATAGATATAATCGAACCTGTATCAAGCGGCACCGTATTTAGCGGTCACCTTGTGTTAAACGGTCAGTTGTGAAAATCACGGAATTTTTTCCCGTTAGGTACCGTCATTTTCACTTCTATTTAGAGGTTACCTTTATTAGGCGGTCGTGGTCACCCTTGACCAAGAGAATATCAACATTTGATATTTTCTTGCCCTTGACTGAGTCCCAATGGCCTGTTGGCCGGTATTGCCTTCCACCTGCATTGAACGGTCACTTAGAGCGGATCCACTCGGAAAAACTAAGAACAATCTCTCAAGTAAAATTTATCCTATGGTTATCTTACAGAATCAATACTAGTACCTTGAGTTCACAGTTCCTCAACGCATTGCAGATTATCTCTCTTCTTAATCTTTTAGACTGTTAGGACAAATATCACGGGAGTCATTCGCCGGTCAATCTGTATAAACGGGGCATGACGGGCAATATATAACCGTTTGATTCTAGAACACAAATAATTGGGGAAGCTGTTTCTTAGGTTCAGAAATATAGAGAATCGTTATGAGTTGAAAGGTGTAAGTAATTAACATTTTTTTTTAATAGTGACTATCTTAGGAGGATTATGAGAACGTTGTAAGGTGATTGTATGGATTTCCTCTCCCAATAGTACCTCAGTACCCTGCTACAATTAATAACCAATCATAAACGGATCACGGAATCGTATGTTATTAGAATTGATCAAGGTCGCGAACTGTTAAAGAAACAACAACAACAACAACCAATCAATGTTTCGGAAAATAATCACGATTCACGCGTTGTTTAGAGGACAACTATTTCTGGACATATGTTATAGCAATATTTTGAAAGCAGTTCGTAATTTTCACCACCAATAATCAATCTAAAGCTATCCTTCATTTCTCAGGAAAAGGGAATAATTCGTAAACTCTACCCTCTGTCAATAGACTATTAATTCACAGCAAATCATTTCTTCGATGTGACATACATTGAAAATATTTCAGTTATATGCTACTGCCTAATCGTTTCCAGGAAACACAGCTTTTGGCCGTTGAATATAAGTTTTAAGTCATTTCTCAGAAATATGCCTTCTTTTGAAAAAGAGGGGAACAATTAAAGCACCGGAGCATGGAACTTCAATTGATGCCCATCATTTTAGGTGGCAAAAATTTAGAAGAAAATAGACGACGTTCGATTTTCATCGGCGAGAAGTCAAAGATAAAGGAATATAACACGTACCACGTTATAATAATATCATTATATAAAGCCGTTCGAAAGACAATTTCAAAACCTTTTTTCCTCCCTGAGAACGCGCGGTCGTGCGATTTTAGAACAAATCCACATCTCTGAATAGTAAACAACAAAGCTAGTACTACACACAGGAAAAAAAACAAGTTCTTGAGCGGACAAAATGTCTACACGGGTGTTTTGCACTGAACGCTTTTAAAAGCAGTACGTAAATCGTGTCCTTCGTCACATACTCTGTCACATGCGCTGCCTTCGTGCCCTTCGAAGCGGTAAATATTGAGCTCCTCTCCAAAAGTATAGACGTCAAGAGTGCACTAAGTCTGAATCATTCAATTGAAATCTGTGTAGGAGGAAATCCAATGGAAGAATCCACCAGACTCAGGCTTGTAAATCCCGGTAAAAACATTCCTATCATTTCTCGTCCTAGCCTCTGCCGTCAGGACAACTACGAACTTCCCTGCATCAGTCATTATAAGTTGATGGTCAGGAAATTTGTCGGGATTCGCCATGAAAACGTCGAGAACAGGTACTTGAGATGCCATCCTGCAAGTTGAGGTCTAGACTGATCGAGCTTCTCTGATGGCCAGTGGCTGATACACTATAGAACTGTAAACAATATTAAGTCCTTATTAGAAGACATCCATGGCGTGACTTCTGTCGGCCACTCGACCAGAAATCTCTCTCTGATTGGATCACTTTTTAAAATGTTGACGTCATCTAACCTTTTTCTCAGAAATGCGGAAAGGTCATACCTCACATACAAGTCTCATTGAAATGCCCTTTCCAAAGAAAGCAAAATAAGAAAACAAAATGAGCTGGGGACCAAAAGACAAACTGTTTGGAAGATTTGCTTCTGAACGCAAAGAATAACTTGGCATATTTTTTTCTTTTTTTCCAAAGCTGTGACTCAGGCAGGGTAAGCTTAACTGAAATTAAATCTATAAACATTGCTAGTTTCAGACGATTTAGATTTACCGATTTGTTCGGTGCGTAATTCGAAACGTCTCAATGGCTCGATAGTGTCTATCAGAGAAGGCATTTAATAATCAAGTCTGAAAAACAGCTGCGAAGAAGACAGATTATTACCCAAGCCACGTAAGCCTCGCCGCAACAACGGAATATTCAACTTTAAATTTAAATTCTTAAGCCATTTTCTATGACCTTTCAAAACTAAAATCTGTTTGGCAATATGACTAACGAGTTAAAACCCGTACCTTGTTGAGGATAAATGCTGAATCACTAAGGAACTTCATTCCCCTTTCAACTCAAATATGTCGACCTTTCAACGAAAATCGGGCCGCGGTAAGGGAAGGTACGTTTTTACAGCAAACTTCCCGACCCTCACTACTGACAAATTTAGAACAAAAAGTCACTATTGACTGTCACAATCTGGAAAATTATTTATAAACTTCCTTAGATTTCATTTAGTAAATTACTATCCATAGCCTAATTGAAATTATTTCTATTCAAAGTGGATTTCGGACCACGGAACCAGATTAATTAGCATCCGAGATTCCCAGAAATCAACTGACACGTTGCGCATGAGTAAAAAGACATCTTGCTGTAAACAACGCTTTCCGGCGCTCGATCCGACTCCGTGTTTTAGTCTTCTCGTTCTTTAAAAAGGTATGGCTACTTCTAAGGAGAAGCTTTACATTTTCCAGAGGGAACATGCTGCCATTAAGAAGCTTATTCTTTCCAATTCCGAGCGAGAGGCCAGTGGAATTCTGTTTGGTTTGTGGACTAACGGTGGCGAACCTGTGATCCACATCGTTTCATTAGAGCATTCCTGCGAAGTTAAAAAGAATCCTTCGCTTTCGCATATCGGTAATTGGTATTATGACCATTTTTCAGAGCATTTTAGCTCGGGAAGGCGTCAGAGAGACGTCGCAAATTGCAGCCATAGTTCAAAGGGAAGATTTCTTCAAATGAAAGTTATTATCGATCGGTTAGGACGAGAAGTCACGCTTCAGCCATATATCGTCGACTTGCAGAGAGGTCGTTTGATGAGAGCCCTTGGCGTTGAATTTCTGAAAACTGAAAGCCCATTTAGGATCGGTACACGCAGTCGTTCGGACAATGGTATTGAGGGGGAAGAAGACATGGAATGGTCTCCCTCCGAATATAACCCAGGCTCTACATACCTTCAAAAAGATCACGATGGAGAAAATCATCACACAAGTGGAGCTTTTCCAAGGCATGTGGATATAGGAGAAAGGAGGCTTCGAAGCAGTGATGAATATTCATCAGGTACGCAGTGGGGAAACACGTTGTTTTCGTACCCATCTCGCGTTCCTCAACGCATTGCAGATTATCTCTCTTCTTAATCTTTTAGACTGTTAGGACAAATATCACGGGAGTCATTCGCCGGTCAATCTGTATAAACGGGGCATGACGGGCAATATATAACCGTTTGATTCTAGAACACAAATAATTGGGGAAGCTGTTTCTTAGGTTCAGAAATATAGAGAATCGTTATGAGTTGAAAGGTGTAAGTAATTAACATTTTTTTTTTAATAGTGACTATCTTAGGAGGATTATGAGAACGTTGTAAGGTGATTGTATGGATTTCCTCTCCCAATAGTACCTCAGTACCCTGCTACAATTAATAACCAATCATAAACGGATCACGGAATCGTGTGTTATTAGAATTGATCAAGGTCGCGAACTGTTAAAGAAACAACAACAACAACCAATCAATGTTTCGGAAAATAATCACGATTCACGCGTTGTTTAGAGGACAACTATTTCTGGACATATGTTATAGCAATATTTTGAAAGCAGTTCGTAATTTTCACCACCAATAATCAATCTAAAGCTATCCTTCATTTCTCAGGAAAAGGGAATAATTCGTAAACTCTACCCTCTGTCAATAGACTATTAATTCACAGCAAATCATTTCTTCGATGTGACATACATTGAAAATATTTCAGTTATATGCTACTGCCTAATCGTTTCCAGGAAACACAGCTTTTGGCCGTTGAATATAAGTTTTAAGTCATTTCTCAGAAATATGCCTTCTTTTGAAAAAGAGGGGAACAATTAAAGCACCGGAGCATGGAACTTCAATTGATGCCCATCATTTTAGGTGGCAAAAATTTAGATGAAAATAGACGACGCTCGATTTTCATCGGCGAGAAGTCAAAGCTAAAGGAATATAAAACGTTCCACGTTATGATAATTTCATTATATAAAGCCGTTCGAAAGACAATTTCAAAACCTTTTTTCCTCCCTGAGAACGCGCGGTCGTGCGATTTTAGAACAAATCCACATCTCTGAATAGTAAACAACAAAGCTAGTACTACACACAGGAAAAAAAACAAGTTCTTGAGCGGACAAAATGTCTACACGGGTGTTTTGCACTGAACGCTTTTAAAAGCAGTACGTAAATTGTGTCCTTCGTCACATACTCTGTCACATGCGCTGCCTTCGTGCCCTTTGAAGCGGTAAATATTGAGCTCCTCTCCAAAAGTATAGACGTCAAGAGTGCACTAAGTCTGAATCATTCAATTGAAATCTGTGTAGGAGGAAATCCAATGGAAGAATCCACCAGACTCAGGCCTGTAAATCCCGGTAAAAACATTTCTATCATTTCTCGTCCTAGCCTCTGCCGTCAGGACAACTACGAACTTCCCTGCATCAGTCATTATAAGTTGATGGTCAGGAAATTTGTCGGGATTCGCCATGAAAACGTCGAGAGCGGGTACTTGAGATGCCATCCTGCAAGTTGAGGTCTAGACTGATCGAGCTTTTCTGATGGCCAGTGGCTGATACACTATAGAACTGTAAACAATATTAAGTCCTTATTAGAAGACATCCATGGCGTGACTTCTGTCGGCCACTCGACCAGAAATCTCTCTCTGATTGGATCACTTTTTAAAGTGTTGACGTCACCTAACCTTTTTCTCAGAAATGCGGAAAGGTCATACCTCACATACAAGTCTCATTGAAATGCCCTTTCCAAAGAAAGCAAAATAAGAAAACAAAATAAGCTGGGGACCAAAAGACAAACTGTTCGGATGATTTGCTTCTGAACGCAAAGAATAACTTGGCATATTTTTTTCTTTTTTTCCAAAGCTGTGACTCAGGCAGGGTAAGCTTAACTGAAATTAAATTTATAAACATTGCTAGTTTCAGACGATTTAGATTTACCGATTTGTTCGGTGCGTAATTCGAAACGTCTCAATGGCTCGATAGTGTCTATCAGAGAAGGCATTTAATAATCAAGTCTGAAAAACAGCTGCGAAGAAGACAGATTATTACCCAAGCCACGTAAGCCTCGCCGCAACAACGGAATATTTAACTTTAAATTTAAATTCTTAAGCCATTTTCTATAACCTTTCAAAACTAAAATCTGTTTGGCAATATGACTAACGAGTTAAAACCCATGCCTTGTTGAGGATAAATGCTGAATCACTAAGGAACTTCATTCCCCTTTCAACTCAAATATATCGACCTTTCAACGAAAATCGGGCCGCGGTAAGGGAAGGTACGTTTTTACAGCAAACTTCCCGACCCTCACTACTGACAAATTTAGAACAAAAAGTCACTATTTACTGTCACAATCTGGAAAATTATTTATAAACTTCCTTAGATTTCATTTAATAAATTATTATCCATAGCCTAATTGAAATTATTTCTATTCAAAGTGGATTTCGGACCACGGAACCAGATTAATTAGCATCCGAGATTCCCAGAAATCAACTGACACGTTGCGCATGAGTAAAAAGACATCTTGCTGTAAACAACGCTTTCCGACGCTCGATCCGACTCCGTGTTTTAGTCTTCTCGTTCTTTAAAAAGGTATGGCTACTTCTAAGGAGAAGCTTTACATTTTCCAGAGGGAACATGCTGCCATTAAGAAGCTTATTCTTTCCAATTCCGAGCGAGAGGCCAGTGGAATTCTGTTTGGTTTGTGGACTAACGATGGCGAACCTGTGATCCACATCGTTTCATTAGAACATTCCAGCGAAGTTAAAAAGAATCCTTCGCTTTCGCATATCGGTAATTGGTATTATGACCAATTTTCAAAGCATTTTAGCTCAGAATGGCGTCAGAGAGACGTCGCAAATTGCAGCCATAGTACAAAGAGAAGATTTCTTCAAATGGAAGTTATTATCGACCAGTCAGGACGAGAAGTCACGCTTCAGCCATATATCGTCAACTTGCAGAGAGGTCGTTTAATGAGAGTCCTTGGCGTTGAATTTCTGAAAACTGAAAGCCCATATAGGACCATCGATACACGCAGTCGTTCGGACGATGGTATTGAGGGCAAAGAAGACATGGAATGGTCTCCCTCCGGATATAACCCAGGCTCTACATACCTTAAAAAAGATCACGATAGAGAAAATCATCACACAAGTGGAGCTTTTCCAAGGCATGCGGATATAGGAGAAAGGAGGCTTCGAAGCAGTGATGAATATTCATCAGGTACGCAGTGGGGAAACACGTTGTTTTCGTACCCATCTCATGATTTCAAGGTTTTTATGTTTGAAGAAGATATCGAGAGAATGGAAAAGTATGTTCGTGCATACCCTCATCTAGAGACTGGAGGAGATCTGTTTGGCTTGTGGACCTCCAATGGTGACGCAGTTATACATGTTGTTCTTGGACCAGGTCAGAACTGCAAACGGACCGGCACCTCTTTTTATCAAGACATTCCCTATCTGCATAGAAATGGCAACCTTCTTACTCAAGACTATTTGTTGTGCCACATTGGAGAATGGCACTCCCATCATCAGCTGCGACTTTTCCAACCAAGCCAAGGTGATTCGACGACTGTGATAAGACACTACCCTAAAGGGACGCACGGCTTTCTACTGATCATTGGCAACATCGAGCGATCTGGTTCTGTGATACTGTCACCGTATCTTTACACAGAGAGATCCATATATAGCTTTGATAGAAAGGGGACAATAGAACATCTCCGCATTGAAAGTCCCTTCAGCAAAATCGAGAAGATAAAAAAAAGCATGAAGGAAGGAAGACAAGAAAGTGAAGTCAGGGAAAACTCACGTTGTCCAGAACTCCCTTATCCTCGGCCGTCCTCCAACATCCCCCGTGGGAGAAGGTCCCGAGGTCAAACTTCTCGGAGGGGTGCTTCCAAACCCAAAGAATTATACATATGAATTGCATAGCCCATTTACGGGCCCTTTACTACGGAGGTAAACGTTCAACAACAGAGTCAATTAAAAATGCAACGATAATTTTCAAATGTAACACTGATCATGAGTAACATAGAGCAGAGGGACATCAAACGCGCTTTGCTCCCAGCTGCCAAAGGGCAGCTATTTCAATATGCACCGAGGGAAAGAAAGTTCATTTAGCTTTCGAAAAACATATTTAGTCAAAACGCATCTTTCTTAGTTCAGTTTATTTGTCACTTTCGAAGGGACGGCGTCTTATGTAAAAGACGAAGCCTAAAGTAAACATTGATAAAATAATAGTCACAAAAAAAAGCATTTTATGTGCTGTTCGGGAATTTATCTCCCTTATATTCATGAGGAATCTTTGTACTTACCGTAAATGTTAGATGTAACCATTTGATTAGATATAAGAATGATTACAACCGCAAAAAACGACAGAAGATTCGTGAATTTAATTCACAATCTATTGAGTGTTTAGTCATAGATCGAGCTAACTGAGAAAACAAAACTACTTTCATTTTCACCTTTACCATTTTCCTATCCTTAAATATTATTATTAATATCCTTGTATAAAGTTCATTATCGAAAATCATTCACTCTCAGTCATTAATACTGTTTTTTTAATTCCAATAAATGCTGGAATAAACCTTCGCAAAATGAGAACCGAAGTAATTTTATTTTTGTGGTTTTCATAGCTGTTGAGTAATCCTCAGATCTTCTGTTTGGCGCTGGCTAACGACCATGGATATCAATTTATACTCCCGCTTCCATTTCTAGTAGCAATATCGCCAAATCCTTTTTATTTAACTGATAAATACGTTCCAGCTCATCGATTTTCTCTGAAACGGCTGTTGAATATTCGCTGTGACCTGCTTGACATAAACAAAACAAATCGACATTTCTGAGAAAAGCCGGAAGAAAACTGATACTCGCAAGCCGTCACTCCGCCACAATTTACATTTATATATAAGTGTAAAAAATATATAAATATATAGAAGTCAAATAGGGGGAGTTGACACGTGTTATATAACTCATTTGAAATAACTAGTTATAATCGTAAATACCCTGAATATTCACAATTAGGTTTATTTTAAGAACAACGTTTCTTGGAAAGATTCAGGTGATTGGGGTCTTCATACATATGTAACGCAACTAAGCTTAGCTGTGTTTATACCTTTGGTGTCGGGTAAAGATATATTTCGGCTTTAAGAACCTTGGATTAAGAGACAAAACATGGGGGCAAATCATGGAAGGCAATTTCACGTTCACATGTTCGAAGAAGACATTCAAATGATGAAAGAGCTAGTGAAGCTTCACCCGGAAAAAGAGACAGGCGGCAATCTGTTTGGTTTGTGGAATAACGACGAAGAACCAGTCTTGCACGTTGTGCTTGGTCCTGCCATTGGCTGCACTCGCACAGAGGTGTCGTTCTACCAGAGCATTCCCTATTTAGAGCGTGTTGGAAGGCTGCTAACCGAGCGGTTTCTCCTTTGTCACATCGGAGAGTGGCATTCCCACCACAAATTGCGTTTATCAGAGCCGAGCTCAGGAGATTCTTCGACCGTTATTCGGAACTTTCCTAGAGGAGCGCGTGGGTTTATCCTGATCATAGCCAATATTCTTCCATCTGGAGATGTCACACTTTCGCCTTACCTTTACAGACAAGGACAGACTACCTACGAAAAAGGATTGATCATACGACTTGGCAGTCCATGTAGCCCCTTCAGGAAAATAGATATCATAAAGGAAAATATTGAGAAAGACGAAGATAGGAGTACCACTGCTCATGAACGCAAGAGGACACCTAAAAATTGGGGATCGGAACAACCGCCTGGCAACGAAAGCTACGAGAACAAAGCATACGCTTACATGTTTGAAGAAGACAAAGAGATGATTGAGAAGAAGCTGTTACAATCTAAAGGGAATGAAATGGAGGGAGAATTGCTTGGTTTATGGACGAGTCGCGGCATGCCTGTCTTGCATCTGGTCCAAGAACCTAACAGCAAGAGCGGAACCTACAACTTGCAAACCCGAGGAAACTTGGCTCAAGATAACCCCTTAGGAAAATATATTCTTAACCCAGGAGAGTGTGAGAGACCATCTGACAAAGACTCGAGCTACATGCATCGAGAGTATCCCGACGGAGGTCTTTTAATTCTGGTTTACAAGGTAGACAATGAATCAGTTGCTATCCATCCACACCTTTATAAAAAAGGCTCCGCAGATTTTGAGTCACTTGAAATGCATTACCTGCAAGGTCGCAACGTATTTAGTCAAAGAATGAATGATAACACTGAAAAAGAAGAAAAAGAAAGCGGAATAGCGGAGTTAGAAGTCGATGATCCTAATGCTCGTGGTAGTCCAACCTTTCAACAACACAAACAGACACGTATCTAAAGAATGCAGCCATTTCAATATCGAGTGTCCCATATTTCTTTTAATTCAGCAAGACACCGGCCAAACCTGAAAATTTTTACGTAAATGAAAATATACAGCGTGAGGTCGCCTCGTTGATACTTTAAAGTAAATAATAAACAGCCTTTACTTATCTGGTCGTTGGCTCTCTGTAAGAAATTTAGTTCAAGATTCAAGTGCAGAACTTGATACAACAATCTTTTTACGGTATCATTTAGTCATACCTAACCGCTTTGTCATCTCGCTAAGGCTAGGGATGAGTGTAGAATTTCGCTTTTGAGTAATTCGTCAGGACTACCTGACCGACTGTTTTGCACTCGATTAAGACTGAAAACTTAAATAGATTATAAGAATCTATTCTTAAGACATTTCTGTCGATATCCTTCTAAGAAGAGTAACGATTATTTTCATTCCCAAGCGAAATTTAGCTTCAAGAAAGTAACAAGGACCAGCCAGACGTTTTCTCTAACAATAAATAACTCAAATTTTTTATTTTCGTACGAAAACGTAATAAACATTCTGAAGAATTCTAGGTTATATTTCTATTATATTTTGGGGAGCATAAAATAACTTAAAACATTTGTCGTATTCAAACCGTTCCTCGCCAGAATATTCTTGCAATCGCTACAGAATGGGTTTACAAATCCAAAATTGTATCAAGCTGTAGAAGCCTTAAAATGTCTATGTAGATTTTAAATAAGTTGCACTTTAAAACACAATGTTTCTAGGAATATGTCGACGCAAATACGCATGCGCAGAGATTTCCGCTTTCACATCTTGCGTGCGTTGAAACAACAAACTCGGTCTCGAAGGCGGTTAGCCTCTGTAGGATTTCAAGTATAGCACTTCTTGCTTTCGAAGATTCTTCATGGAAGGCAGGGAGAAGTTTCCACCTAGGAGGCTAGCAGACTCCGGGTTTGAAAGTTCACAGCGGACGGAGGGAAGGGCAACTGCACGCCATCAGCCGGTCAATTACAGCAATCGACGCCAAGATAATTCTTCCCAAGAACGTTTCGGTAGGATCCCTTCAACACAGCAGCAGCCAGTTAACTACAACAATAGACGTCAAGACGATTCGGCGCAAGAAAAGTTAGAATTTGATAAAGACACTGGGAAACTCGTAGTTTGCAGGAATCCACAAGCACCACAAGCAGCTTCTGTTCACGAAAGTGCCGTGGCTGTTCTCGAAGTCCGAGCACCAGTTCCAGATCGACCGGTTGTGGATGCCATGGCTGCTCAAGGATTTTTCTATTTGAAGATGATGAATGTTTTTTAAACGCAGCTAGGAACTACTAGTCAGAAATCAGGGTTGCCTTCATGGTATGAAGTATCCACAGTAGCAGCAGAATTAGGCATGTGTCATGTAGACTATTTAGTGCAAAACTTAGTGCTGAGATAATTTGTCAAAAGGCAGATTGTAATTTTGTGCCCGCCTTTCAACGTACCCTGCATAAAAGCGTATTGAACCAAATTGAACGGAAACTTGATGTGCTTTGCTAGAACGTAACGCTGTGCAATGGCAAAGCGATGCTTTTTAATTTTCTGCAAAATTGTAAACAGCTCTACTCCCCAGGCTTTTTAAGTGTTGTAAAGTGTACTAGAGCATACTGATCTGAAGGATGCGCTATATAAATGCTTCATTTATTGAATTAAAGAAAATTGCTGCGAAGTTCTTGCAGATACGTCTCTTTGTTTTGAAGCACAGAACGCTAACAACAGTATCACTGACCTTTCGAATTGATAGTTCCTTCAACCACTCAACAAATGAATTTCTTAGAAATCTTTATGTAATCAATAGGACGAAGGGAGAATTCCAAGAAGAGATGAATGGAAATTTAATGCGACATACCACCCGACCTCTAAACCTCCTATACCGTAAAACTAACGCAATAGGCAAGAATAGGTCTCTTAGGCCATCAGTTTCGTGTCATTTGGCAATCATGTGATGTTCATACGAAGAAAGTGAAAATATGTCTTTGATCCGTAACGGGTCAGATATTGCGTGAGCAAGTGCCAACAAAAGATCTGCTCACATCATCAAAACTTAAATTTCCGGGAACAACCGGAAGATGTATATAATCACTGAGTGCAAAATGTCGTTCTTTCTCAGAAAAGGAGACAAAAGAAATTGTAAACACCGTGAATCCTAAATCGAATCACTAATTATAACAATATGTATTGAATGTCGTGATGAAACATTCAGAGACTTCGTGTAACAAGCTTTTGCTAAAAATTACATTGTCGCACGACAAAAGCTTTTACTTTTTATAAATTCAGAGTTTTTATGTCGATGACATATTCAAATATTGACTTAAGCTGTTTTTTATTTTATTTTAATTTACTGGAGTCATTAAAAAGTCCACGTAATGATTTTTTTCCTTTGAGTCAAGGGTGGATGACTCTGTCCCAACATTGCCGCAAGCTAAAAATGGCGCCATGATAACATTGCAGGTTTCACCACGATCGATCTTGACCTGTTTTCTTTTTACCAAACCACTCCAGGATGCCTAAATAAGGGTTTTTTCATAACCTATATTACGTAAGGTTATTAGGTAGACATATATCAATGTCTTCGAAGTTAAAGGAAAAGGACAAAGGGGGTAAGTTTCTAATGAAACTATGGTCCTGCGTCGGTGGGAAGTTAGGAAGGATAAAACGAGATAATTTGGTTTTACCAACTGAGTTGATTGGCCACCGTTAAGAGTCCCTAAGACTGACGCTTCCACTGTTAGCCTGAAAAGAAGCCATGTGTTATTAACTAAGGTGAAATTTGTTCCTTATATCTTATGTAACCATTAAAGTAGGTCCCAGAGAAATAACTGTATTCTTTCAATTCATTATTTAAACTTATTCAAGCTCATAATTAAATGACTAGACTCCACCTTTGCAGTTAGAGTAAACGACACTCCAAGATGAAAACGATCTTATTGGACACTGGCATCGCTGGGCGTACCACTCGTTACCTGTCAAATGGTTCAAGCCGTAAATACGCGTGCGTGTTAATGGTTTATTTCTGTCATGCGGACATAACAGTTCCAGCCCGCTCTCACTATTGGTATTTATTGCTAAGTATTCGAACAAAACGCTTCTTGAGAACGGAAATTCAAAATGGAAGACAAGCAAAGATTTCCTTTTAGGCGCTGGAATCCTGATAACTTTCGACATAGAGAAGATCCGAAGCATGAAGGGTTCGTACCGTTCGGCGGGAACTTTTCGACGCAGCAGCAGCGACAGGCTAGCCATACTACTTCACGCAGCGACAATTCCACGCAAGAAAGGTTAGAATTTGATAAAAACACGGGAAAACTGGTCTTGAGTGCAAATCCTCAAAAATTACAGACGACTTCTGTTCCCAATGGCCCCGAAAACGCACTGGTTGTTGCTGGAGTCAGCTCAAAAGTTGTAGATCGACCGGTTGTGGATGCTATGGCCGCTCAAGGATTTTTCATTTTTAAAATGACGAACTTTGTGTAAATGCAACCCAGAACTGAGATTTTGAGCGTTGTTCTGATGGTTTTTGTTGCACAGCGCTAAAGAACAAATCATATCCGCTGCTTATAGCTGTATAGATAAAACAAATAGTTTTTAAAGATACAACGTAACGTAATGATTGTAACTTCCAATCTCATTAAGGGCACAAGCGTTCGATATTAGAGAATATTTCGACAAATTTGTACTGCTTTCTTGTGTTGATAAAGAATCTTACGGAGATTTAGTTCTTGTTTACCATCTAAAATGTAAAATTAAAGCTAATTGCTGCGACATGCACTATGATCTGAATTTCATGACTTTTAAACAACTCAACGAATGACTGCATTTCTATTAAATTAACAAGTTATCTGAAATTTTCGCCATTCAAGGAAAGTTAAGGACAAAAGCGAATTCAAAGGTCCAAGGAAATCTCAATTTCGGTTATAAGGTGGAAAGCAAAAGCGGATGCTTTTTATCATGCACCACTAGCCGTGTCAACAACGAAATGAAGACCTTTTCCAAGAATAGATCACACTTCATCAAGAACAGAATGGAATAAGGTATTTAAATTTTTTAGAAAAACTGAAAGGTATAACATGTTATGATTGGTGCACACAGCCATACTTTCTCGTAAATGGAACAAAGAAAGCGTCGAGAAAATTCCCTTTCAAAAGTCTAATTGAAATTTTATCGACCTAAATAGAATACTCTGTAAACTAAATTTGGCTAATATCTGAAGCATGAAATTAGTTTTTCAGTTTGTTAAAAGTGCAGGTGAAATTTCTTCTTTTCTTTCCTTTCAGATCCGTTCTATAGCTTTTACTAAACTCTGTCGTTTTCAAAGACGGACACACTCAACGGTCATGGCTACCTGAACAAAACAAATCCAAGAAAAGTGAAGTAAATATAAACAAAAGACTGGGTTGATGGGGAGGGGGGGAGGGGGAGGGGGGGAAGGGGAGGGTGAGAGGTCTTTTAAGTGAGAGGAGTGAATATTGGAGTGAGTATTGAGATTTTATCCGCACACCATCGGATAGAGTTTCCTTTGGCTACGAATGTTTGCTGCATGTTTATTTAAATGTTGTATCCCTATTTAGGCAAATACGCATAATTAGTTTTTTTACAAAGGTAAAACCCTCTTTTATTGTGCCACACAGTGATTACGCTTGGAGCACAAAATCAAAATTCCCTTTTCACCCAAAAAACATGAGTCTGTAGCTTTCGTTTTGAGCAAAGAGATAAATCGACCCGCAGGCAAATCCGTCAAATTGAAAACTTAAACAATTTCTTAGAGTTAAGTGCTGCTAGACGCGTTTTTCAAACAGCTTTACAATGATATATTTAACTGTTCAAAATTTGAATATTCAAAATTTAAATATGAGAGGGATATTCGCAGTAATGAACACGATTTAGGCAGTAGTGGAAATAAGGCCAGAAAAAAAAATTTGCGCTCTAACTTTTCTAATTCACGTTATAAAATTACTTCTCCGCTTATAGAAAGAGTACAATAGATCAGATGAGAGTATTAGAATAAATATTTCAACATGGACGCAGAGGCACAATATTTTTATATATAGCTAAAGAAAATATGTTTTCAAACTAAAATAAATTTGTCATCAGCCAGAGGTGAAAAATGGACATCACGTGCTATACTTTCCCTTATATACCACTGCATCATTTTGGCGCGTTTGATGTGCCGACAAAATATCTATTTCTGCCTTATTCGCAGACTCATTCGTCAGAAATACCATTTTGGCGCGTTTGATGCTCAAATTGTAAGTAAAGATGCTCATTTTGTTTCCGGCACGTTTTACTTACTATGACAACGCAGTTCGATGGAATCGACGAAATTAAAAATTTACCCGTCGGATGTAGTTTTCACGGAAAGTAGGAAAACATTATTACAAGTTCAAGTTTGAGATTTGCCGTCCTTCACTTTGAATTTCTTCTTCCTGTTTTTTCCTCTGTCCATTACTAACTCCCACAGCATTTGCTGATCCAAAAACTTTCTTCTCAATTTCCTGAGCTTCAGCTAAGTTTGTATTTCTGCGCAATAATTCGATAAAAGCTACACGAAATTGTCGTTTCCTGATGGCGTAAATTAGCGGGTTAAGGAATGAATTATATATTGCAAAAGACACAGAAAAGGATGCGAAGATGAAACCTGCTTTTAAAGACATGAAACCTGACTGGCTCAAAACAAATCTAAAAACGGTTACGGGCAAGTAACAGAAAAATAGCACTATAACGATTGTAGCTGTCAGTTTGAAAACCTTCTTGTCTTTCAGAAATTTCCGCCTTGCTTCTTCCGTAACTTTGTGAGTTGAAAGTGTCTTTTGATGTCTGCAAACCTCGCGGTAGACAGTTACATGACAGAAAATTATGATAGCGAGAGAAATGCACATAAAAATGATGTTTGTGGCATAAAAAACTGATCTATGAACAAAAAGAGGAATGTGCAGGATCAGAGAAAGGAGCCACGCCAGACCTGAGCTAACCAGTAAACGTACCTCTGTGACGAGTCCGTTGCTGTACGCGTAAGCGTGCTTCATGGCTAAGCATCGTTCTCCGCTTATCAAAATCAGGTGGATAAGAGACGATTCACATAGAACACTTGTAATAAATTGTGCACACAAATGTAAAGCACACGATACATTCGAGCTTGTGGTTCCACCCGCCCAGTTGAGACTCGACTGGGCAATTAACATTGGTTGAACAATCACACTCACTGCTAAATCAGTCACCGCCAAGCAAGCAAGCAGTACGTTGGACTTGTGGGCCCTCAAACGTCTTTTAGTTTTCACAGCTATTATCACTAACAAGTTGAAAGTGGCACCAAGAGGACATGTGATCGTGAAGGTGACCGAGAGGAAGATTCGAACGGCTTGAGCGTCCGAATAATCGGAAAGCTTTCCTCCCGTTGCTCTGTAGACGCCGCATTCAGCAGGGGTCATGTCGTTGCTTACATGGCTCGAAGTCATCGCTTGTGTAGCTTTTGTCTCTTTTTGTTGCGGATCTACCTCTCTTTCTTCTATTTTGTTGAAACTAAGCGGTTGGACTGTGAGCTCTTGACCGTTATCGCTATCGCTGGTCTCACCGAATGATATGATATTTGCACCCTTTATTTTTTTTATTTTCCGAAAAAGAAGCGTCTGACCGTTTCCACGACTTGAATGCAGTTTTATGAGCTACAAAATGAATAAACGAACAACGCAGAATCCAAACTTTCTTTTGGAAACTCAAGCGTGGGTGTTGTAGCTCTTTCCGTCAACATGGCCAGGAAAATTCCGGTTTAGTACGTCCAAAAAAAATTAATTACTCGCCACTACAATAAAACCTTGCCATGAACTACTCCTATTGCGTTCCTGAGTTTTGAGCTGTAAGAATTACTTGGTATATTTCCACACCTGCTCTGCCGACGCATTTTCCCATCCTCTTTGTTCAGTTTGCCAATAGTTGTTAACAAGGGATACGAAGGCACCACTACACTGTCGTATTCTAAAATATTCGGGAAATGAAACTTTTGACACTTATTTTAAAACTAATAATTCATTCATTAGTTGTCTTAGCGATCCAACTTCGTCACGTGCATGAGTTTCGAAACCTAATGAAAACCAAGATGAAAATCACACGTGTTTTGGATAAGATATCCAAACCACGCGTGGTTCACATTTTTGTTCTCATTGGACATCAGGATTCATACATAAAAAAGCGAAAAAATCAAACACAAGAACAACAGTTCAGCTATCAGCTACATTGCCGGTTTATTTTCTATCGTTGTCGACAATTTTCACATCGCAATTCGTAAATGTAACAAGAACAACTTTCCTGTGATGTTCCTAAAATTAGATGGAGTCTTCTAAAGCTTCCCACAGACAAAAAAAGATATGCACATTGAGTAAAATTATACTAGGTACATAAAGTGTTTCATTCGTGTAAAGTACATTTGGCAAAAGTCGCTGTCAACTGCCGATGTTCATTACTCAATTCGGTAATGTTAATATATGATATATACATATATATATATATATATATATATATATATATATATATATATATATAATTTGCACAATGGAGAATGTGCTTCCGTTTTCAACGCTTTATTAAAGACCCGACGCGTTTCGGCATTTGCCTTCCTCAGGGGCCTTAACATGCAATTGTTACAGAGTCGTAATTGGTTAATTGTGTGACGTAGTACAGTGCATGTTGCTTAATTAAATGCTGAGTAAAATCTCTCGTAAACAATTAGTGTTTCTAATTGGTTAACAGTTTTAAAACCTTTATAACGTATGTTATAAACAATTTATGTACCTAAAACTTTATAAAGGTTTTCGCGTAAAAGCTTTATCCAGTTCTTTTGTTTAGTCCATATGGCTGAAAGGAGTTTAATGTTCTTTGCCAAAAAATCTCTCTTTCTTTAAGAACTTCTTTCTTTTTGTCAGTCTCTAAATGATCTTTTCGGATTTGCTCTATAATGGTTATGGTAACATTATTGTTAAAGTCGTGAGTTCGTTTGTTATGTAAAAAGTGTTCCGTGAGTTCGCAGCTACTCACTCCCTTTTTAATATGGTTTCTGTGATTGTTTAACCGTAGGTTAAATGCAGTTTCGCTTTTTATATATATATATATATATATTTCTAATAGATTGTGTCAGTGTCACAGAATTTCTACGATAAGTGACGCCTTAGATCGGCAGCTGTACATCTGTTGTTTTCAGACATTAGTACCACAAAAACTAGCGTCGGCGATCCCATTCTCAAATTGAAATTGAGTGAATAAACATCAGTTTATGACCAAAAATTGCATAAATTAACCTCAGAGGTCACGTATTTCAGAGGGATGTGATCACGATTATTTTACAGAGGCCAAATATTTTTTTACTCACAAACGTAATTTTAGGACAGGTCTTTCCTGTGATGGGATGTTTGTCGACATACAATGTTGCCCATTGGAGATATTTGCAATTAAAAAACCTTATTTTTTTCTTTTTTGGAATAGTTGCGTGACATGGTTAATAATTAACTGCCATAAATTGGCAGAGTCGTATCAAATTACCCAAACTTTTAAGAATTAATTCCTAAAGGTTCAAACAACCATGTGACTCAGTAAGATTAAAATCCATCGTATATTCTGTTAGTGTGAGAGAGATTCATTGGAACTGCATTTTTCGAACTAATCTAAGCCTTGTACCCCAGGGATTTGATGTGGGGGCTCTAATACCCCAGGGATTAGCCGGGAGCCCGAACTACTTTGGATTCTTGAACTACTTAGTGACCCTCATTACTATTATTCATTACTGCGAAGATCGCTTTCGTATTCACGCCTCATAAACTGTGAACGTTTGAGAGAAATCGGTGAAATGGCATGTGTCACGCTTGCCTGGTCCTTTCGTGGACAGACTCTTCAAACTTTCAAGTTTCTCATCATTTACTGGGAAACAAAGGCAGTATATTTCTAAAATGAAAGTAAATAAATGGAAGTTCTAGTTGTAATTAACTGTACGGATATGATTTTTTCTTCCTGGGAGAACATCATTACGTGCTCACGTTCGATATTTGCTGTCCTTCATCATGATGTTCTTCTTCTTGTTTTTGTCCTCTGTCCATTACTGCTGCAGCATTACACCGTCTAAACATGTTCCTTTCCATTTCCTCAGCTTCGGCTAAGTTTGTGGTTCTACATAACAATTCGATGAAGGCTACGCGAAACTGTCGTATCCTAATGGCGTAAATAAGTGGATTAAGGAATGAATTAAATAGTGTGAACGACACGGAAAAGAATAAAATTGTAAACCTTACTTTTATAGACATTAAACCTGACCAGTTTAATACAATTCTAACAACGGTTATTGGTAAGTAACAGAAAAATAGCACTGCAACAATTGTAGCTGTCAGTTTGAAAACCTTCCTGTCTTTCAGAATTTTCTGCCTTGCCTCCTCTGTGACTTGTTGAGTTGAAAGTGTCTTTTGCTGTCTGCGAACCTCGCGGTAGACGGTTACATGGCAGAAAGTTATTATAGCGAGAGAAATTCCGATGAAAATGTTGTTTGTGGCATAAAAAACTGATATCTTAACAAAAAGAGGAATGTGCAAGATCAGGGAAAGGAGCCACGCCAGTCCTGAAGCAACCAGCAGGCGAACCTCTGTAACGAGTCCGTTTGCATAGGCGTAAACGTGCTTCGTGGCTAAATATCTTTCTCCACTCACCAAAGCCAGGTGGATAAGAGACGAGTTAACTAAAAGACTCGTCATAAATTGTGTGCAGATCTGTAATAAACACAATTCTCTCGTTATTTCGCCGACCAGGTCGATGATTGAAACGACAGTTAACATTGGTTGAACAATCACACCCACCGCCAAATCGGTCACCGCTAAACAAGCAAGCAGTATGTTGGACTTGTGCTCTCTCAAGCGCCTTTTAGTTTTTACAGCTATCATCGATAACATGTTGAAAGTAGCAGTGAGGGGAGATAGGACGATGTTGGTGATTACGATAAAGATAAGAACGTTTCTGGCTTGGGTATCAGAATCGGATAGCTTCCCTCCCACTGTTTTGTAGACGCTGCATTCAGGTGGAATAAAGTTGTTGTCTGCCCTGCTGGAATTCATCGCACAGGTGAGAGTGTGTCTCTTCCTTGTCGGTGATCTACTTCTCTGTCCTCTGTTTTCCTGAAACTAAATTAGTTCAACTGCAAGCTTTCCTTGTCGATAATTTTTTTCGCATCGATCACTAGCTGCATTGAGTTATAACACATTTGCAGATTTTCTTTTCCTCTTCAAAGAAAAAAACATGTGTTAGTTTCTCAGAGTTTCAGACACTTTCAATGAGCTGAACAATGGATAAACCGTACAACGCAGAATCCAAACTGTTTGAGAAGTTAAGGTGTCTAACATCCTTCCGTAAACACGACTAGAAAGAGGAACAGTCTTCTGCTTGAATGGGAAGAAAATTAAATTCTCTTTACGACAATAAGGAATTTAGGAATTACCTGCCACAACTTGACGCCTGCATTCTAATTACTTTTTCCTAGGACATTTATACAGTTTTCTGTTGGCAATTTACTGAAACCGACCGAGACAAAGGCGCTAGTTCTGATTGTAAATGAAAGACTCAGTAAATGCCTGTTGTTACACGTACAAACAGAGCATTATGGTATGAATTCAATTAAAAAATTTTTATCATACGAAAATGTTACCAATCAGCGAACTGTTTTGTAAGTACGGATTTGGCTTCTTTCATGAAAGTAAAAGGGTGGACTGTTTTGTGCGTTTGAAGCTAATAACCAATAATTAACTTGTTTACTATATACCTGTGGGGGTGGGTATGTGGGTGTGTGGGGGGAGGGGGGCGGTATCATTTGGGGTTCTTAACTTTCTCCCTACAAACCAATAAACGACTTCTTCGTACAACATTCATAAAAATGAAAAACGATAGAACATTTTCATCACTGGAGGACGTGAATTGACTGTTAAAACATTTCTTCAGCCAAAAATAATTCAAAATTTATCGCATACACTTGGAAAAAATTATATATCTTGGAAGTGAAAGCGTAGGACTTTTGTGTAGTGGCTTTTTGAGTAAAGCATTCACAGATCACACTGAAGTAGCCTAATCATTCCCAGCTTCAAGCTGAAGCGACAAAAAGGACGATTCCACTCACATATTTCCTACTGGGTTCCTCACCTAACAGTCATTTTAAAATTGAGGAAACGAAAGGAAAAAGCCATCAGACTGAAACATTGACGATTTCAATTTTAATTCGGTTTGAGTAAATTGGTACCCGTAATAATTATACTTACATTTATTAAATAGTCTAATTTATTCAGAAGAAGACAGACGTAAATTGCCAGACTCTTAAATATATTTATAAGCTTTGAGGAAATTCCTAGATCAAATATGGCGCGAGCGTATGGATGCCAAGAAAACGCATTGAAATAATATTGAAAATCTGTCTTTAGAGGCAAACTGTCTACAGCAATTAACAGTTATTCACCAAAGTGAAGGTGAATAGTGGCGGATATTTACCGAACCGCTTCGCGGCTCGATAAATATCCGCCACTGTCACCGAAACCAAGGTATATACTGTATGCCTCACAGATACAAAATATCTGATATAATGTATCTTACAAAATACCGAAAAATGGTCGCAAATTAAATCCTTGACGCGCAATTTTGTCTCATCAGATGCTCGGAGGAGAATAACACTTGCTATTTACTTCCGAACTACCCAATCAGCGCGCTCTAAAAGAACTATTCACCTGTGTGGTGTATACTGATGATATTTACGTTAAAAACTTGAAAAACTACTATCACGGAAATCTGTCAGAGTAGACTTGATGGCGCGAGATGTGAACCAGACGTCCTTGGTTTTAGGACATTATTATGTACAGGGAACGTTCGTTTGAATATAAACGGGCCAAATCTAAGACCAGGACTCTTTTTACCAGCGGACGGCGGATCGAAAGACACCCTTTCTCGATTCTGTCCCAATCCATAAGTCATGCAATCCAATCCAGCTCTGTAAATTACCTCGAACACGTGGTCCGTGATGGGTTTCAGATAGGAAAAACCAAAGGAGCCCGGAAGTTGGGTGAAGAGCAAAAGTCCGTCATTTTCCGTTATGTTAACAATTACTTCCGGCATCCAATGAGAGACAATCCGGTATTCCCCAAGGTACTGTTCGTTATTGGGAAGGAGCTGGATCTACAGGACATTACAAAGAAAACTCATAATGTTGCTGCACTGTCATAGAATAAAATTTCCTGGTAACTACTTTTAACAGAAAATGTTTCTAATTAGTTATGGTCATGGGACTGAGTGGAGTCCAATCGGGTTTGTAATCAGACAAGAGATTTACAAAATCAGATGACCACGAAGCGCTGTTCCGATTTGTTAATAACAAGTATGAGACAGACAGAATTGGACTACACAAAGTCCTTTTACGAATTAATTAAAACGATAAAAAACTTGAGAAACAAACTAACGGTCGGTTATACATTTTCATTAAAAATAAAACAACAGTGTAGGTCATTGCAAATATTTGTCATAAACGTGTGACGACAACAACGTTTTACAACCTAAAATGTATTCGCAAATCAGTTTGTTTCGCGATGCTACAGCATGTGTACACCTTTGACGTATTGACAGCACTGTATTCACAACAGATTTAAGAGTTGGTTTACCTGCAACTGTTGACGCAATAACACTGCATCCATCGTTTTGGCCAAAGTTTGAACAATCGAATGCACTAGCCTCCAAGCGACTTCACGACCGCTAACAAGGACAACTGCGCCTGTAAATGTATTTTAAGGATAGCAGCGTCAAAAATGAGAAAACTTAAAACGATGCGATCGCTGGCTTACCAGCTAAACTGAAGAGATCTTTGCAGAAAATAGATTAACATTCATTCGAAAGACTAACTTGTGCCTAGATTGAAAAAAAGCTGGGTCTTGCATGAATGTTAGACAAGTACAAACAATGAAAGCGAAATAGAAATAGGAAAACATGTGTATCAATCGCTTGTTTGGTGAGGTGCAACTAACACAGGGGTTCCGACTGTTTAGCTAGTCAAAATCAATGGCAGAGTGGTAAACAAACGCAAAAGTTAAAGTGCATCTAAATTAATTGTAGAGAAACAAAAACCAAAGAACTATTAGAGGGTGGAAATCAAAAACAAAAGTATTACAGAGAGTCAATGAGGAGTTAAGTCGTGTTCTACTAAAACTTCAGTTCTTAGATAAATTCCTCAAAGAAAACAATTTTAAGACAGCATCTACCAAGTACGAATTACCAACCAAGTTTAAATTCTGGTACAAATGCAAATCCAGCAGAATATCCCGGAACAAATCCTGACTTTGTCACAACTGAATATGTACCAGCGTCAATAATCTCCCAGCCAGTCCCAAACACAGTGCTACCATCCGGGTACATGAAATCTGCAAGTTAAGGCAAATGGAAAGAAGATAGCTGGCTGAGTTCACTCAGACATCAGGTTTGGCCTCCTACTTCTTATTTCAATAGCTTTTCTCATTTTCCCCATTTTTCACTGCTGAGGAAGAATGCACAGATCGCCTTAAGGGCTACGACAAACTGTAAATGCATGACCAACAAGGTTACACTTTAGAACAACGCATTGCATGAAAGAAGAACCTTTCTCCTCCGAAGTGTCTGCAGAGAACAAAACCAGGCTCTTTCATGAGGTATCTCATGATTTATATTCACTATGCTTAAGTCGTTAGACGACTTTTGTTTCTAAAGATATGAAAATATCAAAGCTATTATACCCACAGACCTGGCTTCATCAATTGCTGTACCAATTCTCGTGTTAGTATTGATGTGCTTGACGTGCCAAGTAAAAACGTCATTAACTGTACAGAGAAATAACACGCTTCAATAAAAGCGTCAAAAAAGGATAACTGTTGCCTGAATTACGATTACGTGATGACTAATATGAAACTCAAAAAAACTAAACCCATGTTAAAAAAGGGGGGAAGTTTCTAAAGAAACTGTGGTGCTGCGTCGGGGAGCGTCCGAGCGAATGACGAAGTGCTAACGCTCGAAACGTCAGCTTTAAAGACTCTTCACAGTGACCAATTAACGTTATCAACTCAATTGGATCAACTTACGTTGATGACACCAAATTACCTTGTAAACCCAGTTTATCTGTATACAAGATTTTAAACGTTGCCTTGATATTTAACCCTAGATAAGTGCTAATCGTGCTTGAAAAAACTCGGCCAGTAGTTTGGCGATGTACATAAACACCGAAAATCTAATCTGGGGCTTAAACCTGTTCAACTCAACCCGGCTGTCGTCATTAGTCTCCAGGACACCGCGTTCCTCTGGGTAAACTCATTCCACATCAATGTTAGCGTTGCTTCATAACGTGAAAAAAAGTAATGTCAAATCACAAACCTTATAAAGATCATTTGCTGTCGAGTATGCTTGGATTGCCGGCGAGGCCCAATCCCAGTCAACCAGAGGAGCCTCACCATCGTCATCGTAGCCCACAGCTTTGTTAGAGGACATTCTGGGCAGAATAAATGACAAAAATCAATCCACTCACCGAGTTGCAAGCCCATAATGAGGCCTCAGCGATTGAAAAATCAGAGAACATTCCCATGCGGTTGATAATAGTTATAGAATAGTTAACCTTGTTTTCTCCTTTGCGTTGGTTATGTGTCTGTTTTGTTTTGTTTCAGAAACACCGGCCTAAGTAAAGCTCAAATACCTTCTGAGGTTGAATCCAGTTTTCCCCATTCCTAGTGGCTGGAAAATATTTCTCTCCACCCAGCCCTCGTAGTCGCTGTTTGCAAATTTCTCGGCAAAAATCCGAGCGATTAAGGCATAGCCTAAGTTGCTGAAAAACAAAATCAATTCATTAGACTTTTTGGAGGCCATTTGGTTTCCTATAAGAAGAGATATACGAGAACTGATTTTCTATATAAAATAACCACCGTTATCCACGGATTCGAATTGAGATGTGATACTGATCCAATTGTCTTCTATTACATTGAGTTGTGTTGCATGATTTAATCTATTTTGCGTTTGTTTAATACTGTAGTGTAACATTCAGTAAACCAAATATGTCCATTCTATCATGAATAGA